TAGTCTGTAATACTGGCACGTGTATTTAGGTCATCATAGATCCATCATAGCACATGAAATATGGACTGAGTTAGTCATGATATGTTAGTTGAAATGTAACACTCCACATTTTACATACTAGAATACTGAGTGCATAATAACACATACATGTGCAAAACATTGCAAAATAGATTAAATTCCAATATCACTGGTGATCCACTCGATTATGCTGGTTACCAAAACGAACCGTTTTGGTAACAAAAATGTCGGAACGTCGAAGGCACGATTTTTCTTTTTTCCTTATTTCACGCGTTGCAGGCAGAATCCCCACGACGTTTTTTCTCACAGCGTGCATCAGTATCATACATGTATGTTTAAGAAAATGTACATGTTTGCGAAAAAATAGCTCAGAGGACAACAGAATCGTCGATTTACTTCCTCACTTAAGTTACATAAACGGTTTTTCGAAAAACAGTTAAGATCTGCACTTTTAACCCAAACCGTTTATGTAACTTAAGTGAGGAAGTAAATCAACGATTCTGTTGTCTTCTGATCTATTTGTTCGCAAATATGTACACTTTCTTAAACATATGATACTGATACACGTTTGTGTTAAAAAATGTTGTGGGAATTCTGCCTACAAAGTGTAAAATAAGGAAACGAGAAAAATCGTACCTTCCGGATGTTCCGACATTTTGTTACCAAAACGAACCGTTTTGGTAACCAGCGTAATCGAGTGGATCACCAGTGAATATGTGGTCAAAGAATGTACAGTGTATAAAAATGTTGAAACTAAGCTAAGGAGCATGATACTGTAGACTCATTATGTTCCTTTTGTAATATTCAAACACACTGAAACTGTATCGTTTCAGTAATTGCTATATTAAAGTGGAATGATATTACAAACATTCTAATCCATTACTACTATAGTTGCAAATTATAAATATTTTGTGTATGTAATATCATACTTATCATTTTACAAGTGCAAAATTGCCAAAAGTTACAATATTAATGAGGAATGAGAAGTAATTGTGTCAGTAATGACTATAAGCTAAGTGGTATGATATTATAAACACACTAAAGTTTTGTTTTGTGTTTGTAATATCATACTCATATAAATAGTCAATTGCAAAAATACTGATACGTAGTTTCAATATGAGTGAGAATCAAAAGTTATTTTGTCAGTTATGGTTATAAGTGGTATGATATTACAAACACACTATATTTTCATTTTGTGTTTGTAATATCATATTTTATAGTTATGAATCAAAAGTACTGGACACAAAGTCATACGTTATTGTGTCAGTTATGGCTATAAGCCAAGTGGTATGATATTACAAAAATACAATTGTTTTATTTTGTATTTGTAGTATCATACTCTAAAGTTTATGAATTACATTTAATAGTATTGTAGCACATTACCAATTGTTACAATATTAATAAGGAATAATAAGGAAGAGCTATTGTGTCAGTAATGACTGTAAGCTAGGTGATATTATATTACAAGCACACTAAGATGAATAACATTTCATTTTGTGTTAGTTCAGTAATACATGTGTTGTTTTTATTATATGTTATTGTTATTATTGTTGACAAATAAACATCTTATTGTATTTTCAAATTCATACATTATGTTTCTTACTTTTAGAATAAGTTTTGGTGAGAACATTAGATTGAACAGCCTATTATATTGTAGTACAATGCAGTCAAATGATACAATTAAGAAAGAAAATTATGTATTAAGACAAATGTAACTTTTTTTGTCACAATGACGATAGCAATTCTTAATTTTTGATTTTCAATATGTGTGAATTAATCCCAAAATCCGCTTAAAATCAAGGGTTTTATTAGGCATGTTTTATTGGTTGCTATGACAACGCTCATTAGAATATTTATAAAAAATCTAAGGGAACAGTTTAACATTGTACCAAATATATGTATAATACCACGAATCATTGATTAAGACCATTTACAAGACAGTTAAAATTGTTACAAAAGTGCTCCCAAAAGTTGCATTTTGAGCAAATCGGCTGGGTGGTAAGGGTAGTATAACGTCAAAAATGGGCCGGGTGGTAAAGGGTTAAAAGCCCTTCAAATAGGGGTGTAGAATTTTATAACCCTCTTAAAACCTGTTATGGCACTTTAGAAGAGTTTCCTTAGAGTTTCTACCCTCACCGTTCTCTTTTTCCAACTCAATATCCATCTGACCCGAAAAGAATTGCTGCTGTTACGATGGCCCTGAAGGACACATTGACTAGTGATTTGGTGTAAAATTGAACTTAATTTTGACCAAACACTAAATTTTGAAATGCCTGTCATTTTTTCACATTTGAGAGTTGAACCATGATACTTGGTAAATCAATGTAACTTTGGATGAGCTTTAAAATGACATATGACACATACTATGACGACACTGGTATATGTCTGCCTAGGGGGGGCCCCATACTTTCGGGACACCCTGTAGTGACCATGGTATACCATGGTAGATCATGATAATTAAATGGCTCCATTGCATATCATGGTTGAATATCTAGACCATGATATCACTGCATTTGATGGTATTTGACCATGAAATACTGTGAAACGGTGGTATTTTTTAGATACAAAATTACATGTTAATTGACCATGGTATACCATGGTATATCATGATCGTTAAATGGCACCATTGCATTTCATGGTCAGGAGCGCTTTTTTAACATGTAGTTTCCCATTGAAAAAATACTGACGTTTCGCAGTATTTCATGGTCACAAACCATCAAATGCAATGATATCATGGTCAAGAAACCATCAAATGCAATGATATCATGGTCGAGAACTTGACCATACCATTGCATTTGATGGTTTCTGACCATGAAATACTGCGAAACGGCAGTATTTTTTCAATGGAAATTTCCATGTTAAAAACGCGCTGCAGGGTTCTCACTAGGCTTTTAGACTCCGGAGATTCTCCGGAATCTAATGTCTTAAAACCCTCTTACTCCAGGGTCTAATAGCTTTTCCGTAGTCTAAAGTGTTTTTTGGAGTCTAATTTTATATTTTTGTCACATTATTAGCAGTAAAACTCTTGAGAAAATACATAAAACTGGATATTAACAAGAAATAGGAAGTCAGAAACCTTTTAGAAATAAATATTGGGATTAAAATAACAAGATAATCTTAAGGAGTATGTTGAAAAGTATACGAATAGGATATCTCTGATCTCACATGGGGGAGAAGTAGTCGCAATACCGCAAAAAAAGTAGTCACAATACCGCTAGAAATCCGGGGTCTAAAAATTTCCTGGTGATAACCCTGCGCTGTAAACCATGAAATACAATGGTGCCATTTAACGATCATGATCGGCCATGGTATTACCATGGTATTTCATTGCATTTCATGGCCATATACCATGGTATACCATGGTCATACCATGGTATGGCCATGGTCCATTTCAACATGGATGTGTTTAAATAATGTTCTCTCTCTAATCTTAAAATTGTGAGTTGTTGAAAAGCTTCCTAAGAATTGGTAGATGATGGCATTTTTGACAGAGTTAGTGCTCTTGATATTTGCCAAATATGACTCTTTTCAGTTGGCGACATAAGAAAAAACACAAAATGGTTCTGTTTAATAAGTTTTTACATGGCAGCCTATATTCTTGCTTAAAGGCTGACCTTAATGTAGAACCAATATTTGGACATATTTTTATTTTTAAAAATTCAACAACTGGCAAGATTTTGAATGCCTGTATATTGAAATGCCATCATTAAAAATGGCATTTCCAGTGCAGAATAAAAGCACAACAAAAAAATACTGGTAGGTAACAGAAAAGGGTATTGCTGTGTTCCTTTACAAATAATAGTCTGATAAAGAAATCAAAGATACCCAGTGTAGAGGTTTAAGTTCTTAAGTACAACCTCTGAATATTTAAGAAAATATAACAGTACAGAGGCCCTGCCCAAACTGCCTGTGGCTGTCACAGCCCAGATCATAAATCAATTATAACTAACCATGCTGACATTTTCTCAACCAATCATTGAGAAGAAGGAAACAAGCTTCAATGTTCAAAATTGCCATTACTAGGTAAACAATGACTTCAGAGGAAATGAACATAGTAGTTTGATTTGATTTGGAATAATTGGGTTTGTTTTCCTGAAGACTGGTGCTCTAACTGAAGAGTCATATTTTTCTTGCTGTGTTCTGTCCCCACTTTTTAATCTTTTTGGTCTTTTCCTGTTGGCACTTGTGCAGACATATAGATATACAGATTCATGAATATTGTCTTTGTTGGGATTTGCTACTCCATGTTGCCCATTTCTAGTATAGACAGCATTCAAAAAAGCACTTAATTTCTTTTATAATTATGTTTTTCATGCTCTAGTATTTATTAAAAGATATATTTATAACAGAGTTAATCGATGGTGATGTTAAGTAAAGTTACAGGTTATTCTAATATTTGGTGAATGTGTATTTTCGATATGTCAGAAATATAGTCGTACTCATTCAATTTCCTTTGATACATGTTCTTGATGACCAGTTTATGTTTCTCTTTAGGGCTCATATAGCTTCAACATTTATAGGTTCTGTTCATTTATGGTTTTTGTCATTTTGGTAGGATTTCAGTTCAGTTTTTCAGCATTCATCACACCTTAATTTTTAATAAATCAGATAACCCGACACATCATGTAAACTAAAACATGGCAAGCAACCATATAGTCAGCAAATTTCTTTTTTTTCACATCATAAATACTCGTACATTTCTCATATATCAATATGATTTTGCACAGTTTCCACATGTTCTTTCCTGGATAGGTACATCATCCATCATTTGGTATCCAAACTATAGCCCGAGCAATGAGCCTTAGGGCATAAATTATGCTAAAATCTTAACCCTCTGTTCTAATGTACTGTCAAAGCCTTATTCCCATTCATAAAATGAAATAATTCATAATGTGATAATTTTTCTAGAATTCTATTCCAAGAAATATGTTTTATAATACATTTAATATCTGAATGAATTCTGGATGCAAATGACAGTGAAATCACTTTGAACACACTATACATGTCAATTCCCTGCCATTAACATATTTGGGACAAGGCAAGGATCCACAAACAGCTTGAACTGGGAGAAACAATGCACCATTTTTGTTTTCATGGCCCCCATCAATTGTTTCTGGTTCTTCATCCATACATTCAAAGGCTTTGTTGTTTGCATGTGCATGGTGTTCTGCTACTAGGTAACCTTTGTACTCTTTGTTCCAACCATTTGGACATGTATGAAGTGCTGGTATCATTACCAAGTTCCGAGGTATCTGGCACACCACACAAGGAACATCATGGTCAGTTAAGGAATGAGGATTATTAGTGTCCGGAGCATTGGTTGCCTTGAATGGGACCTCTTTAGAAGCATGAAACTCATATTCAGCTCCATATATATAGGCACCAACACTATTTAGACCATCAGTGTAACTTCCCCATTCAGGCTCGTTAGGCAGACATTAAAAATTGCTACTACCTCCAGTGTTGGTATCATGGGACCCTGCCGCAACACCTGAATTATTGAATATGATAGTATATACTATTTGCAGGTCAGGTTATTAGGAGAATTTTATAGAAACAATGTTATCCTCAAGATTCCTCAAGAAAATGGTATTTAGCTTATTTTGAGCTTATCTAGTTCACATATATACATTTCAAATATGAATTTTTAGCCTTTAAAATGTGTATTTATACCTTTGTATAAGACACTTGTTCCATTTGTATCTGGACACACTGTTCTTCCCCAGCGTACATAAGTGCTCCATACTGCTGACTCTACTGTAATTTGTTCATCAATTTATTTCTCATTCATACTTTACAAAGGATTTTTTCATTCATATTCTCAGTAATTTTCATTATACAAGTAATTTGAAAAAGCACATTGTTTCATTGGTTGAAGTAACATTATTTATTGTGTTGTTACATATATTGCTGGAGAAGTTACCATACTTTTACCAGGTACATTGTACTTGTATTCAAAAGGCAATATAATGAGACATACCAGCTGGAGGCTCACATGGCAATTCAAATTCTATATTACAATCCTTCTCAACAACAGGTATGGACTTCAGAGCTCTCTTGACAAAATAAATATACAAAAATTATCAATCGTATTTAAGATGAACTACCTGAAAACTATTGATTAGATTTTCAAAAATATTTGCAGCTTTTTAGAGATAGTATCACTATATTTGATATATTATATATGATATTTTATATGAACATGCAAGAGTAACACATTATATTTTTGGCAATTCATTTAGTATATTCTCTTGATTTCTGTTGTTCAGTTCAATATTTGAAATATACCATACATGTATGTGTTTCTTCCAATAGTTAGTTAATGAAACCATAGAATGAAATTCTGCGCTAAGGGCTGATGTGAAAAAGTCAGCCAACCCTAGTAGGGATCGAACACATGTCCCTCGCTTGCCGGGCAAGTGCTCTTAGTGACCACTGGGCTATCGGAGCCGACTGGCTTTTCCACATTAACATTGCATATATAACATTGCAGCCATGTCTTAGATGCCCAGTTTCCTGGACCCAATAGAGTTACCTGTCTTTCAAGGTTGTCAATCATTCTATTCATGATGTCACATGGACTTTCCCATGAGCCATTCCCCCTCAGGAGAAATAATATTAGTTAATGAAAACACAGAATTAAATTCTGCGCTAAGGGCTGATGTGAAAAAGTCAGTCAACCCTAGAGCCATTAATCTCTTGAATCCCAGGCTCTCAAAACTCAGTTTGAAACTAGAGAATTTTTCATTTTTGCTAGGTTTTGACATTCTACTATATATACAACAGGTGATGCTCAATTTAGTGAATTTAGTTGGCAGAGATCGTTTCTTCACATTCTTAAACATTTTTTGTGCAAATAGGATGAATTATTCAAATTAGAATAATTTTAGTGAAAGATTTTGTGTCAGATTATCTTATAACTTTAGGTTTCTGGGTCATTTTTTAGATGTTGAGAAATCTTGTCACTCTTGTTAGTGAACAGGTTAAACAGCAAGAATATTTCTTACCTTTATTATGGCAATTCTTCTCTGGCATGATTGTTGTTTCCTTGTGGCAGCATCAACCAAAATCATAATTGAACCAAGAAGAAAAAATATATGTGTTGCCATTGTCCTGTTTTGCTCCCAAATGTTGATGTTTGTTGAGCCCGAGCTTCAATTAAAATGATGGTGCGATAGAATGTGATGAAATAGCAGTAATATATTAGCAGTAAATATATAAACTTGTTAGAAAATGAGCAAGTATTTACTTTTAATGTTTTAAAACATACAATTTAAATCAAAACAATATTGATATTAGATAAGACGACGTATGGTTCTGATTGATTTATTAGGATATTCACTATTCACAGGCCTCGCGCTTAACTTTTTTTTATCAGGTAGTCATTTCAATACACAGTGAATTTTCCAGGTAGCTATTTGAGAGAAGCAGGTAGTGATGATTTTGATGAGAGTGCTTTTATTCTTATGACTTACCAGTGCAATAATTCTTACCCAGATATTACTACGATTTGCATACATATACAGATACTGAAGTCAATTATGATGGTCTTCTTTCAAGCTATTGTAGAAGTTGTGATTCGGTTAGAACAAGAAACAACAAGGATCAGCTGATCGCCAAATCGATCAAAAATCCACATATTTTGATATTTTGGGGATATACATATTTATCTGATGGATACTAAATATATATGGGGATACCAACACAAGATAATTTTCGTATACGCCAGTAAAATCGTATCCGATGCATATGACGTGTTATTCCATAGTTAGCATGATATTCATAGGATAACATGTGAAAATAAAAACGGTATTTTTGTAATCAGTGGTAAAATATGATATTTTTGACAAATTTTCACTTAACCATAACATACGGTTTTTTAGCCGTGACATACGACATCGTATGCGATGGTTTATGGATTTTTGCTACTTCAGACTCAAAACGAGGCTAAGTATCAACATTGCTGGATCGTTTGGAAATTGAATTTAATAACTTAATTTCCGACGATTCTGATGATGACTTTAACTATGGAATAAAAAGAACATCCTATGATTTACTCGTGATATGATTTTAATCCACTCATGGATATTGATATCTGCACTCTCTCGCTACGCTCGCTCGTGCAGATATCATATCCATTCGTGGATAAAAATCATATCACTCATAAATCATAGGATATCCTCTATATATCCAATCGTATCCGACTGATACTATTTTAAGAAACATTTAAAAAATATATATTTGAAAAATTTGAAATTTTGAAAAATTTGAAATTTTGAAAAAAAATTGAAAAAAAGTTCTGAAAAAATTTGAAAAAAATGAAAATTAATTCGGAAAAAAAATTGAAAATAAAATTACAGGAATAAAAAAATGAAAAAAATTGGAAAAAATATTTGAAAAAAATTTGAAAAGTTCCAATGTTAGCTCAGTAAAAATGAGTTACATTTTTTCATACAATCATTTTTAAAAATAAGGTCACAGAAAATAAAATGAAAAAAATAGTATAGAATTACAAAACAACAACTTCAGGTCAAATTATTTGAAGTCCATACATAAATACTGTAGATTAGGTTAATTTGGTGCTACTTAATTTGGCGATCTTGCCATTTTTGGCATATTGGCGGCTATTTAATTTGGCGGATATGCAAAAAGTTAAACTTACGCGCTGTTTGCGAATTACCATGTAAATGGACATGTTTGGCTATGTTCATTTTTTCTTTTGAGGACCACTGGCGATATTCACCACGTTTGTACATTTTTGTGAGATCATTAATTTGCACCTCGATCGATGCTGCTTCTATACCGCGCTTTTCCTTTCTATCGTTTCCTTTCTATCTATCTTTTATCGTAACTAATAAAGGTACGATATTGTCGTCAGCTTGACGGGCGGGCGGGCGGGCGGCGGCGGGTGGGCGGGCGGCGTCTCACTTTTCAGCTTGTCTACAGGTTTCCAGCCAAACCATTTGACAGATTCATCTGAAATTTTCAGGAATGTTTCTACGTATCAAAGTTAAGAACTGATTAGTTTTTAGGCATTCTGGGTAAATTTTAAGGTGGCCATTTTGGATTTTCCGTCCTAAAATCTTCACTTTCAAGACTTGTCTACAGGTTTCCAGCCAAACCATTTGACGGATTCATCTGAAATTTTCAGGAATGTTTCTACGTATCAAAGTTAAGAACTGATTAGTTTTTGGGCATTCTGGGTTAATTTTAAGGTGGCCATTTTGGATTTTCCGTCCTAAAATCTTCACTTTCAAGACTTGTCTACAGGTTTCCAGCCAAAAGATTTGACGGATTCATCTGAAATTTTCAGGGATGTTTCTACGTATCAAAGTTAAGAACTGATTAGTAATAAAGGTATGATATTGTCGTCAGCTTGACGGGCGGGCGGGCGGATGGCGGCGGGCAGGTGGGCGGCGTCTCACTTTTCAGCTTGTCTACAGGTTTCCAGCCAAACCATTTGACAGATTCATCTGAAATTTTCAGGAATGTTTCTACGTATCAAAGTTAAGAACTGATTAGTTTTTGGGCATTCTGGGTAAATTTTAAGGTGGCCATTTTGGATTTTCCGTCCTAAAATCTTCACTTTCAAGACTTGTCTACAGGTTTCCAGCCAAACCATTTGACGGATTCATCTGAAATTTTCAGGAATGTTTCTACGTTTCAAAGTTAAGTTATTAGTTTTTGGGCATTCTGGGTAAATTTTAACGTGGCCATTTTGGATTTTCCATCCTAAAATCTTCACTTTCAAGACTTGTCTACAGGTTTCCAGCCAAACCATTTGACGGATTCATCTGAAATTTTTCAGGAATGTTTCTACGTATCAAAGTTAAGAACTGATTAGTTTTTGGGCATTCTGGGTAAATTTTAAGGTGGCCATTTTGGATTTTCCGTCCTAAAATCTTAACTTTCAAGACTTGTCTACAGGTTTCCAGCCAAACCATTTGACGGATTCATCTGAAATTTTCAGGAATGTTTCTACGTATCAAAGTTAAGAACTGATTAGTTTTTGGGCATTCTGGGTTAATTTTAAGGTGGCCATTTTGGATTTTCCGTCCTAAAATCTTCACTTTCAAGACTTGTCTACAGGTTTCCAGCCAAACCTTTTGACGGATTCATCTGAAATTTTCAGGGATACGTATCAAAGTTAAGAACTGATTAGTTTTTTGGCATTCTGGGTAAAATTTAAGGTGGCCATTTTGGATTTTCCGTCCTAAATTCTTCACTGTCACACTTCTGTGTTTTAGGTACGATATTGTTCACGTCTGTGCCTTGTTCCCGGAGTATTAATGAGTGACTGACCAGTTCTACGCCAATTTATGAGAGACATCTTTTCATATTTTTGGAACAAATTAAACTGGAAAAGACTTAAATACACTGGATGAAATACCCCAGATAATTCCCTGGGATTCATTCTAAATTTTGGCGAAGATTTATATTAGCGAATTTTTCAATTTAGCCAAATTCGCCAAATTAAAGCGGGCGCCAAATTAACCCAATCTACAGTAGCGACCATCGGATAAATATGATATCCTATGATTTTCTCGGCTATCATTTTTATCCACTCTTGGATATCGCCGATCTCCACTCATTCGCTGCGCTCACTCATGGAGATGAGCGATATCCACTCATGGATAAGAATGGTATCCCTCAAAAATCATAGGATATCCTCCATATATATTGTAATATTTTGAGGAGGGGCGGGGAGGTCATATCTGTTATTTAAATTTATATTTCAATTGAGAAAGATATATAAAACATGTTGTACATGAAAATTAGAAGTTGGACAAAGTAGTTACTTGTATAATTATGTGATCAATATTTTTCCAATATACTCTAATATATATTGAAAGGTGGTGGTACACGTAATTCTGAATTTTTATTTGTACATGTATTTTTAGCACCGGAAAAATATTGGTACTCAAGAGGAACGTTAACATAAAATGTTCTTGATGTCCATTTAGGTTACTTTATTTAAAAAACAATTCAAGATGTTATTGTTTTCTAGAATTTCATTTCATAAAAAAATGTATAGCACATTCAATATTTGAATTGCAAATTGCAATAAAATCATTTTGAACAGACTACACATGTCAGCTCCCTGCCATGAACATATTTTGGACAAGGCAAGGATCCACAAACAGCTTGAACTGGGAGAAACAATGCACCATTTTTGTTTTCATGGCCCCCATCAATTGTTTCTGGTTCTTCATCCATACATTCAAAGGCTTTGTTGTTTGCATGTGCATGGTGTTCTGCTACTAGGTAACCTTTGTACTCTTTGTTCCAACCATTTGGACATGTATGAAGTGCTGGTATCATTACCAAGTTCCGAGGTATCTGGCACACCACACAAGGAACATCATGGTCAGTTAAAGAATGAGGATTATTAGTGTCTGGAGCATTGGTTGCCTTGAATGGGACCTCATTAGAAGCATGAAACTCATATTCAGCTCCATATATATAGGCACCAACACTATTAACACCATCAGTATAACTTCCCCATTCAGGCTCGTTAGGCAGACATTAAAAATTGCTACTACCTCCAGTGTTGGTATAGTGGGACCCTGCCGCCACACCTGAATTATCGAATATGACAGTTTATTATCTGCGGGTCAGGTGGTTGAAAGAATTTAAAAAAGAATGAGGTAGTGAGCCTATTTTTGAGCTCATAATAAGTCTCCATATATATATTTCAAATATGATTTTTAGATATAATGAATTTTTAGCCTTTAGAATACCTTTGTATAAGACACTTGTTCCATTTGTATCTGGACACACTGTTCTTCCCCAGCGTACATATGTGCTCCATACTGCTGACTCGACTGTAATTGTTTGATTAATTTATTTCTAATCCATACTTCATATTTATAATGGACTAATTGTTTTATTGGCTCACACAGTGAGCCTATGGGATCGACCAGGCGTCCGTCCGTTGGTGTGTCCGTCCGTCTGTCCGTCCGTCCGTCTGTTGGTCCGTCCGTCCGTTGGTCTGTCCGTCCGTCAACATTGGCCGCACAAATTAAAAGTGCTATTCGGATTGAGTCATATCCACATTAATTTTATGCATATGCATTATGCATAATGCCTATTTGACCTATCATCGCCATTTCCCAAGTTCGCCTGGTTTCCGAGAAATTGCTGATTTTGTTATCAAAAAGTCATATTTTCTCTAAATACTAGACACTTTGTTGAAGTAGAACTTTCAAATAACTTGTAGTAGTTGCTGTATATGCAACTTATGTCCTCTGAAGATTTCAAAGCTCTTGGAATTACAGTTTTTGGTGTTTACTCTATAAAATTTGACAAAAGGTAGGATTTATTGTCATTTTCAGTAAACTTTCTCATATATAAAGTCAATGGCAGGTTTTCTGATTGACAAGTTTCTCAAAGTTTGCCTTATACTTGATCATTTCTTGCAATGAATTACATCATTTCTAGATTTAAGCATTCCCTACATATTGCTCAATATATGTCAGCATCAAATTTTTACCGTTTTGGAGATATTTGACGTAAAAAAAACAGTAAAAATAAGTTTTTTTTCGACTTCCTTAAATTTGACCAAATTTTTGGGGGAAAATCATCTACAGGAGTTCAAATCTGACATTAGTTTTTGGATTTGACCTTTGACCTTCGAAAGGTCAAAAAGTTGATTTTTGGATGTGAATTTTGGTCAGCTTAATCACAAGAGACCTAACTGAGCTCTGAATAAGTAAAATTTTCAAGGTCAAAGGTCATCAGACTAGGTCACACAACTGTGCTATCTAAGTTTCGCAAAGTTCGAGACTACAAATCCAAATCAATATTTTTGTTTGAAAGTAAGGATATACATTCCTCTGAAGGTTCCAAACTGTGTGAGCACAGGACCGTAGGTCCTTCATTATTTTTAACTTTCACTCTATAAATAAGTTGAAATAAATACTTTTTTGTTTTAATAGTTGAAGTAACATTATTGATAGGCTTTGTTGTTACATATTGCTAGAGAAGAAGTAACCATACTTTTACCAGGTATGCAAAAGGCAATATAATCAGACATACCTGTACCAGCTGGAGTTCCACATGGCAATTCAATTTCTCTATTACAATCCTTCTCAACAACAGGTATGGACTTAAGAACGTTCTGAATATAATAAATATACAAAATTACTAACCTGTATTTAAGGTGTCATTTTCCTTATTTATTGTTTGAATTTAGTTACCATTTTGAATTTATAAAAAATCTACAAAGGCCCAATAAGTTATTGGGGATACATTTGAAAGGGTGATAGTTGAAGAATACACATAAAACCTCATTAAACATTTCAAAGTTTTATTTGTTAGAATACATTGTGTCTTTTTTGCTTATTCATTTAAGTTTATAATTCAAAAGAAGTCTTTTACTAGAGATGAAGAATTTACCTCTATCCTTGCCACTCTTTGCTTGCATGTAAGTTTCTTTGCAGCTTGAGACACAATTATCATTGAACAAAGTACTCCCAGAGTTAGTATCGTTGGTGCCATTTTGTTTTTATTTGTATGTACCAACGATTGCTGCTAGTTAATATGAAACTTATATCTTGTTCATTAGCATTAAAATTAGCATAGGGAAAACATTTACACAAGAATAATAAACAAGGAAAATTATACAGTGTCAGAAGTGGCTAAATATTCGATGTTTATTTTACATTTGATATATTGCAAATCTATTTTAACATCATAAATATTCTAAATTTAATGTCAAAACAAATGTAGAAAACTTCAAATAAGAAAAAAGTAAAGGACCATGTGCAGTATGGCAAGTGATTTTAGACAGTCATATCTTTCACTATGAATACTTTCTGGGCATAGATGTGGTTTTTATTAAAACAATATGTTTTCTTTCAAGTGAAGTACCTATGATGATAAATATATCAATCTAACAATTCGAAAAATTATGAATATGGACCCCATGTGAACATTTTTCTCAAAATGTTGAACCGATTTACTCAAAAGAGGATCTTCTCAAAAGAAGATTTTTATTCCATCAAAAGAGTAAACAACAAGGGGTCTAAAACTTCTTCAAAGGTAGAATGGTATTAAAAGTCTACTTTTGAAGATATCAAATTTCGATGACCAAATCATGCTGAAAACAATGGATAGCACAAGTTTTCCCTATGGGAAAATAACATGGGATATGTGGTTTTTAACTTTAACGCATTTCAATACCCATCCCCTTTTCAAAATTGTTGAGATAGTATAGAAGAAACTTTTGATATGTTTGAATTGAGAAAAGCAAGATCCTCTATTTAGAAAATAAGCCTAACATTTCTAAAAAAGTGCCAAGGTTGGGTCGTAATCCATAATTTTTGAGAGAGTTGGATTGATATTTTACTATCATGAGGACTTCTCTTGAAAGAAAACATATTGTTTTAATAAAAACCACTGTATTTATGGCCAGAAAGTATTCATGGTGAAAGATATGACCATCTAAAATCACTTGCCATACTGCACATGCACCTTTCAAACAAATAAAGAAAGTAATATATGTCAACCAAATATTTGATACTCTAAGGACGATTAGTAACGTTGAAACCAAGTCAACAATATCAAATAAAAAGAACGTCATTGAATAAAGAGGGAAAAACAGGCATGAACAGTTAGTTTACAACATTGACCTCATGTACTTTATATTAGTATACTTTATGAAAAATGTTAATTACATGGTTTATACGTTTTAGGATGAAAATGAGGCTGGTAAACCTCCTCCTCCTGAACTCCAGTATGCACCATACCACAAACTACAGAAACTCAGCAAATCTGAGGTAAGTCACTTATTGCCCCTCTCCCTAAACTCCCAACATGTACCATATCAAAAACTACAAAAACTCAACAAATCTGAGGTAAGTTTCTTAATGCCCCTCTCCCTAAACTCCAATATATACCATATCACAAACTAAAGAAACTCAACAAATCTGAGGTAAGTTACTTAATGCCCCTCTCCCTAAACTCCAATATGTACCATATCACAAACTACAAAAGCTCAACAAATCTGAGGTAAGTTACTTAATGCCCATCTCCCTAAACTCCAATATGTACCATATCACAAACTACAAAAGCTCAACAAATCTGAGGTAAGTTACTTAATGCCCCTCTCCCTAAACTCCAATACGTACCATATCACAAACAACAGAAACTCAACAAATCTGAGGTAAGTTACTTAATGCCCCTCTCCCTAAACTCCAATATGTACCATATCACAAACTACAGAAACTCAACAAATCTGAGATAAGTTACTTAATGCCCCTCTCCCTAAACTCCAATATACCATATCACAAACAACAGAAACTCAACAAATCTGAGGTAAGTTACTTAATGCCCCTCTCCCTAAACTCCAATATATACCATATCACAAACTACAGAAACTCAACAAATCTGAGGTAAGTTACTTAATGCCCATCTCCCTAAACTCCAATATGTACCATATCACAAACTACAAAAACTCAACAAATCTGAGGTAAGTAACTTAATGCCCCTCTCCCTAAACTCCAATATATACCATATCACAAACTACAGAAACTCAACAAATCTGAGGTAAGTAACTTAATGCCCCTCTCCCTAAACTCCAATATGTACCATATCACAAACTACAAAAACTCAACAAACCTGAGGTAAGTTTCTTAATGCCCCTCTCCCTAAACTCCAATATGTACCATATCACAAACTACAGAAACTCAACAAATCTGAGGTAAAATACTTAATGCCCCTCTCCCTAAACTCAAATATGTACCATATCACAAACTACAGAAACTCAACAAATCTGAGGTAAGTTACTTAATGCCCCTCTCCCTAAACTCCAATATGTACCATATCACAAACTACAAAAACTCAACAAATCTGAGGTAAAATACTTAATGCCCCTCTCCCTAAACTCCAATATGTACCATATGTGACAAACTAAAGAAACTCAGCGAATCAGAGATAAGACATTTATTGCCCATTCCATATTGAAATGTCCAAAATAAGGAGTGAATTCATAAAAAAATATTTTGTTCAGTAATAATTGCTACTTCATGGGGTTGCTGTTATTTTAGTTGCAAAATTACCCCCTTAATATGGCTGTTAGACATTGTATTGGAAATTGGAAACTATTTTTATTTTTCTATTTAAAGATATACATTTCTCATCAGGTTGTGGTGTCTTTGATCTACTAGGATGTCATTATCTAATTCAGTAGTTCATTGTGATATTTAGATGATAAATTTTCTTGATTACACACATTAGAGTCCATATGACTAAAGTATGTTCATATTAATTGCTTTTGTAAGTAAAGGCAATTGTTCAATCAATTTTCCCTGTCGCTTTGCTATTAGTTATCTAGGGATGAAAGCCATTGAATGGATTCACTTTATTTATTATGTCGTATAATAAACATTGATTGTATGCTTTGTTTTCTTTTTATTATAGTTTATGATAGTGCATCATAGAAATTATGAATTTATGTCAAAAACAACAAAATGTATGTATTTTCATTACTTGCAAATTGGCACGTTATTGCGCAGTTTTAAAAATATGCATTTCATTTTGAAATTACCTTAAATTTATAAGATGATAACCTATGATTTATGGAATGTATGAAATGTGCATAGACTTTAGAATCTTGTATATTCCTCTAGAATTACTAAATTATTGAGACCTGACTTATGTAATAATATATACAGGTTATTTATTGGGAGGGATTGAATATGGGTTTTATTCCGTGGAACAATAGATATTGACCGAAGGGTAATATAATATGACAAATGGGTAAATATCTCTACTAAGGTTTTGATTAACTATATAAGTAACTTCATAAGTATGATTAAGTTAATTAAATACCTTATTAAGAAATCATCTTATCATTATTAATTTGTCACCACCACAACTATTTTGTTTTGGTGGTTGGTGTTTGGCATCCAGTGTTTGTAACATGGCATCTGTAAGATGATGTCTGTAACATGGTATCTGTTACAAATGGCAGGTCGTGACATTTTGCATGTTGATGCCCTGTGTTTCCTGCATCAGTGTGATGTGGTCTTCATTTATGAAGGTCCATTTGCATAAGAAAAGCACAATTCTTTAATTATGATAATGTTTTCTGTTTCAGTTTGAAGACCTGTATATTGAGGTGTTGTATACCATCAAACACAAAGTGGGGACAACCATTGGGGGCCACTCCCCATTTATGCAAGATCTCTATCTATATGCCAGGGAGGCTTTTGGTGTTACCCCTGAAGATCATGCCCACTTACTGGCAAAGGCAAGCAAAGAAATGGTAAGATCTTTTGATTTTTTATAAGTAGTTTGTCTGATATCAACCCCCTGTATTCCCCACATTCATTTTGTTTTCCAACATAATGTCAATGTAAATAGTTAAAAACCTATTAAGGGATACCTAGCTTAGAGAGGACATCTTCCATTCCTATCAATAGAAAGGTTTCAAAAAGGTTCTTAATTAAAGGCCATTCAAACCATCCTATAAGCTATAACTATATGATTCTGCTTCTCTTTCACACATTCTGTACAAATGCAACTAAATTGTACCAGTTGTCTCAGAGCAATAAAATAACACAATATAATCCAGCATCTAATTTCAAGGATTACTTATCATCGTGGACACATTTGACTGGCTTATAACATTAAAAAGCAGAAATAAATTACCCAGCATCTTCTAAGTTTATTAATCTATTTAAAAGGGTTCAGTGACTGCCATGTTGTAGTCAAAATATGAAATCATCAATTTGAGTAATGTTACTCATAAATTAGAAACCCTTATGTTAGTTTCTTGAGGGAAATGTTCCCTTTGGGCCTCATAACATGTGAAATAGTACTCAGGTTATGAGAAATCGGGTGACTGATCGTTCAGCTTTTTAAGGTCAGTGAAGTTTATGTGTTTCCCTCCATTAAGTAAAATCATCACGTATATTATATATCATGCTTTGTAAATTCCAGTCATTCATTCTCGTAGATTAAGCTAGAGGTATAGTACATGAACTGAGGAGAACTCCAAAAGGTAGATAGAGCTTGAGGTATAGTTCATGAACTGAGAGGAACTCCAAAAGGTAGATAGAGCTTGAGGTATAGTTCATGAACTGAGGGGAACTCCAAGGGTTACATAGAGCTTGAGGTATAGTTCATGAACTGAGGGGAACTCCAAGGGTTACATAGAGCTTGAGGTATAGTTCATGAACTGAGGGGAACTCCAAAAGGTAGATAGAGCTTGAGGTATAGTTCATGAACTGAGGGGAACTCCAAGGGTTACATAGAGCTTGAGGTATAGTTCATGAACTGAGGGGAACTCCAAGGGTTACATAGAGCTTGAGGTATAGTTCATGAACTGAGGGGAACTCTAAAGGGTAGATAGAGCTTGAGGTATAGTTCATGAACTGAGGAAACTCCAAAGAGTAGATAGAGCTTGAAGTATAGTTCATGAACTGAGGGGAACTCCAAAGAGTAGATAGAGGTATGGAAATCACAAAGGATAGGTTCTCATTTACTTATTTCTTACTTTTCCTTCCTTTTAATAGCAAATTTCAATTCATTGAAACGTTTTCTACAATAATCACTTTGATACAACAATTATGTCTGTATCATTGAATATGTGCCTTCGGTCTGTCGTAATATAGCCCTCACTTATTTAGTCAAACTATACTTCATTCCCAGTCACTGTATTTGTATTATTGCTATTAATATTTATAGGTAAACATAGACAAATATATTATCCTTTTTAATGTGGCATATAGTGAATACTATTAGATGAAAAGTACAGTACAGGATTTTCTTTATAAAATCATTATATTGATACAAATTGCCCTCATTCATCAAATACAGAATGTAGGGGATATGCTCTAAACTCTATCGCGAAAATCTAAGTTTTTGATTTCTTACCAAAGTTATGTTTGAAATTTTCATAGTTTATTCATAAAATGTATCTATTTGACATACATATATATATCAACCCTATGGGTGAATGCAATACCATTATTTAAGATTGAAAACTCTTTGAAATCCAAGACTTTTTGACCTTAATTTCCCGATTGTGTTGTCCTTGTTGACATTGATGGATGAGAAATGTTTGATTTTGAACAGAAACGGGCGGTGATTAGGTCATCATTCGTTTCCATGTTATCAATAATTCACACTAGGATAATTGTGGGTCATTGAGTTATTCCATGAACATCAATGACATGAATTCATGGCAGAAACTTTAGCTCAGGGTATCTCCCTCAGGGGTAGCTATTTGGTCTGAAAGTGCTGGGAGCAATATTTAGATTACAAAACTTCTCTACATCTGTATATCCTGTTTTTTCCCTAAGGAGCAGTCTCTTGGTCTGGCAGCAAATAGGAGAAATATTTAGCAAGTTACAGTTGTATTTATATTATATTATTGTATTGACCTATGTACCACTTTAAATGTTCACAGTTTATCATGTTTATTGTAAATTTAATTATGGGCAGTCATACACCCCCTGGGGTGTCATAGCCTGTATAATGTTGTAATTTTTGTAATGAAAACTGAAATAAATTATTTTGAAATTGAATTGAATTGAATTGAATCTTCTGGATCTGTATATCCTATTTTCTCCCTAAGGAGCAGTCTCTAAGCCTACCAGTAATGGGGAGCTATATTGAGATAAATAAGTCTACAAGAAGGAGGAACAACATTTAGTTCAATCACAATACTTTTCTGTATCTGTATATCCCCTTAATATATATCCATCAGGAGTCTCTTAGCCTACCAGTAAAAGGGAGCAAAATTTAGATAGATAGAGCTTGTTTATGATTTATATGTATATTCCATTAGGTAGATTACAAAGATTGCATATGGTTTTCACATTTGTTTAAATTATTTCAATGGAGACAGGATGGCTACATGTTTATGAGTGTTTTGCAGACATTGATATTTGCATTAGATCACACCATTACCCTCTTCAAGAGGCTTTGCAAGATCGATTTACTCTTAGCATTTTTTTTATTTTATAGATAAACTTCTGAACTCAGCGAGCCAATCATACCCTTGAGTAGCTAAATTGTGGTTCTTTACATGTAATATACATCGTCATATGAGAATAATAATGTCCCTAGTGCCATTTTTGAAAAAATTGAGATTTTCACAGATTTTCACTATTTAAATCATCCTCTTTTTTACTGAGATATTCCCTTACCTTTATCTCCTCTCAATAGCATGCTTTTCAGTGTCAAATTGCCCTAACTCTATAAAAATTTCAAAAATACAATTTAACTTTGTTCTATGTATCACTTTAACCAATCAAATTGTTTGAATTAAGCCATGTGACCAAGAATTATTATATAACAATTTTAAACTGAGATTTGAGTCTATTTTTGAAAAAATTGAATAGAGAAAATTTGTGTCCACCGAAGAACACTGAATAAGGTCACAATGACAAAATTTAATTTAGGATAACTATTGAGTACAGACATCATAATAAAGAGAAGATTATGCTTAAGCTAATAATTGTGTCTAGCTACCAGCCATGAGCTGGTAACATATACCCTGGGGAGATTTCAATATCATGTACTTTTGCCCTTAGTATATCAATTTTATTCATTTTGACATGGCCTCTGAATGATTGATTGAATGTCCAAAAAACTAAGCGATTTCATGATGGTAATGATTTTTTTCTCGATTGCTTCAGAAACTAATCTAGGAAGTTTTGATTTGTGTCCCCATGTTATTAATGTTGACTGATTAGTCTTTGGTGATGCGGATTAAATTGAATAAGCCTGAAGGAGCCTGAACCTGACCCCTGAGGGAGAAACCACTCTTTTTTCCTTTCCCCAGCCTGAATTCTCATTTTGGTAGAGATGTTTATATTTTTCTTTTGGATATCATATGGTGAGATTAATATATATTTATATTGAATATAATTCACCATACACCATGCACCTTTTCTCCATTTGCATTTTATGTTTTATTTGACATAATAGGAATTGATTTAAATATACAGGTCAGATTGTATGAATGTGAATATACAATAGTGACCTAATTAGAACTCTTCTTTATTTAATATTTATAAGTTATAACTCAATTGGTACCAATGAGACTAGAAGTAAGACAATAATTCCAGGTAGACCACAAGTTGGAAATAGTCCATTGTTTTTATTGATATACAGTGTATTTCCGCTATTTGACAAATAGGGCATCGTGAGATTCTTCCATTGTTATCACTGCAATAACCCGAACCTGGGAGCAATAAAAATGTCAGATTTATTCACCTCGATCCCGCAACAAGATGAATTACTCTCATGGGTCACCAATTAATTCATCATTTTTTACATACATTGGTATCGGGTTGAATTATCTTGAAAAATGATCTTCATGGTATTTTGATTATGAAAAATGTGTAATAAATTCATTTAGAGAAAGATAGATCGGTGCTGTCAAGGAAATACATCAACTCTGATTTATGCAATATAGCCTGTGGCTTGCACCTTTTTGAATAACATATGACAACACTATACTATAGATCTATTCATCACTAGCTTATCGTAATGTAAGAAACTGATTTGTTTCATCAGTTACTTACAGAAACATTTTTGCATTTTCAAAATTTGAGATTTATGATTAGATAATGAAACATTTTTGCATTTTCAAAATTTAAGATTTATGATTACATAATGAAATATTTTTGCATTTTCAAAATTTGAGATTTATGATTTTTTGCATTTTCAAAATTTAAGATTTATGATTACATAATGAAACATTTTTGCATTTTCAAAATTTGAGATTTATGATAACGTAATAAAGATACATTTGTGATTCTACAATTTCGGATCATATACATGAATACACTATTATCTTAGTGAATAGGTTAGTATGTTTTGACATCACCAAACAAACAAACAAACAAACAAACAAACAAATCAACAGATTTGAAAATGATGAATACAACAACAACAGGGGTATTTTAAGCTCTACAGAATGATCCTTTTACGTGCATATACTATGCATATATGTACTGTACTGTATTTATTTCATCGAATTGGAAATTAAGGAGTATGTTCAACCACGAAGCACAAATGCTTTTAAAAAGGCAAGGGTTATAAATGTCAGGAAATTGCATATCTTTTATTAAGATGGAAGAATTATGTTTGCATCTTGAGCAATGCTACGACTGGTATTGGGAAACACTTAAGTTTTATTACACAAAAGTAGAAATAATCGACAATCTCTTTTGGGTATAAAATCCTACGTCTGGGATTCATTTTTATTTCACATTTGATGGTGGCAGCTTTCAGAATTACCATAAATTACATCTTACCATTTCTAATTGTCTAGTGGTGAAAAGCTCAGAAAAGTGAATTCCAAAGATATCGTGAAATAATTGTCCATCAAGAGACACATCTGGACACTGAACAGCAAGATGAGTTTACCTTAGAAATAGTAAAATATCTGTATTATGTTCATAACCTTTGCAAGTTGAAGCTTTATTTTCTGTACCGGAAAATGCTAGGGCATCTGTGTCATTACTGCGAGAATTAATAATCACATTATCACTGGTCTCTGTAGGCTTCTTCACATTCAGTATGTCTCTTGTTATGACTTCGATCATTTGTCATTATTTTGTCTTCAAACTGTCTAGATATAATGACTAATACTAGTCTACTGCTTCATAAAGTGTTCCATCTGAAGGCATTAAGGATCAATTCATTTGAATAAATAAACTTGTTTTAGGACAGATTGTAAAAGTGGGTGTTTTGCGGCATATTTTACTTTAGGTTACGGGAAAATAAAAAAATAATGGTATTTAATTTTCTTTAATTTCAAACTCTTCCCTTCAACAAAATAAAACCTCTATTATATGCTAATATTCATGTAATCAGTGCCTCTTTACCGCCTTCCTCATCCATTTACATATGTACATTTATATTCCATCTTTTAATTCAAAGTCCTGGCCATAAATATGACTCATATGATTGGTTGATGTGTTTCCAGCCTCCCACCCTGATTCTTATTGTAACCGTAATAGAAGCCCGCAATCTAGAAGCCAAAGATGCCGATGGTGAGTAATAGGTGGCGCTATTGTGTCTCTTTAATCAAAAGTCGAAATTAACTATATATAATAAATTATCCATAGAATTATAGTTTTATTAATTACTGAGTTAAAAATGTAGTCACTGTATTGCATCTAGACAATTCAGATAATGTATGTTATATTTTATATGTTTTTTGATTGCTCTGCAATAATTTTTTAAAAAAAGCACTGAAACACCCAATTACTAAGGGTGTCGAATGCACATGTTTTGTACATTCCATTCCTATATTATCATGAAATAAATAAATAAATGAAAAATTACTCAAATTGGGGAAATAAGTAATATATGTAGTTACTGACATGAATTTACAAAAGCATTGAATTATACTATATATCATGAATTCTTAATTTGCAATTACAACATTGTAAGAATGATGATTTTAAGCAGAGTATAAGCTATACATGCAATATACCTATATGTCATTTTCCTGTAATGGTTAATGTTCACTGCTCTGTGTTTTATAGGATTCAGTGACCCCTATTGCATGCTGGGTATTATGCCATATCGTGACAGAAGCCAAAGTATAACATCAGCTTCCTCTGAAGATGAACTTGAAAATCGTGAATCACCGAATACACCAAAAAATCCACTGAAAAAATTCTCAAATTTAAGCTTTAAAAAGCGTAGTAAGGATAAAGGTAGTGTTGCTGTCCGAGATGAACTCCCCGCGAAATACATCAAGTCCACGTCATACAAGCCAGATACTTTGAACCCAGTGTGGAATGAAAAGTTTAGATTGTAAGTACATCTTGTAAAAGTCTTTACAGTAATACAGTAATCAAGCTCCTGTACCACCCTCCCATTCTCTCATGGAGTTAAGGACAGTGGGAGTAGATGGGCTTGCTGCAAGACTTTACAATAAAACCTGCGTATATTAAACATTTCCTGAGAAAAACGTTCAGTGTCGATAAGTGTTCACTACAGAGAGGGTAATTTATACAGAAGTTAGTTGAGTATGTACTTTGAAAGGATGTCTCTAGTTTATACAGAAGTCAGTAGAGTTTGTATGGACGAAGTATTGTCAACTAGAAACAGGTGTTCGCTAGAGAGAGGTGTTCACTAAGACAGGTTTTACTATATTTGTCCATTCTACATGTATTTAGTCTTGCATCAAACCTTTGTATCCCCACTGTCTGTAACTCAATTGTAGGATGGGGAAGCGTGTATAGGGAAACATATAGTCTGGCATCAAGCCTTGGATTATAATTTTCGTTTTTCTTGATCGATTAGTATTTCATGATCTGGTCTTTAACATTCATTTTAATTACATGGCAAAAAGTGATGTTCTGTTAAGTTTATTGGAAGATTTCTTATCTTTTGATATCATTTATATGTCCATTGATACCGTTTACCATAATTGTCCATTGAAACCATATAGTCCATTGATACCATTTATATCCATTGGTAGCATATATGTCCATTGATACCATTTATATTATGTCGGTTGATGCCATAAGTGTGTCAGTTGACATATATCAGATAATTAAATGAATGTGTATTATTTGAGATTTTTCCTATATTTGTAGTGATCTGGATTGTAGAGAAACTGACTGTCTGCACATAGATATATGGTAAGTGAATATTGTATACTCACTATAAAATGAGGGGTCATATATTGTAATATCACCACCAGAAGTGAGACATATTGTTATAGTCTCCAACTTTTTTGTGGATGGTGTTTTGCAGTTGGTGTTTGGTATCTGTAACATTGTTTGGCATCTGTAGCAGTGGTTGGTAACTAACAAATGGCAGTTGGTGACATGTTTTATATGTGAATGCCTTGTTTACTAAAACAATGTACAACTATTTAAAGGACTTTGTATTGTTACACCACAGACTCATTGTAACAATGACTAATGTCTTGCTCAAATGCTTCAATATTTGAGAGATAATTGTAAATGTACATGTATTTGCCTCTATAGGGACCATGATGATGAATTCTCCATGTTAGATGCTCAAATGCTTCATTGCTTGAGAGACCTCCACAAATGCATTATGTACTTGCCTTTTAAGGGACCACGATGATGAATTCTCAGTGCTGGATGCTGCAAAGACACTGAATGAGGTCAGTGGATTTAAAGGATTGAACAGATTCTTTAAACAAGTGGCCCAGTCAGCACGTACAAACAACGATGACCATGTGGATGATTTCCTCGGCTGTGTGAATATCAAAGTTTCGGTAAGTTGTCATAACCCCTTTTCGCTCCGTCTGTCTATCCAACCATCCGTCAACAATTTTAGGACAAATGAAATCTGCCATTCATTTAAAAAAAATGGAGTCCATGATGTGGAATACAGATGTAAATGCGCAAAATAAGAGTATGGATTCTCTTGTCCCAAAAAGTATCACAATTACATTAAAATAAATGAGTTTTCCTGAATTGAAATATGAACTAAAATACAAGTATGAGATAAAAAAACATGTGAAAAAATGAAAACAAACTAATATTGTTGTTTGAAATGTTTTTCCAGGAGATCCCATCTACGGGTATAGAAGATTGGTTTTCACTGGAAGGCAGATCAGATAGGTCAAACATACAAGGTAATTTGCATCTTGTTGTATTTTTTTGGCTCACACAGTGAGCCTATGGGATCGACCAGGCGTCCGTCCGTTGGTCCGTCCGTCCGTTGGTCCGTCCGTCCGTTGGTCCGTCCGTCCGTTGGTCCGTCCGTCCGTCAACATTGGCCGCACAAATTAAAACTGCTATTCGGATTGAGTCACATGCACTTTCATTTTATGCATATCCATAACGCTTATTTGACCTATCATCGCCATTTCCCAAGCTCGCCCGGTTTCCGAGAAATTGCTGATTTTGACGTCAAAAAGTCAAATTTTCTGTAAATATTAGACACTTTGTTCAAGTAGAACTTTCAAATAACTTGTAGTAGTTGATGTATATGCAACCTATGTCCTCTGAAGATTTCAAAGCTCTTGGAATTACAGTTTTTGGTGTTTACTCTATAAAATTTGACAAAAAGTAGGACTTTGTCATTTTCAGGAAACTTTCTCATGTATAAAGTCAATGGCAGGTTTTGTGATCAACAAGTTTCTCAAAGTTTGCTTTATACTTGATCATTTCTTGCAATGAATTACATCATTACTAGATTTAAGCATTCCCTACATATTGCTCGATATATGTCAGCTGCATATTTTTACAGTTTTTGAGATATTTGACGTAAAAAAAACAGTAAAAATAAGTTATTTTTCAACTTGCTTCAATTTGACCAAATTTTTTTTTGAAAATCATCTACAAGTTGCCAGGAGTTCAAATATGACATTAGTATTAGGATTTGACCTTTAGTAGACCTTCATTGACCTTCGAAAGTTCAAAAAAGTTGATTTTTCAAATTGATTTTTGGATGTAAATTTTGGTCAGCTTAATCACAAAAGACCTTTAAGTTACTGAGCTCTGAATAATAAGAAAAATTTTCAAGGTCAAAAGTCATTAAACTAGGTCACACAACTGTGCTATCTAAGTTTCTCAAAGTTCGAGACTACAAATCCAAATCAATATTCTTGTTTGAAAGTCAGGATGTACATTCCTCTGAAGGTTCCAAACTGTGTGAGCACAGGACCGTGGGTCCTATTTTTTATTTTTCCAATAATGGTGTTTCTTATTTTTCCCATAATATTTAAAATATTTAACTATCTGTGTCAGCATCATAATGTTTCATTATTTCTGTAACCGACAGTTGAAATAGTTTTTATTATGCTTCCACCAAGAATTGTTGACATATAGCCATCATATTTGATACCAGCAGTGATCAACTTCTGAAACAGATGTATAGTACATGTATACAATTTTTTAATTGCAACCAAATGGTGACATTCTGTCATATTAACATTTTCGCATCCTCAGTCTTTAATGTGTTAGACCGACGGGGAGTCTAGTGAACGAAGATGTCATATTCATGCCTTGAGTGAAATTACCATACATACTGTATAAGTGGTAATTTTACCTAATTACTAACCACTTGGATTAAATACCACTTATACAGTATAATGCATAATTACTGGTCTCCAGTAAAATTCACTGATTTTGCCAAATCTTAACATGAATAATTCTTTACCAGGTGAAATTAAGCTGAACATTAAGCTAGCAACACGAGAATACAAGAATGACTACATCGAGGGGGATAACTGGGATGATTTAGCTCAGCATGAAGATCTCCTTTGTATGTTCATCAAGTATGAAATCACAAAATTCAGAGTGAGTAATTCAAATATTTCATTTAATTTTTTCATTTATTATGTCACCATCACAAGTGTTGATACATTGTTATTATGGTATTAGTTGTTATAGTTTTCAACTTTTTTATGGTGGGGGTTGGTGTTCCCTGTTTGACATTCAGCATTCGGTGTTTGGAATTTGGTGTCTGTAACAAATGGCCGGTGGTGACATTTTGCTTGAAGCTGCCTTGTATCAATTTTTTCTTCAATCCTAACCAAGAACAACAATTTATATGTATTTATATTCATCTATTTTCTTAATAAATACTTATAGCCAGTCAGATTGCTAATTTACTGTTCATTATTAAACATCAACAAATAATCTTCTAAGTGAATTTTAGTGAATTACTGCAGTGTTCAAATCTGTAACATTTTTTTGCATGGATCAGTATATTCTGACATCATACCCAGGTCAGGTTGAATGTATCAATTCAACACAAAATATATTTTGATCAAATTGGATCAGGCGTGACTTTTGTACTATGAACTGAAATAGCTTAATCTGAATATACGATTTCTAGTAATCATGAAATGTACACACAATTGATAAATTGCCATATGACTGATGTATGTACTTTGCAGTAAATATAAATTGTGTAAATAGACGTGAATCAGATTATATTTCAAATGATTATTTACATGTAAAAATTCTATGTTAAATGTCTTTATAATGTAATATTACAATTCAATGCATATAATATTGCCTCTCGATAAAAACCTTTTTATTATTCACTGGTACTTGTTTAACCAGACCTCATAGTTAACCATGAGTGTCATATTAAGCTCAGTGTTTAGTTGAGCATACTGCCAAGTTCACTAATACACATAACCTTTGCCTGGCCATGACACTGCCACACAAACTCATGGTGTCATAAGCCATGGGCTGTGCAGTACCCATGTGTTTCTCTTCTATAAATAAAGTACAGTAATACATGTATAAAATATTTAAAAAATAAATTTCAGTATGAGACATTCCGATGGACGGGGGATCTACCACAGGCTGCAAGAACCATACTCCATCAACATGCTATACAGGGGGATGTCACGGATGCACAACAGTCAGCTTGGTAATATTTTCTTTACATCATAGTGGTGACATATTGTTATAGCATTCAACTTTTTGTGGATGGTGTCTGGCAGTCAGTGTTCAGCTGTCAGCGTTTGATGCTTGTTACAAATGGCAGGTTGTGACATTTTGCATGTTAATGCCTTGTTTGAATAAGAGTAAAACTTGAGTATGGTGAACACTTTTTGAGCCACAAAGTGTGTTCAACAATCCGAGGTGTTAAAAGGTGTTCATTACTATGCTATAAGTTATTGGATGATTTTAAGTGCAATACAGGACATATTCTGCTCGAGAATTCTGTATTGGCACGAGATGAAGTCGAGTGCCAATACAGAATATCGAGAGCAGAATATATCCTGTGTTGCACTTAAAATCATTCTATAACGTTTTTGTGGTGTGATCCTCTGTATTGCTACTGAGAATGTCCCCTTCGTACCAATATTTTCTGTATTGCGACGGAGATGATCAATGGGGACAATCTCAGAAGCAATACAGATCGGTACAGCACAAGAACTGACCAATCGGAAGGCTTCATTTTACAGATCATACAATAAAAAGAGTTTTGATACAGAATGGTATGCTCTGGAAAATAGTACAATACTATTACAATACAATAACACATGATACAATAGCTAGGTGTTCACTGAGATAACTTTTACTCTAAACATATCTAGATTTAATATGATTCATAGAGATTTATGTTATCCTTTTCAAATATAGTGATTAAATGATTAAACTGATGAGCCAATGAAATAAATGAATATACTTTAACAATTATCTATCCCCATGTAATTGAGGAATCTTTAAGAATATCGTATAAAGCCAAATCCCAGCCATGCTCTTCAGAAATGGTAAATGGGGAGGGGAGTAAATACACATATTATATAATAAGTTATTAAATGTTATATTTTAGTCGTTGGATGGCCTACAGTAAGATGCATATACAGAATCCATTTGACTACATGTTCTTGTTAAGACTGTTGAAAGAGCTTGATGAAATATGGCAGCCCCCAGACTTCTCCAGAGAGGAGGTAGGAAAGTACATGTGTATTTGGCGTGTAATGGCATTAGATGTACATGTGGCATGTCATAGTTGTGCATTTTGTGTCATTGTCTAAATGAACAACTAGCTTGTCCTGAGAAAGTTGCACAAAATTCATTTTCCGTTACATGTGTTGTCATTGTTAGTTTGTATCCATCCTGCTTATTATATTATGACTAGTGGGAAAATACATTAGTTCTGAGATTAAAGGAATGACGGGCCAAACTATAAAAAGAGTGTGATATTTGCCACATGGATTCAGAGCCTTTATTGAGAAATGTAAAGCAGTAACTGTTGAACTAATTCCTCGCTTCATTTACCACCATTTACCTAGCTACTTTGAAATCATGATGACTTGACTCCCTTATATCATTTTTTTTGTTGATTTAGAACAATATAAATGTTACATATATGTGTCATACATTGATTGTTAATGCAATCTATAGTTTTTTATTCATTAGATATATGTTGTTATTTTTGAAATGTTATTAAGATTTTATTTTTAATAGAAAATATAAACCAACATCAGCGTTTTATGCAAAATTATGTACATGTAGTGAGAAACTAGATGTTTAAATTGTAGTTTGTAGTGTACACTGTCCATGTTGTAATTGATTAAGAACACCATGTAGATTATAGATGTCCCTGTAGTCTGTTGTCCAAGGTATTATGATTTTAGGCTGCGATTCTGGATTCTTTTACAGAAATGGTTGCATGCGAGGGATTTTGTAAGCTATGCTACCTTCTAACATTTCTTTCATTTCAAGCCTTTTATCTCATAGTACAGGTGCCAGCTTAATTAACAATGTTTCTTATTTGTGAAACTAATTACATTTATATTAGAGAAGGAGGGGTTAAAAACCCATGTTTTAGTCTTATGTTAAATGGCGGCAATTGAGTCTGCATACGCTGAGATGAAAAGCTTGAATTGATATGACAGAATGATTGTTAATACTAAGATCACTATAAGATGGTGTTACATCGTGCTATTGAAATACCTCTTTTTCAATCTCTTTCAATTTGTCACAAACTTTAGATCATATTTAACATTTAAATATATTTTGATCTCTATCTTTTGAACTCTATCTTTACTCTTTATTCACTAGGTGTTGGGTTATTAATTTATTCCTTGACCTAAACATTTAACTATGATTTAACATTAACATTCACCTCCCTCTTAAAGTTGAGTCACCGGAAGGCCCCCTTTGGATCATGTATGAAACTTATTTAAGTTGATAATTTGTTAAAATCATTATTCTGATTCATAGTAATTTGGAATTCAGATATAAGCAGTCTTTCTGTTGCCAAGTTTATTAGGGGGCTTATTCTGTTACCCAGCACATCTTTTTGTTTCACTTATATCATGCTCTGATATTATGAGACATACTCATCTGATGGGAAGAGTTACAACTGTCAATAATTTTGATGATTATTTTGTGATTAGGCCAATGAACTTAAATTTTTTTGTTTTCCATTAGGTTAAAATTGGAAATTGTCTGGCAAGCAATGTAAAAAAACAAACACAGAATATGATAATTCTGAAAAAAGTAGGAAATCATGCACACAAGTTGATGGGAAACAAAGATTTTAAGTCCATTGGCCTTATTGCCCTTAATTACATAATAGGCATTGTATTTTACAGTAAAACCTGTGAGGAAGTGTATCTTCTAGATACAGGTGTTCACTAGAGAGAGGTGTTCACTAAGACAGGTTTTACTGTATTGTATTTTATATCATGGCATATAAGATGTCATGGCTTTACATGATTTAAGGGGGCTTTACAAACAGGTTTAACATGAAGATGTCACTGTCAAATATCAATAGTTGACAGAATTGATCAAGGTTAAACTGTGTATGACAGTTAACAAAGAACAACTTCATGTTTCCACCTTTTGATCTCGTAAGAATAGTTCTTGATTGAACAGGAGCAATTTTTTATTTTATTTATCATAGTACTACATAAACATATATGAATTACCAAATTATAAAAAGTACATGTATATTGAGTATCTTGAAATAAAAGAAAGTTGGAGACAGGAAATGGGTTGCTTTAAGAAATGATCTATGGCTTTAAACTGGAGTTTTAAAACTGAATATTTTACACAATTTTATAAAAAGAAAATCAGGCCACTTCATTGGTGCTACTTGAGAAATACAGGATTGTATTTGAGTATATTTATCCCATGGGAAATAATAAACAAAATTATATGTACAATATTCATTTTATGTATTTTGTTAGTTTGAAATGTAAAGTTAATTTACTAATATTACTTTTTTATATTCAGGAAGAAAAGTTGAGCCAGTCATTTAGTAGATTTATCGAGTTCTGTATGAATCTGCTACGTCGTGTTCGTGATGCGTTTCCTGGGGCAAACAAGGCAGCTTTTCATCGTTTACAAGGCATGCTCAAGTAAGGAGAAAATTGATGTTTTTTATTATTTATACTTGTTATATTTATACTTGTTATACATTAAACACACCAATGAAGCTATTCCCCTGTGAAAATTATATTTTTGATACTGCAATCGTTATTAAACACTATTTAATGCAAATATTGATGGATCTTTTGTTTTTTGTCAAGAACTCTGGTCTGAACATTTATTTGATGAGCACAAGATGACTTTTTTTCATTAAAATCATAATTATAGAATTATCTGTAATAGTAAGAGTTTAGTGTGACTGGCTGATGGGAATCAGGGTAAATGACCTGCTCATTTTTGTAGATGTCTAAGTCAGATTTATGACATGGAGGTGTTTCGTTACTGCAGTCCATTCAGGAAGGAACTTAGGGCAGAAATCAAAACTGCACTCAAGGTAACTCAAGTTTGGATTTATTACACTCGGTTTCACTCAAAATATGAGTGATTTGTCTGGTAAATTGTCCTGTATTTTCTTACTAATATCCCCATCAAACTGAATATGCAAAATATCCATCCATTTGTTTGATGGGATTTGCTACCTTTGATATTGCTACATATTTTATTGCTTGTATATTTTACATTGTTCAGTTACTCACTACCCTTTGCATTCGTTTGACTTCACTTATTAAAACAGAGCTTCGTCTTCACTCTTTCAAACTAAAATAAACCTGTGAACTCATTGCGCCAATCTGTGTTCGTCGGCCAAATTTGACCAACGTTCTATAAATGGTCATTTCTTCTGACGTCATCGTTGAGCCCGGAATTGACCAATGACATGCACATATTTAATTAGAATGCATTTGGCGTGTTTCTTCAAGCTCGCTGATTGGTTACCGGCCTGTAGTATATTTATGACATTGTGATGTCACCGATGCTATTATGACGTCATTATACATGTCTCTTGTTATCTTACAGAGTGGGACAGAGGAGTGGTACATGAAAACATTTGAAAACACAAGACCCAATGGTGATATGAGTGCAAAAGATGAAGAGTCCACAGTTCAGAGACTGATACAGCTCTGTGCTCTGGTCAACATGGACTTACATAAGGCAGAGAAATATTATAATAAATTATTTGTCGAGTAAGTGGCTTGTCATTAGTTGATGAGACTTGAAATTTCCTTACTCCTAATAAAATCCTAATAACCGTGAACTTATAACGTTGATTCAAACATTGTTTTTGGCAAAATGTGTATTTGCTGAGCAGTGTGATATTTTCACAAAATGCTTGGATCTATATTTGTTGATGGTGCAGCTTACATATAACATTCTAATATCTACTGAGTTTATGGTTTTAAATTTGACTACGACGCAAAGGATTAATATCATATACTCTGGTCAATCATCAAACCCTATTTTCTATCTACCTTCTATTTTCTGTCCCATTGATGCATTGAGTTCAATCCATAACTTTAACAGTCTTGATTGTTACTTTTTAAATCCATAACTGTTAAATCCATAACTGTTAAATCCATAATTGTTGAATCCATAACTTTAACAGTGTTGATAATTGCTTTTTACTGTAACACTGCATTGCACTGTGCCATTTTACTTTTCCAGTCTAGTCAATGTGAATTTCTTAAGCTCTGTATACAGGCAGTTTGAAAAACTTGTGAGTAAACGTCTTATTTTTGTACCAGTTGTAATATTAATTAGATATTAAAACAATAATTGCTTCGAATTAATGATCGCTAGATGAAAAATTTAATTGTTAAACATGTTTTTGCTATGTGCATGGCTATTTGTACAGGGTGCCTCAGACAGAATACAAATAATATGTATTTTAGTGTTAATCTATTCTTGTCTCACCCTGTAGAATTTGTTTATTCTTATATTCAATCAAATTTTGTTGTCCTCCTTTCAAATATCGTAACTCCAAATGTTTTCTTCACAATCACATAATTACAACCTCTTATAGGTTAAAGAACAAATATAACAGTATAAATGATTTTGATTTTTAAGACTAAAAAACTTGAAACACCGCTGGTATCATATGAAAGTTTGATGTTGTTTCTGTTCACTAGATCTCAAATGATGTAGTCAGGATAGTCGGAGATGAGGTTAATATTATTGTGTGCCTTCGTTAAACACTTTGCTTCACATATAGACACTATAATTCATGCTTCACATATAGACACTATAATTCATGCTTCACATATACACACTATAATTCATGCTTCACAAATAGACACTATGTGTATATATAATCCACGATCATTATTTTCAATTCAAATTCTGCTATGCCATTTTTACAAAATCAGCATGTTGTTTTTGGCTCATTTATTATGTCAAGTTTTCTCAATTTTACCAATTTTGCCAGAATTTATCATAGTTTGCTAGGAATTTTGCTTGTTTTTTTTTTTGATCAAGCCAACATTCCTCATAATATTTTGACAAAATTTGCCAAAACTTTCCAAAGTTTGACAGGAATTTCAACGGTTTATGCCAGAATCTTTACATGTGGTCGTGGATTGATCCTACTACAGCTTAACACTTCATTGTACAGGGCTATATACAGTAAAACCTGAATAATTGGAATGTCACTGGCAATTGTCAAAAGTGTTTTGATTAGCAGGTGTTCACATTTCAAGGTGTTTAAATCAATGAGAGATAACCAAAATTGGGACAAAGAAAAAATGTTAACATTGAGAGATATTTGCATTAGAGTGATATTTTGAAATACAGGTTTTACTCTGTAGCCATTAAAGGTCATGCTTTATCTGTGGAATACCAAAGAAATAGGGGAGTTGTATAAGTTCATGAGTGTTCATGAATTTTCATGAATAGTCATCTTTTCTGCTATACAGTATACATACATCTATTTTGATATCTGGTTAGCATAGCTTTGTGTTCTCCATCTTATACTTTTTGGTATTTTGGATCTCCTCTTTCCAATGGTGTTTCACGTTTGTAAATGTATGAACCTTACAACGAAAAATGTTTATGACCCATTCTAGAAGTGAAGCCATAACCTAGAGCTTTATAGCCCTGTTGTGTAAAACCTGTTTAATCTGCTGGGAATTGGCAACATATTGGTGATAATGGGACTAACAAGTGTTCACTTTTACATATTTTTACATTTTAAATATATGTTCTTAAAATATGGAAACCGGTACAGGTTTTACTGTAGGGTCCTTTATATTAACTTATAGCGGTAATCTTGAGTTACCGTGGAAGTCTTAGCAGAATCCCATGCCTTTCACAAAGGAATAATGAACACCAGTATAATGAGTGTTCATAATTATGAACACCAATATAATTACCATAATTATGAACACCAATATGATTTGATTTTATATGTATAAGCCTTGGCAAAATCACCAATACACCTTAAACTCATGACTTGTAGTAATACAGTAAAATCTTTTGTTCCTCTAAAAAGTGTTCCACTTGAGAGTTGTCCCACTTATAAAGGTTCATTTAACATTAAGTCATTTGTTCTTGGGAATCTGAAAAATGTTCCACTAACAGAGGTGTTCCACTTCTAGAGGTGTTCAACTTTACTGGTTTCATTGTAATTGCTATGTGTACGGGAAAGTCACTACATTCCTTACTGTTAATTGAAGATCACACCTATTTCTAAACAGTGCACTAAGTATGTATTCAGTGTAACATTTTAGAAGACTTGACATATTTAACACACAACATGTATGTAGTACTTGGTAATAAACACACTATACAATATTTGTTATTAAAGGCCTCCTCACATCTGAATGAAAACTCCCCACGTCAACTTACGTGTACTGACTTGAGCAAAATTTATTTCCATTAGTGTATGTACATTGTACATTGTTTGGGTGTTGGTATGGGAAAGTATCCTTTCAGAAAGTTTTAGACGGCTTCAGAAGCATGCCCAAAGTTGCGCTTTGGTTTGCATGTTTACGTTCCAAATAGCCAGAACTGACAATTTACCCAATTTGAAAGGCTGGATTTAGTGGATTCGTTCATATTTGAGGAGGCCTTTAATGTTACTATAAAGGCAATATACTATATTGTTGAGTTACTTTTGATAGCATTGCCCTGTATTTGGTGTTATATTTTAGCACCTTTCATCTTCTAATGCACTATACAGTATTTGTAATTAATCACCTTACAACCTTAGTATTCACTGTTACCTTTAAACATACTATACAGTATTTGCTATTATCTTATAACCGTAGTATTCACTGTTACCTTTAAACATACTATACAGTATTTGCTATTATCTTATAACCGTAGTATTCACTGTTACCTTTGAACAAACTATACAGTATTTGCTATTATCTTATAACCTTAGTATTCACTGTTACCTTTGAACAAACTAAACAGTATTTGCTATTATCTTATAACCTTAGTATTCACTGTTATCTTTGAACAAACTATACAGTATTTGCTATTACCTTATAACCTTAGTATTCAATGTTACCTTTAAACATACTCCACAGTATTTGCTTTTACCTTACAAACTTAGAATTTAATGTTACCTATAAACAAACTATACAGCATTTGCTATTACCTTATAACCTTAGAATTTAATGTTACCTTTAAACACAATATGCAGTATCTAGTTTTACCTTTTAACATGCTATATAGAATATGGTGTTAGTTTTTAAAACACACTGTACAGTGATTGGTGTTACCACACTACACATTGTTACAGTTATCACACAAAGTAAATTGGTACCATATAAAGTTATTACACATATATAGTGTCCTTGTTTTTGTTTTTACCTCTATCATCTCTATCATTGGCTTTATCATCCATTTTAAATTGTTTATTCTTATATTTTTATTATTATATTTGGTAGAGGTGATCTTCCTATAATGTAAGGCATATTATTGCAATAGATCTTGCTTTGATTTTAGATAGCACAGTGTGCAGAAGAAATATTTTAACATATATATATCATCTAATGGACAATTCTCCCTTCCAGCTTATCTCATGCCATGTCATGCAATTTCAACAATATATAAAGCACAAACTATTGAACTTGTGAAATTTATATTTTTTGTCTTCCGTTTTTTATTTATGAGTTATACTTGATTCATTATCAAACATATGGAGTGGGAATCCCAAGATACGTTTCATTATCTTTGGCTGGCTTGATACTTGATACTTCATGAAATATTTCATTTGGACTATACCTTAGAAGCATTTAAATATTTTTGGCATCCAAGAACTTTTGTTTTTTAAATGTTTTGCAAATGTAATTGTGTATCAAATTGTTCGCTAAATATTAAGAACACATATCGATTCATTTATGTATAATTGGATCCCTAATACGAGGGCTGATCAAAAACTTTTGCTTTCAGCTAGGACCAGATGCAATGAAGAACCTAGAGCACTTGAAAGAGCTGCATGTTGATGAGAAAGATCTTGGAAATCCCGCAACTCAACAGTCAGGAATTACACTATTTGAACTATATATGTCATTACAGGAGTTCACCAAGTTCAGGAAAGAATTGCCTTCAGAGTGAGTTGGTTTTAGGAAATTTATACAAACCTTGCAAAATCTAAACTCTGTCCATATAATTTGAATTGAAGAAAATTCTTTGAAAAAGCTTCTCTCTGATCTTATAAAATCATCCTAGAAATATGATATTGGCCTTATATGTTTTACATTTGTCTAAAACTAAATTTCTACAATTGTTTTGTATTGTGTTGATGGAAATGAAAAATCTGCAATTGGGGAAATTTAAAAACAGAAAAATGGACCTAAACGTAGTTACGTCCTTAAAAATGCAATATCAAAATATACATTGATTGTCTCATATCATAGGTAATATAATTTTCAGATATTGAAAAGAAGGAAGGTGGAAATCATTGTAATATACTAATTGTAAGTTAATTGATTCATTTACAGTGACAGAAAACAATTGGCCATTACTAAATATTATGAATGGTTCCAAGTCCCAGTAGAGAAATGGTTGGTTGTTGCAAAACTCAAGTGCATGCATCGAATCCAGAAAGCTGTGGAGTTAGATAAGGTATGTGTTGGATAGCCCTTTATAAGAGCTTGACGACTTTGTAGATAGTTGTCCAAAGAGAGGTAATTTTACTTTAGTGTACCAGACTATATGTCCAATTGAATTTCTTGCAATCCATCCTGTCGCAATCTCTTGAGTTCTTAAGAATAGTTTTTTTACGAGGGTTGTCCCAGAAGTAATGCACTATATGCTCTAACTTGTATGTTGACAATTTAAGACACATTTGTAACAAATTCACTTCATTTTTTTATCTGAATCTTACATCTTATATATTGAATACAGCAGCTCTAAGTAAATCTGATCTGTGTAGTCAACCATGTGAGGATTTTGATTCTGCTGGTGTCAAATTAATCAAGAGAGCTTGCTCTTAAAGAACCCAAGTATATTGTAGCTAAGGGTCTAACGGTGCACCGAAACTGCGGTGCTCCGCGATTCTTAGGCCTCGGTCGGTACATTCGGTTCGAAAATGTTAAGGTTCGGTTTTTTAACGGTTCGTTAATTCAGATAAAGATTGCTGTTCGCAAAAATATTGACGTTCCTTTTAAAACGGTTCAATTCAAAAGATGCACAAAGTTCCCTTTTTAAAATACAGAGCCCTCATTATCCGGTCAGCGCTAAATTAGCGTTGCGATTTGCGTTGCGCTTGTGAATCAACATTATTCGCAAGCGCAAATCATGGTTTGCGTCGTATTATGCGCTTCACGCAAACGCAGACGCAACAGTATGCTAATCGCAAATAAATTGGAAACGCGGGAAATTTAAACTTAGAGCTCAAAATAGATTTATCGATTTTTTAATGTATATGTTTACGCCAGTGCGGATGTGTCAATCCCATACTTGGACGTGTTATAGGTACATAAAGCTGGTTTGTAAAAACTTTTATTCCATACTTAGTAGTGTTATAGGTATATAACATGCGGGAATATAACTGATATGTGACGTGAGCGGGAGATATATATCTCCCGCTCAGCAGATCTACGACGTCATAAATTCAGGGAGTAGATACTGAGCCAGGGGACTTTGCTATTATTCCTCACAATCTACTAAGTATAGAATAAATCAGTTATTAAATGCTCGATTTTTGATACAGGGTATATCCCTCGGTATATACAATATATCAACCCTCGGTCCCTACGGTCCCTCGGGTTGATATATTGTATTTCCCTCAGATATACCCTGTATCAAAAACCTCCCATTAAATAACCTGTATATATTTTTATCAGCGGTCAGATATAGCTATTTATCCCATACTTGGACGTGTTTCAGGTACATAAAGCCGGTTTGTAAAAACTTATATTTTCATCAGCGGGCAGATATAGCTTTACGTCCCGCTCCGAGCGGGCAGATATAGTATATCTGCCCGCTACGTCATAATCGCCGCTCGCATATTTGTTCATAATTTGTAACGTTCGCGTAATGACTGTAAACGACAATGGAGAAAACACAGACAATCGGGATCTGTTTGATGGTTTAAAAAAGGGAAGGAGCATCCACTTAATCAATCAAAAAATTCTAGAAAATAAATGTGGGAATATTTGAGAGAACAGGAAAATCCGCCCACGGCCAAGAAAACAAAACTGGACATGAATATTCTAAAATATTTCCACGATTGAACAATGTGAACCAGATGACCAAGATTGGTATGGGATAAACATATTATCCTATAGTCGGTTCAGGATATTGGGATCATCCCTTGGCCAATATAATATATTTTCCCTCGGGACCTGCGGCCCTCGGGCAAATATATTATATTGGCCTCGGGATAATCCCAATATCCTGAACCTCATATAGGATAATCTCTATACATCCCGCTCTGAGCGGGCAGATATAGTATATCTGCCCGCTGACTTCATAATCGCCGTTCGCATATTGGTTCATTTTTGTAACATGCGCATAATTACTGTAAACGTTAATGGAGAAAAGGCAGACAATCGCGATCTGTTTGAAGGAAGGAAATGAGCGTATCCCTGTTAAACAAGGATTTCAGAAATAAATGTGGACGTATATCTGAAAATCAGGCTATTCTAAATGAATTCTTACGGTTGGTTGGACATTTTCTGAACTCCGGCCAATTGAACAGCGTGAACAAAATGACCAAGATTGGTATGGGATAAACAGATCATCCTATAGTTCAATATCCTGAACCTCATATAGGATAATCTCTATTTATCCCATGATACTACTAATTCCCGATGAATAACCGGGAATATTTTTGATATTGAGAAAAAATCGTATTGAAAATTTTTGCCAAACAAAGCTTCCTCTTTCAATCAGTTGGGTCGATATAGCATGCTAAAATGATGTTCTTATGTGAAAAACGAATTCCAGTTTTATCATCATCGCTCTGACACAGACAAAAATGCTTTCGTATTGCTGAATGTTTTGATGTTGATGTGTTTATGTTACACATGTACAATAATTTTTTTATATTTAAAAATATCATAAAGCTAAGTCATATTTTCTTGATTAAATATACCATTTTTTCATAGAAAAATCTAACTAATGATTTTATGAAGACAGTTATGAATATCATGGAATAAGAAGCTAATTTACTGGTCGGGATTAAATATGGGTTTATTCCTCATGACAATTTGATATTTCACATATTGTGAGGGACAATTTGGTATTTCCCTCTGACCCTCCGGGCTCTCGGTAAATATCATATTGTCCATCATAATAAAACCCATATTGAATCCCTCCCACTACATAACCTAGTATATATATCTTGCGAAAATCTAGATCTGTCACTGGAAGGCAGCCCATCTTGAAAACAAGACACGGTGTCTTTGTAATTAGTCCGACTGATATAGCCTACCTAGAGAAAACCGCCGATACCTCAGCAACAATGTTCAAAACAGTAGGTTGGGATACCCCGAATATATCTCCATTTATCATTTGCATACAACCTGTAGCATAAAATCGTAATGAAATGAATACTTTTAGCTGACATGGAATTGCCTGAGGATTCCTTGTTCTTGACGCTAGATCCCCATCTAATATATTAATCAACTCAAGAATGAGTGGCCTCGGCATGCGATATCTGTTTAATATCTCATCGTCAGTCATCTCTAACGGCTGACTCCTGTCTCTGAATAAGCGTAAACCTCTTCTATTGTGAACATCCTGGAATAATATGCGCCACATTTTCCAGCTTGATCGAACCCTAATATTTTAATTTTAGCAGACGATATTTGCGAAATGGAATTGCGATATTTATTATAGATTTCACAAAACCAAGGTAGCATAATCGTGCACTTTCAGACTTGATTTTGATAAGTTTTGGTTATTTGTGTCTCTAATGTTTTTCAACCTATTTTTAGTTGGATGTCTCAAAGGGCACTTCCTAGATTTCTACAACGATAATGTTAATTTAAATAGGAAAACTATCAAGATTCTTGATGATATGTTAGCGATTTATATTGCGGCAGGGTCAGGGATGCCGCAATAAAGTGGAGTTTGCGACATAAAAATCAACTGATTTACGTGGCCGCAACTGTGCGATGACTGCATAATACCAATTTGCGTGCGATTAGCAGTGTATTTGCGATGCGAAATGAAAATAGCGATGCGTCTACCGTGTAATAAGAAAACTGCGATTAGCGCTAAAGACGCAAAACGGCAATGAATTTGCGCTAGAGTGCCTTTGAGATGACCTCATAATATCGTTTTGCGTACGATTCGCTAAATATTTACGTTGCGATTGCGATTTGCGGTGCATCGACCGGATAATGAGGCCTCTGATCTCTACAAACTCTGAAATAAAAGCTTGTAGGGCGATACATAGTCTAGCAGTAATAACAGTATGTTTTTATTCCAGTGTTATGTTTATTGTACAAACAATTCTAGTATAGACAGTAATCAGTTTCAAGAGTTATCTGATTTTTTAAACTAAGTGCAATAAGAACCGAAAAACTGAACCGACGGAAATTATAATTATGAAACCATTATAGTCCTAATTCTAATGTAGGGTAAACACCAAAATTATAAATAACACTGTACTATTACTAGGTATAGTTCTCAAGTGTACAGTATACTCACAGACTTTTTACATACTTATTTTAAGTCATTCATTTCCTGTATAAAGAATTATGTTTGTACAATACTGTACATGTTAAACTGCCTGTTTAAAAATATTGTAAGAATTAAAGAAGTTATATAGTCTATTAGTATTGTGGCATAGAACGATCTCCATACTTTCTATTCTTCTTGGCCTCGTCTCTCCTCTCTTGGGCTCTTACATATTCTTGATAGTTCAAAAAGCCATCATTACCCCAATCATCTTTCATAAAGTCATCCACGATGTCTAAAAAAGAAAAAATGAATCATTTTCAATTGTAAATAATAAAGACCTTTTGAGCCATGTAAAGTTTACTGTAATCAGTAGGTGTTTTCTACAGACTGAGGTTTTTGGCTCACAAAGTGAGCCTATGGGATCGACCAGGCGTCCGTCCGTTAGTCCAAATACCTTACTGAGCTCTGAATAAGTACAATTTTCAAGGTCAAAGGTCATCAAACTAGGTCACACAACTGCTATCAAAGTTTATTTCTCAAAGTTCGAGACTACAAATCCAAATCAATATTTTTGTTTTAAAGTCAGGATATACATTCCTCTGAAGGTTCCAAACTGTGTGAGCACAGGACCGTGGGTCCTATTTTTTATACAGAGGTCAATTAAGCATGCTCTGAAAAATAGTGTTCACTAGAGACAGGTGTTCACTAGAGAGAGAGGTGCTCAATAAAACAGGTTTTTCTTTCTGTTGGATATCATATCCAGCAAATATTGTAGAAATATTTAATTCTGTTGAGGTGAATACATGCGCATCTTTTACAAGTGATATTTCATGAAGCCTGACTTGTAAAACTTGTAAAAGATGCATAGGTATTGAACTAAAATAAAATTTGATATTTGTTGTATTATTCATTGTTAATATTCCTCACTCCCAAGATCTTCACGAATGTTTTTGATGCCTTTAATGTGTTATCTAAATGGATGTCACCATTGATTCTGTAAAATATATGAAAGTACACTGGATGGGGTATATGGTTCAGAATACACTGGATGAACTCCCAATCAGGAATATGGCTTCTTATTTCCTAGTCTCTTGTAGGACATAGACCAATCAGAGAGGGAGGAATATGACAGTGAATAACAATTTTTATTCAACTTACTCATAATACTGTTATGGCGATTGTTCCTAATTTTGTCTTCCATTTTTTCTTTCTCCTCTCCCTTTAATCCTAGGTTAGGCATTCTATAATTTCCCATGAAGTGACTGAACCCTTTATACAGTTCTAAGCCATCTAGCTTATTGTTATCATCATAATCATTAATCCTGGAATTACAAGAAATTATTGTTAGCAAGGTGCCTGTTATGTACAGAATTAAGTATGATGAATAAATTTTGATAATTAAAAAAATGTGTGAAAAAATAACAATGAGTATTGCTTTAAAAATTCATTGCGGATTGCCAATGTCAATTTCTGTACATATACGATAAACCCTATACCCCCTATAGAGATAAAAGAGTAAGTGGAGGGAACAATAGAAGGTGTTAAAAGTAGAAAAATAACAAAAATAACAATTTGTAAGGTTAAGCTCCAAGGCAAAACAGTGTTCCAATTGGAGTAAAGAACAATGTCAATTTTTAAAAATGTTTTTTTTAAATTTAAATTTATCCCTCCCCATGCACTCAAAGTTTGACACTTTTGTATGAAATGGCAAAGATAGAGTAAGGAGAATTTAAGTTTTGAACATTTTAAAGTAATTTGAAAAACATTTAAGAACCCTCCCCCAAAGAAGAAAATCAAAATGAACAACAGAGCTAGCATATCAATACGGAGTGAAATTACCTGTGTATCATAAAGGATTATGTACATTTATCAATTTAGATTTAAGGGATATTTTATTTAATTTTTGAAATGAGCAGGGTTGAATGGCTCTGCACCTTATAGTGGAAGTAAACTTACCTAAAGAAGTGAAATAGTTTTTCATTTTCATCCAATTGACTCCAGTCCACTGTATCTGCTTTTCCTTCATAATGTTCTTTCATGTGTCTGAAAGGTTAAGTTTTTTTTTTTATTTCATTAAAATATAATAACATTTGTACTGTCTTGTCTTTGTAACATTCATTTCAAAGTTAAACTCCCCAAAGGATGAAAGCTACATGTAAGACGTATCACCAAAATCATTTGTCGTGGTCAGAGGTCAGAGGTCAATGTTGAAAGCTAACACAGAATCATGGTTGGTTGTAACTTTCATTTCACCATTAAACTCCCATAACACATGATAAAAAATACATTTGAGACTGTAAAGATCAGCAAAATCATGTCATGGTCAGAGGTCAATGTGGTAAGCTAACACAGAATCAGGGTACTTACTCAGTGTCTTGTAGGATTTTATTCACAGCATCTGGGTCATCAGGATCTATTTCATGTGTGTGGTCATCACCATGACCTTTGACCCATAACATATTCTGACCAATCAGCAGTAAAGTACAGATTCTTATGGACACCATGGTTACCTGGAAAAATTAAACTTATTCCCAGTGAGTATGTTACTGCCAGAATTATCAGATTCTATAAATATTTACTTATTTTCTTGCACGCAAAACTATGATATGTGTACATGTATATCAGCTTCCCTGGTAAAAAAACAATTCACAAAATAAATGAATTATTGAATTAAAACAATTCAAAGAAGTGTAACTTACTTGTTATAGAAAATAGAAAATACACACGTTGATCTACGACCTCTGCTAATGGTACAATGCTGTCCTTACATTAAATAATAAAAAGGTTGGAAGATATTTTGTTCAATAATTATACCATTTTCAAACTCCTAAAGAAATTCTAAATTACATCTTTAATTTACTTTAATTTTAAGAACAAAAATATCTCAAGTTTACTTAGATGAAATTTAAGATTTGATATTGAAGAAAGTATGAGAGGGTTCCTTGATGTATAAATTGAAACACAACCTGCCCCAAGCAGAATTTACAGCTTTTAATGTTCTCTTATGAGGTGTACTAAGAGGATTGGTTAGTGTTCAGCAAGACAATGTAGTACAATTATAATTAATAAATATTACAAATGTACCATTGTTTGCTATTATAATGAATGAAGAAAATTTAAAATTCTGTGCCCATTGTTAACTTTTGTTTGAATTTCAATATGCCCATACTTAATATACCCATAACCTAACTTATATAGGCATCTTAAAGGACAACTGAAATAGCTTTTCTCAACTTGCAGCTACAAAAATGCGGTTTTCTCCATTGTAAGCCCAACGTAGAGTTCTTGCGATAGCCATTATAAAATAAATGTTAGATAACTGCTAACGGTCATAAATAACGAAACAAAACTAACTGATCAATCAAATTGGCCCCCACGTGATAAGTAACGTCATATACAAAATATAGCTTTGGTTTGTTGGTTCCTTAGTAATCACAACGTCACGGCAACCATAGGATTGTAGTGTAAACCAAAACAAAACATTTAGGCATTATGACGTTATGGGCCACGTGGGGACCAGTGAGAGATCACGTGGGGGCCAATAACGTCACAACCAATTCGAATATTGCTTATTAAGCAGCTATAACGATCGTTAGAGTGAAATCGTTTTCGCACTACTGATGAGAAAACATGTCCAAATGCATTTATCAAAAAATTATATTGATTCCTGTAGGTTAAAAATACCATTTCATATCTGCTTTAATATGGCCATAATTTTACTTATACGAGGGGTGATCAATAAGTAATGGACGCTTTTTTACACAGATACTTTTTATAGACCAATCCCTTTGATTTTCCTACCAGTGATACATCATTCAATTATCTATCAATTTTGAAGATTTGAAGACAAGATATACAATACATATTGATATATCCTTATTTCCGTGAAGGAGGTACAGGTACCCCGGGACCGACATTTACGTCACATTTTCACATTTTAGCCAGTTTGGTAAATTTCAGTTAGATTTGAACGTTTTATATGCAACAAGTGTTGTGTTGTTTAAAATTTTTTGCTGACTGGTAACACATAAACAGAAAGTATTGTAATGTCAGAGTGTTGTGTGGAAGGGGTTTGCAGGTCAATTTGAGAAAGCATTCAGTGGAAGAAAGGGGTGGTGAGAGAAGGGAACACCCTACTCCATAAGGACAATGCACCTGCCCAAAGATCTCAAAATGTTCAGAAAACAACATCCCTGGACCTCCAAATTGAGCCCTTGGCCAATGCACCACATTGTCCAGATCTGCTCACATGTGACTTGTTTATTTCTATACTACTTATTTCTATAGAGAAAGGACGCAGGTTTATTGACATTGATGAAATAAAACAACCCGTGCAACTGCATCTTGCTACCATGTCAGAGAATGGATTCAGCCTTGTCTCACAATCTTGAGTTAAGAAGATGAAGAATTGTGTACATGTAGCACTAGATGGAAACTATTTAGAGGGCCCTGTGGAATGAATGTGGCATGAATACCACAAAGTGATGATAAAATAGTGGCATAACAAAATGGGGTAATTCATGACCATAATGGTTTGTTTTGTTCAGCCTGCATTCAACTGCATTGCATGTTAAACAATCTAAAATAGCTTCAGAATATGTGACGTAAATGTCGGTCCCGGGGTACCTGTACCTCCTTCACGGAAATAAAGATATATCAACATGTACTATATATATTGTCTTCAAATCTTCAGAGTTGATAGATAATTGAATGATGTATCACTGGTAAGAAAATCGAAGGGATTGGTCTATAAAAAGCATCTGTGTAAAAAAGCGTCCATTACTTATTGATCACCCCTCGTATAGGTGTCTAAATATGCCCATATTTTACTTATAGAGGTGTCTTAATATGCACATACTTTACTTATGTAGGTGTCTTAATATGCCCATACTTATACAGGTGTCTTAATATGTCCATACTTTACTTATAAAGGTCTCTTAATATGCCCATACTTTACTAAGAAAGGTGTCTTAATCTGCCCATACTTTACTTATAAAGGTGTCTTAATATGCCCATACTTTACTAAGAAAGGTATCTTAATATGCCCATACTTTACTTACAAAGGTGTCTTAATATACCCATACTTATACAGGTGTCTTAATATGTACATACTTTATTAAGAAAGGTGTCTTAATATGCCCATACTTTACGTATATAGGTGTCTTAATATGCCCATACTTTACTTTAATAGGTGTCTTAATATGCCCATACTTTACTTATATAGGTATCTTAATATGCCCATAATTTACTTATGCTGCATACAGGAAGTGGATACTGGAGAGGTATATGTATTCTCGTTTGTTGTTCCCTTTGGATTTGCACATTGGTCTATTCTCAACTGATCTTTTGGTTTTAGTGTGTTACTGCTTGCATGTTCCCTTTGAAAGGGCAGTCAAATAGTTTGGCCACATTTGAATAACTTATATTTGAGTTGGAGTAACACAGCATGATTTTGTGTTTTTATTATTCTTTATTTTCAGACTATAGTTATAAATCACATTAATTATATCATGTTATGTTGTTGCACGTTTTCATATTTGTTTGTTCTTTCTTAGACCCTACATGTTCATTTTCTGTTTGTTTTGTAATTTTTTGAAAAAATGAAAATTGACCAGATGAACAGTTTTTTTTCTTTTGCTCTAAAGTGAACAAAGGGACATTTCAGTGACGGAAGTTCCCAAAAATTGAATGAATAAGAAAAAACTTGACCAGGGATATTTTGGGATAATCAGGGTCTCCTAGACAGACATTTAATTTGATATATTCAATTTTATTTACATTTAATTTGAGTTTTGAGTTTTTTGAGTTTCTAGTTTTTTTCATAGTTTTCCCATGATTAGGTTCTTTCGTAGTTGTCTGGTTATACTACTGTACTATTAAAGGATAAAGCACATTACTCAATGAATAACGGACAGATTTAAACACGAGAGTCTCATATGAGACTTTGAATGAGGGAGGGACGCCCAAAGCAAAGGCCAGCATACATGCCACAAGTGTATTTACTTTTAAATTACCCATAATTCATTGAGTCATGTGCTTAAATTATTTTCACACAATGTCATTGTAAAATATTTTCTACAAAGTTATGAAATTCAACTTTAGCAAGGTCTACATTTTGATCTACATAACTGCCAAATTGAAATAATGTAATTGATGAGGCTAATTTCACTGATTCTAAAGATAACTGTTCATCTGTTGTAAAATATACAATACTGTTTGAAAAATCAGTAATTAATCTTGTGCGTTTCTATTTTTTGTTACTTTAGGGTAGTAAGACGGATGATAAGGCCAAGCACAGTACATCTGCTGTAGACATATGTGCCTGTTTCCAACAAATTGTAGACTTCTGGCGTCAGTTAGACTGGCAGGATCACTCAACCGGTCTAGTCTTTGTCACTAGCATCACACAGGTGAGTGTAATAGTGTGTGTTAAGTGTAACAGTATGAAGTACAGTGTAAGTCTAATGATGTGCATGTAGTAGTGTGTGGTAAGTGTAACTGTGTGTGGTAAGTGTAATAGTATGTGGTAAGTGTAATAGTGTGTGTAAAGTGTAACAGTATGAAGTACAGTGTAAGTCTAATGATGTGCATGTAGTAGTGTGTGGTAAGAATAAGGCTTAAGTGTAAAAATGGGTGAAGTGTACTATGTGTCTTAGGCGTAGTGTGTGAGACAGGTATGATATTGAATTATGTTACTCTTGCATACTTTTTACAATCAAAGTAGAAAAGAATGAAGAAGTACTACATATATGCGCCCTTTCAATGTATAAGTTCCAGTTTTCCACTGTTTCAGGACATCTGTAATGGTGCTATGTACTATGCTGACCTGATACATGATAAACTCAAGGCTGCTGGATACTATGATGAAATAGGACAATTTGATGTCACCCAACAGGTAAAAACCCTTTACAAGACTTTGACTGTACCTACACTCTTTCAAAGAATGAGATAGATGATTTGTTGATCCAATCAGATTAGAAGTCAGAAGATCACAACACTACTTTTTCTGTCAATAATTACCAAACTTTCATTTCTCAGAAATTGCACAAAAGCTATTATATAGTTGAGATCATGCATAATTAGAAGAGCTTATCTGATTTCCAAGAATCAATTTTAGTAGTCAGAGGGAGTTATAGCTAGCCAAAAGAGATTCAGAGTACAATATTATTATACATTTCCAGCTGTGTATCACAATCAATGACATAGAGCAAGTACGACGTTCCTTAAAGCCACTCCCAGAGCAGCTACGTTACGAACAGATCGCTGCGGCTCTTGACAAGAAAGGTGGCAGCACTGAGAGTGGAAAACAAGCGAGACAGAATCTGTATATGCTGATCCATAAGGCAGATGAGAATATGGGCAACAAGATTAAACTGGTCACTGATCGAGTGGCTGATAAGGTCAGTAGAGAATATTGGATCATCAATTGCAACTTCATGACACGTTTAGTCGAGATCCAAAAGTTGTGACCAAAAAAGGAATTATCCTTGTCATCGATCTGTATTGATCAAAATAGGTACAAGTAGCTGCCAAATTTTCAGACCATTGATAAAAGATTATACTGTTATAGTCTCCAATCTTTTTTGTGTTTGGTTGTTGGTGTTTGGCATCTAACAAATGGCAGGTCATGAATTTGTATGTTCATGTCTTGTTTTTCATGTTAGAATGTGCTTTGAAGCAAATTCTACATTAACCTATTATATTTCATGCATGTGTTTAGATGAGGCCTGCTCTCAAGAAAGATGTGTTTCACTTATGTTGGTCCCCTGAGAAAGTTCCTGCTGCAGAAGTAAGTTTTCCATTGACTGTTAAGGCTTCGTACAATTTGTAGTACTTATTATTTTTTGTGAAAGAAAAATATCAAATTCCCCCTTAATCTGTCCTCACAAACAAATACTGATAAAAAATTATATTTGACTCGTTGTGCATCTTTGCCATCCTGGAGTGCTTTTATGTTATATTGAGGGGTTGTGTGTTAATGCTTCACTTTTTACTACTTAACTCTTTTACTCTTAGCACAATAAGTGTGTATTTCAAATATCCAATATTTGACTTGTAGGCCATCAGCGCCCTTATGGAGTACTTAGATAGCAACTTACTGACCCTGAACAACAATCTTCTTCGAACCAACTTTGATCGCATCCTGGATTCTATCTGGGTAGAGGTCCTTGAGGAGATCAGAGATGTTGTAGAGTCTGAGGATCAGGTATTAATATCTCCCTAATCATGTACGGTACATGTATTTATTATGTACAAATCCACGGTACAAATATTAAAGGCTTGCATCAGAGCTGGAATAATAATATTGACATGCTCAGATATATGCATATCATTTTTTGCAGTGCCTACATCTTATAAAAATTCTTAAGATTTCAATATCTTATGAAATAGAAATTAGCTCTCCTAATATGCATGTACGATTCCATCTTGCACTAATTTTTAATTAATTCTACCAATTCATTTTTCCAGAAAACTACTTTATTTCACAAACGTCTGTATGAGTCTCTGAACATCTTGGTGGACTTTTTCCATGCTAATGACAAGGGTCTTCCTCTCCAGAGGATGCACACTAAACAATATCAGGTACATGTGCACTTACTTAACAATATCAGGTACACTTGCACTTACGTAATAATATCAGGTACATCTGCACTTACTTAACAATATCAGGCACATTTGCACTTACTTAATAATATCAGGTACATCTGCACTTACTTAACAATATCATGTACCATTGCACTTACTTAACAATATCAGGTATATCTGCACTTAATTAACAATATCAGGTACATCTACACTAATTTAACAAGCAAAATAACATTAATAAAATAGGTTTTGGATGAAAAAAGTCTACAATGGATTTTCTCACCAACTCGAAACTTTCGTTTGATTGAATAAATGCCACTTAAATTGCATTTAGGATGTCAATATGCCATATTTGGTTCAATTAATCAGATTTGTTTTTTTCAAAAGGAATTGAATTCCATACTGAAGCTGAGCTGTGAACATACGGATAGAGTCATAGAGGCCTACTACATTGACAAGATAAATAAACAGGTATGGGTCAATGATATTGTTACCATGGCAAACATATTGTTACAATAGCAATCATCATATTGCAAGTGAATCAATAGTTCCATTCCAGTGTAAATTATAATGTTTGGGTTTAAATAGCAACTAACAAGATAATAAAGTTACAGAGTTGACCGTACCATACTGATAATATTGTGTTGCCAACGTTTTTTAACAGTCATAAAATTACTAGTCAGGCATTGTAAACCCTGAAGTGATCACGTACATGTAGTTACAAAGCCGAGTTACAAAGTTGCGAGACCAACAATTCTACATCCCATGCAGACAATTGAAGACTTAAGCATATTGATATTTCTTGATTTATTACAAATTAATGTTTATTTTAGAATACAACAGAAAGGGTTGACTTTGGCACACTGTCAGTGCGTGTGTATTACAATACAGATGCGGAGATACTATTTGTTGAGGTTCTTAATGCCAAGAACATTCTACCATTAGATGCCAATGGTGAGTTGTATTTCATAAGTGAGTTGCATTACTTTAGGTTATCACTGGTGAATTTAAACAATGAAACATTATGAGTATAGCCAGTGTAAAATATTGGGAGCAATCTTTTGGATAAACTTCTCAAATTGTATCTTATCATTCATGATGTAATCTGACAAAATTTGCATGGAAACAAACTTCAAAATCAAAGCCTGAAAACAAATCTCATGTTACATGATTTTTCAGAAAATAGGCACAACAAAAAGATATTTGAAAATTGTGTCAGCTTTAAAAAAAAAGCATTGTACCTTTAATAAAGCTAACGTAATGTTTGCAGGCCTGAGTGACCCCTTTGTTCTGATAGAGCTATGTCCTGCGCATCTCCATACGGGGCAACACCAGCAACAGACTAAGATCATCAAGAAAACACTCAACCCAACCTTCGATGAATCCTTTGAATTGTGAGTGCATATAGTAGCAAAGCATGCTGTTTATTCAAGCTTTCAAATAAAAAGCTATGTATTACCTGAATATTAGTTTCAGATTTAGGTTTACAACGATTGAAAACTTATTTTTGTAAACTTTCTGTAAATCCTTTAGATACTGTATTATAATTGAAAAGAAGATCAGAAGATGATTTGTTGATCTTCCACTGGTTGAGCCACATACCAGCCCCTTTGACTATAATGGTCGATTATTCATAAAATCATTATACATGTTATATTTTCCTGCAACATTAGCAGGGCACATTGCAAGCAGCCAGGCTCATGTGTGTTATTTACAGTGATGGACCATGATCTCATGTTTCGCAAAATCATTATATACATGTTATATTTTCCAGCAACATTAGCAGGGCACATTGCAAGCAGCCAGGCTCATGTGTGTTATTTACAGTGATGGACCATGATCTCATGTTTCGGAATGACTTTGCTGGTGAAGTCTATTTATCATTGAATCATATCCCGGGGATTTCTGGTGAAGACGTCTCAGGATTCACAGCCTTGACCCCCCTTACTTTACCCCTGATACAGCCCCCAAAGAATGGTAAGCTATTGCTCATAGGTTTCATAGTAGTCAGGGGGGAGATCTCCACAAAATTGAGTCATGCGGTATCGACGGTATAGTCTTATTTATATTATAAATTGTTCTAAGATAAATATTTTAACACGCTTTATGAAATATGTGTTTCCTAGTGACTGCGGACAGTCCTGCCTTAGCTGTATTAGAACGCAGACTACAGGATCCAAAAGCCATGGAGTTTGTCAAACGAAGGAAACAAGTTCAAGACCAGTCAGCATAAATGTGTACTAAGATCTGAAAAACTATGTCATTAAGAGTTGTAGCTGTGTATAGGGCATGTGGATGTACATCGAGACAAAAGGGAGATTGAGGCAAAGGCCATGTTGATGTGCTCTGAGGCAAGGGATATAGTTATGTGCATTGAAGCAAGGGGTTTGTTCATGTGCTCTGAGGCAAGGGGCATGTTGATGTGCTCTGAGGCAAGGGGCAAAAGTTGTGGCAACACACGACTTTAAAATAAGTGATACCATTCGCTGTATTGATAGATTTTACTTTACCAGGGATCTAACATGCAGATTCTTGTCAACCTTTTGGTAAAAAGGTTTATACTCTAAATGCATATATTTGTGCAAACAATGATTGATATGATTATACAGAATATGTTCATATTTAAGTATGTATGCTTTGATAAAATGATCTGTTATCAAGCACCTACGAGTACGTAGTTTATTCATTATGTGAAATTGAAATATTTTATGAGACCATGTTGACGCTTTGATTGCTGTTGTCATGGTGATACTTTAAGAGTATGAACTCCTGCTTTGAGATAATTGAAATGCTTTGGAAAACAAATGTATTTGCACAGTAAGACCTGTCTAATCTGAACACTCTCTGGTACCAGCTAAACAGTGTTTAGATTAGCAGGTGTTATATTTCAAGGTTTCATAGCCATGTACAGTGTATCAAGGGGAAATTTGAGAAAGAAAAATTGTTCACATTGAGATGTGTTGGGATTAGAGAGGTGTTTTGATATACAGGTTTTACTGTATCTTTATAAAAATGGAAATATGAATCATATCTGAGTCAGTCCGATAACCTTATGTTGAAAAATGGAAAAATATCTATATTATGTACTTACAGGGTGTTCAATAAGTACTCAGTTTTAGGTGTAGGCCACCATCAACCAATTTTACTGCTTACTGCTTTTTTCAATACTTATTTAACACCCTGTATTTATAATTTATATATCCATGACATATGTATGTTGAGTTATCTCTTTAGTCAAGGGCAATGTGTAATATAAATGTGATTTGGTGAGAAGTAGAATTAAAACAATGAATTACATTAAAATAACAGTTATAGGAAAATACTTTTTTTCATACGCACATTCATTCTCTTACTATGTCATATGAAAAATTATTTGTATATGTAAATATGAATTATAGTATATATATTCAGATTTGACAAATACAAATTGAGAGATTTGGATATATATTACCGGTTTTTTACAGTATAATGTTCAAATTATAATTGAATAAGTTTGACCAAGAATACAAGGTATTTTTGCGACAGTGGTCATCGTCTGACATTTGGTGTCTGTAACAAATGACAGGTGATGACATTATGTATGTTAAAGCTTTGTTCATTATTGCACGTTTGAGTATGTATGGATAAAGTGGCGAGGGTAGAAATATATCTTATAAGTGTTAAGTCCATGAATGTACATATAAAATAGTGTAGCTTTTGTAATACTCTGTACCTTGGCAGATTAGATTATGTCCTGTACTTCTACTTAATTAAGTGGCCGTTTTAATTTGGCGGATCCACCAAATTGTTAAAGTTTGCCAAATTAAGTAGCCGCCAAATTCCCCAGTAAATTTAGTACCATGTCAATTAGAACCATTAGTACATGGTAATACTGCAAGTCTGCCAAATTAAGTAGCCGCCAAATGTCCATAAAAGCAAATCTGCCATATTAAGTAGAAGTACACTAAGTCCCTGAACCCACTGGAAAAGATAGATATTCGTATGTGCTTTTGTATAATTATACGGAAGTATGTGCACAATAACATTTTTGATGGAGCATGATTTCAATAATATTGAGTTGTTGCTTGTAGTTGGGTCATAAGTCACTAAATAATCTAAGATCTGAAAATTGGAAAAAGATCTACACTATGTATGTCGCTTGTTGTTGGGTCATAAGTCACTAAATAATCTAAGATCTGAAAATTGGAAAAAGATCTACACTATGTATGTCGCTTGTAGTTGAGTCATAAGTCACTAAATAATCTAAGATCTGAAAATTGGAAAAAGATCTACACTATGTATGTCGCTTGTAGTTGGGTCATAAGTCACTAAATAATCTAAGATCTGAAAATTGGAAAAAGATCTACACTATGTATGTCGCTTGTAGTTGGGTCATAAGTCACTAAATAATCTAAGATCTGAAAATTGGAAAAAGATCTACACTATGTATGTCGCTTGTAGTTGGGTCATAAGTCACTAAATAATCTAAGATCTGAAAATTGGAAAAGATCTACACTATGTATGTCGCTTGTAGTTGGGTCATAAGTCACTAAATAATCTAAGATCTGAAAATTGGAAAAAGATCTACACTATGTATGTTGCTTGTTGTTGGGTCATAAGTCGCTAAATAATCTAAGATCTGAAAATTGGAAAAAGATCTACACTATGTATGTCGCTTGTAGTTGGGTCATAAGTCACTAAATAATCTAAGATCTGAAAATTGGAAAAAGATCTACACTATGTATGTCGCTTGTTGTTGGGTCATAAGTCGCTAAATAATCTAAAATCTGAAAATTGGAAAAAGATCTACACTATGTATGTCGCTTGTTGTTGGGTCATAAGTCACTAAATAATCTAAGATCTGAAAATTGGAAAAAGATCTACACTATGTATGTCGCTTGTTGTTGGGTCATAAATCACTAAATAATCTAAGATCTGAAAATTGGAAAAAGACCTACACTATGTAGCCTCTATTTTAATTTTACCTGAAATAATATACCTGTGAGAATATAGAACATTCGTTTTGGAGAAAACAAAACTTTGTACTATCTATACTTGTGTTTTGAATTGTTTTATTCGTATGTATTTAGTGGTGATAGCATAAATAGCTTCTTTGTTGTGGACGTTTTTTTTCTTAAAGTTGAAGCTAGGTGCACCTGGGGTTCATCAATTTTAATGTTGCATATAATAAGGTCAGACAATTAAGGGTTGCATTGGTATATAGATGTTTGTCAAATGATACTTCTTTTTTTGGGGGGGTTCATTTACCAGTTTCAATACATGTGTTTTGATTATTATGTAATTTGCTGTGATTGACAATTTAACCAAAAGATTTAAACGTGTCATGGGGTTCAAGGTTCACCACTGATCATGCAGACACTTTATAAGCAAGCTGACTGTCACCACTCTTAATGTTGTGAGCACTTTGTTAGTGATCTCCCTTAACCTTTTTTAACACCATTTAAATATGTTTCACCTTATAAAAGCTGCAGGGATATAACATTCCCAGTCTTGAGTATATACTGGTCTTAAATATCTGAAAGCTTTAAAATGCATGAATTATTTATTCAACAATCTAGTCGACTTGAATTTATACATTAAAACCAAAACTTTTTATTTGATTTGTTAGTCTGTAGAAAAGAATAATGATATTGATTATAAGTCAGGAGCTGAAACCTCTTAAGTGGATCTTTAAAAAGTGTTCCATTTTGGATATGTTCCATTAACAGCAGAGTTTCATTTAAAATGAAGTCACTAAATCACAAGAATGAAGTGTTATACTTTTAGAGGTGTTCCACAAATTCTTGAAGTTGATGTGTTCCACTCGTGATCCACACGACAGTTTTACCTGTATATATTTTACTTATACATTTTAAAAAGTTAGAAAATGGATATGTTCATTGAATTAGTGGATTTTGTGGTCTGTTGCTTTTACTCACAACTTTTCGTATATTTAACATACTATGTTACAGTATGTTCTCCATCGACTTTCATTAGAGCTCCCATAGTGGAATTTTTTTGTGTGAATAGGAATATCATATGTGATGATTTCTTAGCATTTTACTTTATTGTTTTTTTGTATAGCGTACATGTTATTATAATGTATGTAGAAAATCAAATCATTGTTAATTTTTACTATTATCAAAATATTTTGAATTTCTGTTATTCTACTTTTAAATGTTGGTACGTACAAGTATTGTAAGTTAGTTATTAATCACATTTTTTCAGACATTAAGAATAAATTTATGTCTATTATATATATATAAATATTATTGTGTCTGTCAATTAAAAATTGAAGCTATTTATTTAAAAAATATACCCTTACATAAAAATTATGTAATCCTGCATGAGCCCTTCTATATCCTATATCATTAAAATTATAAATAAAAGCAAGAGTAGTCTTTTTCTAAACCCATGGGCTTTCAACAGTAGATAGAAACAGTTGTCACACCAAGCCCCCACAGCTCTCAATATACTAAAAAATAGGACCCACGGTCCTGTTGAACCTTCAGAGGAATGTATATCCTGACTTTCAAACAAAAATGTTGATTTGGATTTGTAGTCTCGAACTTTGAGAAACTTAGATAGCACAGTTGTGTGACCTAGTTTGATGACTTTTGACCTTGAAAATTTTACTTATTCAGAGCTTAGTAAGGTCTTTTGTGATTAAGCTGACCAAAATTTACATCCAAAAATCAATTTGAAAAGTCAACTTTTTTGACCTTTCGAAGGTCACTGAAGGTCAAGTAAAGGTCAAATCCTAAAACCTATAATGCCAGATTTGAACTCCTGGCAACTTATAGATGATTTTCAAAAAAAGTTTGGTCAAATTGAAGCAAGTTGAAAACTAACTTATTTTTACTGTTTTTGACGTCAAATATCTCAAAAATGGTAAAAATTTGATGCTGACATATATTGAGCAATATGTAGGAATGCTTAAATCTAGTAATGATGTAATTCATTGCAAGAAATGATCAAGTATAAGGCAAACCTTGAGAAACTTGTCAATCACAAAACCTGCCATTGACTTTATACATGAGAAAGTTTCCTGAAAATGACGAAGTCCTACTTTTTGTAGAGTAAACATAATAAAACTGTAATTCCAAGAGCTTTGAAATCTTCAGAGGACGTAAGTTGCATATACAGCAACTACTTAAAACTATTTGAAAGTTCTACTTCAACAAAGTGTCTAGTATTTACAGAAAATTTGACTTTTTGATGTCAAAATCCGCATTTTCTCGGAAACTGGGCGAACTTGGGAAATGGCGATGATAGGTCAAATAGGCATTATGGATATGCATAAAATGAATGTGGATATGACGCAATCCGAATAGCAGTTTTAATTTGTGCGGCCAATGTTGACGGACGTACCAACGGACGGACGGCAGCTGGTCGATCCCATAGGCTCACTGTGTGAGCCAACTATATGGGCGACTTATAATACTCTATTGAATGCAAACAAGAACTAAAATTTGAAATAAAGATGTGTTTATCTGTACTGCTCATAGAAAGAAAATTAGTACCGTGGGAACTGGGCTCACATGGTGTTGCTCAAAAGTGAAGTGAATGATCGCTAAAATAACAGAAAATAAAAAAAAATGGATATAATTTTTTGCTGATTTATTTCAAGCCACTTGCCACTATTTTGGACTGACTGAGAGACAGATGGACAAATCGATGTTAAGTAAAATGGCTGAAAACAAACGGATATAATTTTTTGACAATTATTTGTAACAAAATCATTTCATACAACTACTCTTTACAGTGACATGGCTTTTTGCAATGCAGGACACCTGAAATTATTTGTAAAGCTAGGAAATGGGCCAAAATTGAATTTCGCGAGACAAAAATGGCGACCATTTTGAAAATAGGCAAGCTTTTGAACCAGGAGTCATAGGTGAGTTTTTTGTATTGATGTTGAACAAAAATAACTTGAAACTGGAATCCTATGGACAGAGGTTTTAAGCAAATGGTCCAAAAGAGGATTTCGCGAGACAGATGGACAAATCAATGTTAACTAAAATGGCTGAAAATAAAAAAACAGATATAATACTTTGCCGATTTTTTGTAACAAAATTATTCCATACAGCTACTCTTTACAGTGATATGGCTTTCTACAATGCAGGACAGCTGAAATTATTTGCAAAGCTAGGAAATGGGCCAAAAGTGAATTTCGCGAGACAAGAATGGCGGCCATCTTGAAAATAGGCGAGCTTTTGAACCAAGAGTCATAGGAGAGTTTTTTGTATTGTTGTTGAACAAAATTAACTTAAAACGGGAATCCTATCGACAGAGGGTTTAAGGCAAATGGTCCAAAAGTGGATTTTGCGAGACAGATGGACAAATCAATGTTAACTAAAATGGCTGAAAATAAAAAAAATCAATATAATTTTTTGCTGATTTTTCGTAACAAAATTATTTCATATATCTACTCTTTACATTGACATGGATTTTTACAATGTAGGACACTTGAAATTATTTGTAAAGCTAGGAAATGGGTCAAAAGTGAATTTCGGGAGACAAAAATGGCGGCCATTTTGAAAATAGGCGAGCTTTTGAACCGGGAGTCATAGGGGCATTTTCTGTATGGATGTTGAACAGAAAGAACTTAAAACAGGAATCCTATCGACAGAGGTTTTAAAACGTGCCACTATTGTTGACGGACGGACGCACAGACAGACGGATGAGTGAGTGATTGCAAAAGCTCACCATGTGAGCTAATAATAAAAGCAGATGGGAATCAAAGATTGGGAGTATTCAGGAGTTTTAATAGCACAAACTTGATAGTCAGAAATCCATTGTAATGGGAGTTTGAAATTGTTGATTCCAGTTCAGTTCAGAGATAGATCCGAGCAGTGTTTAAATGTTCTTCAAAGGGAGACCTGGGGTCTTGAAGGTGGAGAGGGTTTCCAAGATAAGGGATGTCATAGCATGTACTTGTATACTGTCAATTGTCAAAAAGTTTCTTTAACAATAAATCCTCTATGCCTCTATACGATACATCACAATCAATACAACAGAAGAAAACAAAATATTTTTCCACATTTTTATTTTAAATAATAATCGTCATTTTAACATGTACGATTTTTTTTATTTTGGAATATCTTTTATAACTAAATTGTAGATCTAGATAAAAACTAGAATGTTTTTAATGAGCCACTTGATCTGAAACTGAAACGGAGAAGTGTTACAATGAATTGTTTAAGAATGAAGAATTCAAGACCATCACCAGAGGACTAAAACCCCGACTAAAATTCAGTTGACGGAAATGTTCCGCCAAATGGTCGGACAACTGAAGGTTGAGTGCAGATGAATTGAAAATTAAAATAAATAACAATATTTAGTTTCGATTATAGCAACTATGACTACATGATGTTCACATGTAGCTTCCTCCCATTTTACTATACTTTAACATGCTAGAGAAAACTACATGCGATTTTTGGCTATATACGGACATACTGAATGTACGAATACATTTATTTCTCAAAGGCAACAAGAATACATTGGATGTACTTTAGGCTATATATAATTGAAATTTTACAGAAGTGTCATGGCTATGTACAAAATTATAAATGCTAATAACATGTCCTTCAGAATCTCAGAAATAGCTGTCCTTTTTTTGTAACTATAATTATCAATGGGAAATTGTATTTTAACATCAACGAGCCCCTTTGACAGACTATGCAACGTTAACTAACTACAACATAGATATGTTACCACAAATAACCCAAAGCAATCTTCAAATTTAATTTTAATTAATTGCTATTTATGGATATATTCACACGCTCTCGATACAGATAGCAAGCATATTTAGAGCAACCTTACTAACTTCAATTGCACAAATAACCTATTGGTATAAGTTACAAACCATATGTTTCTCAACATCTCAAGAAGCTGATAAGCTAGAAAACATTGCCTGAACACAACTATCTCCTTCTTCGTACACACACAAGCACTCTGCAGTGAATATTTTACATCTTTTGATAGGCTATTCTAATGGTCCCATAAACTGGGATTTTTCTGTCAGTATTGTACAAATACAATCTAGCTTTACAATTATTATACATTTACATGTACAATTTATGTATGGTTGGTCGTTTGCTGCACACAATCGCCTATTCTTGGAATTCTTTCAAAAAATATCAAATTTCAAAAAAATAATTTTGAAAGACCTTTAAGAGCAGGCGTTAAAGGATGAGACACATATTTGATTTCTATACAGTACAATACAGGTATAACATTTTGAATCTGAGATCTCCTGGGTGGTATTTGCAAGATATTAAATACATGAAGCACCATTTAGTGTAATATCAACCTAGACTGGATCTAATGATGTATGTAGGCACTTTAGCCCGACACTTCGCCGCAGAAATACATATAAAAGATCCAGTCCAAGCTGTTGACCAGTTGAGAAATCAATCGTTCAAATGAATAATATATTCATATTATAATTTATATAATACTGATATATAAAAATCAATGACACTTGGATTTGCTTTGAATATAGATCTACTGCCTTTCGTTAGCAGTCCTGAATGAAAAGTACATGAGCAACTGTGCAAAACTTCTTATTTCAAACAAATAAGTTCAAAATTGGAATTCCTGCGCAAATGATGAATGACGTTTGGCTTTTTGTTGTTGTTATAATGAAGTTCTGGACTGCAGTATCGCATAATGAGATGTTTGGAGATGGTGGATGGATACTGGCAGAAGCCGGAACTATTTTTTATTGTGAACTACAGTTTATAATTCATCCTTCTGTTCAATCTCTTCCTCGCCTTCTTCTTCATCGACTTCATCCTCATCTTCTCCCTCCTGAAACCCAGAGATATTTTCATTAACTTTGTGAAATTTTATTTTTGAAACATTTTCATTACTTTGGTGAAGTTTTCTAATCATCTTGGTGAATATTATCATCATATTAGTGAAATATTCACATTATCTTGGTGAAATATTTCCATTATCTTGGTGAAGTTTTCTCATCTTATCTTGGTGAAATAATCTCATTATTTTGGTGAAGTTTTCTCATCATCTTGGTGAAGTTTTCTTATTATCTCGGTGAAGTTTTTTCATTATCCCTATGAAATATTCTCATTATCTCTGTGAAATATTCTCAACAACTTGATTTTCCAAATATTCAGCCCTTACCTCATCACTTGGGCCAGAACCCTCTTTGCCACCAGATTGCAAGAATTTAGTGAATCCTTCAAGAGTTCTCTCTCCATTGTAGTCAACAATCTAAAATCAAAGAAAAGACTATAAATGTGAAGGCAGTATAGTGTACCATTACTTGGTGGATATGGGCACAGTTTTTAAGATTGGAGTCCAAATGCTCAATTATGAATATATCATTTGCAGATTGTTCAATCCTTCCTTAAACATTGACCTTTGGTATTGTGATAGATTTGACAAGCTTTGTACGGAGTTCAGTGCTTAAATCCTTAAACCTTTTGATTACCACCCAGATCTAAAAGAATCATGAGGTAAGTTGTTTCTTTTCCAGGCTATTTTTGGTGACGGAACACATTTCAGATATTGGCACAAAATTAAGTGTATTTCATATTAAAATAAAACAAACATCCCACTAAATATTTACATACCTCATCAGATCCTTTGGGGAAGAATTTTAGAGTTGGGAAACTCTGTACTTTGACACTCTCAACCTCGTTGGTTGTGGAATCCATCTTGGCAACGACGACATCTTCATTGTCCTTGAATTTCTCGGCAAGCTCATCCCAGATTGGAGCCAACTGTTTGCAGTGTCCGCACCATGGGGCATCTGTGAAGAGACATTAGGTTTAAACAAAACACAAGAAACCATGGTAACTTTATTTTAGCTAATGAAGGACATTTGAAGTTTTTTGGTGAAGAATGAGAGGTGTTGTTCTAACTTCTCTAATTCAAATATTGCTAAACATAAACAAACCTGTGTGATTTTCCAGGATAGAATTTATAGTTACAAAATGTACTGTATCAAAAAGGCATAGTAGTAGAGAGTGTAAAATGTTGGAAACAAACTTCCAAAATGATGCTTAAATTTTCTTATATGCTTATCTCCTACTTTCATCTTCTGAAAAAATTTAGATACCTGATCAGATATAGAAGTTATTGAAGATTTAAGGTCTAACTATATGAGCAAAAATATTACAAAATTGTGACAATATTTGGAAATTCGCTCTCACTACTTCTTTTTGTCCATAATAATAATATTTATTGGATATAAAAAAAAACTTACAGAATTCTACGAATACATTTTTCTCTTTGTTAAGTGCTACTTCTTCGAAGTTCTTTCCTACGAGAACCTTAACTGGCTTGGCATCCCAATCTTCTGGTACATCTTCAGTCATAAGATGGGGTTTAAGGGATCCATCGAGGACAGAGCTGACGAACTTCTTGACGGCTTCAGTTGAGAGCTCATCAGTCTCTGGCTTGTATTTGACCATATCTTCCCCGAGAGAGATGTATCTGACAGTTGGGACATCTTCAGTCTTGAGTCCAAAGAATTCCAAGATTCTGGCATTTTCTTCATCATCAACATTGATGTAGATGAAGAGGACCTGAAATAGAAGATGGCGACAGTGAATAAACTTTACAACCCATTTTAACCATTTACAACACGAATGATTCCAAAATGATGCAAAATATATTCTGATTTCTCTCCAAAATGTGAATGATTATTAGATTTTATTGCATTTCAAATTCAATTGCATATAATTTAGAGTGAGGTGTTTCTATAGTTTCTCTCTATTTTATAGTTCAAAACAAGAAACTTACTGTTCTCTTCCTCACGCAAAATAAAACCAAACACTACAAGATTTTTTTTTCATCTAGGTTTCATTATTTAACAAAATGATTTAGATAGAGATTACATATACGATAGATTATAAATACATGTAGATTAAGTTAAGAGCATCAATTCGATAAAGCATGAACAGTATAGATACGATCATCATACAATTATAACACAAATGGTATACACTACTGTACCTACATATACAGAAGCTCAAAGGTTGTTTGGGATCAATCATAAAATAAAATATTGTTAGTAGGGAGAATCAGAGGATTCAATTGAATCCATAAACCCAAAAGCTTTCATTTCAAAGCATCGCTAAACTATGTTATTGAATCTCTAATTCCCCTTGTATTTTAACATAATTATAACATACCAGGTTTTAATACCAAATTCCAGGTCTATGTGTATTCCCAAACAAAAAACTGTTAAATACCTGCAGGTTCTGGTCCAGTTGTTCTTTGTATTTATACATAACCATGTCTCCGGGGAAAAATTCACCCAAATTTAACCAAAATCAGATCTGTTCAAATGATAAGTTAAATATGTTGAATTTGTTTCAAACCAATATTTCCACTCATAATCGGTTAGTCGGGTAAAAAATCAATGAGAGGGACTGATCTATGGGCCAGATCAAATACCAAAGTATATTTCTGCTAAAAAGTATGTAGAGGAATGGGTGATTTAAGGTTAGGTTTTGTTTCTTTTAACGAAAGTGACAATGGAGAGGGGGCTTGAGTTTTGTAAAATTAGCTTCATGAAAAAACTGGTATTTTGACCTTGGCCCTTAAAATATAAAAAGTAATAATAAAAACAAAATCAATAAAAGTCACAAAGATGAGACAAAAATATGAATCAATTTTTAGTGTTTGGGAAAATTATTTTTCACAACATGCTGTAATTCACATAAACAAAAACAAGAACCAAACTACAGAATGATAAACAAACGTGAATTTGTAAAGTGTCACCTCACTACGGAACTCGGGGGCAGCCCCTTCTAGCATCTGAATCAATGCTTCTGATTGGTCGCTTTTCATACTTAAAAAGAGAAGGACATGCTGCTCGATTCTTCCACTGAAAATCTTCTCGGCAGACTGAAAGTGTTGTACAGAAGAAATGTATTAAACCAAGTTAGGAATGTGATAAAACCTCACCTCATGAAATTGAACCTGAATCACATTTGAAAGCAAATTTCCAAAAGCCATGCCTTTTCTTATTTTCCGAAAGCTAGCTCAGAAATATGATTTCAAATGCCAATCAAAGTACACAATTTTCTGGATACGCCTTCCCCAAGTTCCTAATGGGCCTGCTGAAAAAAATTCACATTAACACGCATGTTCCATGCTTGAATAGTAGTCGACATACTTCTCCTTTGAAGTCTCCAGCGGCACCTTTGTAATCATCAAGAGTGGATTGGAAGTTATCAGTCTTCTTGCTAATGAACAACAGAATGTGTTTCTTCTGATCTCCTCCGAAGATCTTTTGTGCGCTCTATAATGAAGAATTTGAGACTTTCTACAAATATGCAGCCTAAGAAAACAATAAATTGGAAATATCAATTCCATGTTCTAACAACTGTTTCATGTACATTTCAAAGTTCTGACTTTTTAAATTTTTTGACTATTTGATCTCTGTTTTCTATAATTGCTGGGCCATGATTAAGATATCTATGAATACTTGAAGATATCATTAAATAACTGACAACTGAACATCTAAAGATTGAGAGCACTTCCAAAGTTTCAAAATATTTCAATATTAATGCTATAATCAATATTTATGTATAATTATGTTACGATGAACAGACTGCATCCATGTAACTATAGCAAACTTACCTCTTGGGTGAACTCAACAACCAATGGAAGCTGGTTGGCTTGAACGAAAGCAGTGATCTTTTCAGCATCATATTCGCCATCATAGTCGTTGCGGCCCTCATCAAACTGAAAAGATATTATGATGAATTATGTACAGTCCCCATTCTAGATTCATTTTCTATTCTTCAAAGACTCAAGCTTCTGCAACTTTACTGTTCGAGAATATATAACATATTATGAAATATTAAAATTTCGTATGAAAACTAGAAAAACATGTTTTACTTTGTGCTGGTAAGAAATTGATTCGATAGGATCTTTATGAAAAATAATCATGGAGTTTCCAGAAATTGTACATTTAGTATCAAAGTAGAAATAGGAAGTATGATACATATAGTCAAATTCAGTCAGTCCTGAGTCAGTTTTAATTAATCAACCAATCCGGCTTGGTGCAATATTCTCACCTTCTTGAAAAGTACGACAGCATCTCCCTCAGCTTTGTTCTCTTTGGCAACATCCTCGTTGCTGGTGATGTAGAATGGAATGTCATCGATACCAGATGCAGCTTCCAAGAAAGCCTTGGCATTTTCATTTGTGTCATCCTAAAACACAACAAAGACCATTGGTTTTAATAGAATATAAAATGAAGTAGGATGACTTTAGAACGATCATTACACTGGTAGTTCTCAAACAAAAAGCATTTTCATTCAGATATTTATGGGTGAAATAGCTTCGTACTAGACACCCATTATAGTCTATTACATCTTTATTCAATTTCTCTTGATATAAGAGGTCAAACTAGATTTTTGAAGCCTTGGTTTTGCAAAAAATACAACAGATGAGAGGATGATGGCAAATTTTTTTGTTAACCTAATGGTCTTCCCCTCTTCCAGCACTCAAAAATACCTGGTAATTTTATTAATATCTGCTTAAACTGAATGTTAATTTGAATTCCAGAAACATGTTTTTGTATTCAATAGAACTAAAATAATACAAATGATCCTCAATTGCTTAATTATCAATAAATACTGCAATATTGAAAACATACTTGATATCCGGGATGTTATGAAAACCAGTAGGCCTACATGTGGCAGTATTACTTAAGACACCTGTTGCAATCTCGAGATTGTTCATCTACTTATTGATTATCTCGGTTAATATTACAAGCTCAGCATGTATTATGAGATGGTTGTGAAGTGGACTCAAACCAAGCATTATTTCAATTGAATATAGACTGGCATTGAGCTTTGAGATAAATGAAGGATGCACAGAATGGCCATAGCCAATGGGGGTTCAAGGGGTTCATGCGAACCTCCAAGTTAAAAACTCCCCAAAATTCATTAATTAGATAAAGTTCAAACGTCTACTGCATTCATATATGTAGTGTAATGGTCCCACTCGTATTTATAACAAGGGTGGGATGTCTAGGAGCAAAATTATTCATTAAGATATTAAGACATACAAGTATAGTAACTGGCCATTTAATTAAATTCTTAGACTTATTTTTTTTCTGGAAGGTACTGACGCAATGGTATATCTTTTAGAATCAATATTTTATAATGAAGTGTATTTTTTTTAAATCTCAAATAAAATAAGATTCATGTTGAAATGAGTGATAAATTATTTAACAAATCCATAATGACACAATGGTGTGTCTTTTCAAATCAATACTTTATTATGAATTGTATTTTTATTTTAATCTCAAATAAAATATGATTAATCAGAATGAAATGGATTACATAAATACGATCGAAAAAATGAGAAAGGTAGGGCATAAGGACAAAGAACATTATAATCTTTTATGATCAATATTTAACCTTGCTGGGTTTCGACTCACATGGACAAACTAGTGACAAAAAACAAATACCAACTTGACATTAAAAGGTATAGGTTATCTCAAACAATTTCAGATGGTTGAATTACAACTATTTTCTGGCCAGGTAAACAGGCATATCTTTTGAATCAATACATTATCTCAGGGTAAAGTATTGGACTGAGTAAGGTAGCGTGTGCGGTGCATGTCCATGGAAATTTAGCAAAAATAGAACCCCCCCACTTGAGAAATCTTGGCTACAGGCTTGCAGAGACTCCATGCAAGACTTCTTAAGACTACCATTTGTACAGTTCTCCTGTTTCTCTTTGTAATACACTGGGGGTAACCATACTTGATACACAACTTGACTTACCTAATTTAATTTATAACATGTTGAAGCAAACGGAGGCCATAAAACAATAGAATATACATGTACATTGACTTTCACTAGAAAATACTGTAAGACATGTCCTTTTCAATGCACATTTGTCACATTATTCATGAAGGATACTCAAATTTTTTCAATTTCAGATGTCTCAAATGAAAAATGCATAATTACGTCAACTACAATAGAAAGAGTGAATTCATTTTGTTGTGAAGAACTGTTATAATTCAACTAATGTTTTCTGTGAAACCAGAATATTATAATTGAAAGGTTTTACAGTAATATGTCTGAAAGTAGAGTAGCTGATAACAATACATGCTATCAGAAGATAAGGCTGAGAGAAAAGCATGTGGTAATGGAAATGCGTGATCTTGGTCTTCTCATCTTACAGTGAAATGTGCAATTTTTATAGAATAAGTGGATAGAATTATGGAATATAGGGAAAGAACTGAAATTAGACACATTGAGGGGATTTAATTTAAATAAGTGATACCTTACTAAATGGACATCAGAAGTCGAACTTACATTCTGCCACATTTTCCAATGTATTGATCCAATCATGTATTAAATTGCGATTAAAACTGGAAACACTAGTTGGCTTTCTTTACTATCAAATGTGATTGATGGTAGTTTTTTCTAAAGGTATAACATACACAACCGTATATTGATTTCAAAGTTGAATGATACTGGTGAATTTAGTTTTTATATGAAATGCAGCTATTTCAGAGGAAAGGCTTGAATGATGGACAATATGCAGGTTATATTAAAATTAATACTGAAAGCACCTACGTTCATTATTATATGTTACATTTAACATACATTTAACTCAGGTGAACATTTCACTGAAAAATTATGTTTCAATTATTCAAACCTTAAACCTCAACTCAGAGAAGGTGAAGATATTTTCCAGTTATACACACATGTGAATAAAAGACCCTATGCTCATCTTAAACCCAGTATGTATATCAATTGTCCTACATTTTTGATGATCAAACTACACAATCAAATTGTAAAATTTCAATTTTAAATACTATAATTATAGCTAGTCATAATAGATAATGGGGTCAAATATGTCGACATTAATTGTTTAGATCACTATAAATGCCTGACAGCTGTTAAAACAAATTATTCAATAAAAAAGGGATGAACGTGTCGTTCTAAATGATGATGTGGACTTCCCATATATTTCACGTGGAGAGTCACACATTGTTATTACTAATGTATGGAGTGAATTGACTGAAACCCAAGGCAGTGGTCTTAGCACCAAACTTCTGTCTTGCCCTCCGATCCCCCTCCAAGTCTCCATAGCACATGCTTAGTGAAAAATTTTGAGAGAGGAGGGCAGAAGCAAGCCATTTAGAAGCTTCTCAAAAGAACACTGTTTAATAAAAGATATCATAGCAGGAAGTTATGGTCTGCAATTCTTACAGGATGTATCCCAAGATTAAACAATGTTCAGCTGAAATGTGGATGTGAGGAGTGCCTTAATTAAACCAATAGAAAGACAAATACTTATGCTGCAAGAGGGTATTAATTCTGAATAAAATGACACATAAGTAAGCAACTAAATTGCAATTCAGCTCAGCAGCTACTTATTTCTATACGACTTCGTCTGAACAGCAAGTCAATTCTTAGTTTACCTATTTTAACATAGCTCAGCACCAAACTGATCAAAATACCCCATATAAAAGGATATGTAAAGTTCATGTCTCATGAAAATGAAAATTAACCACAAAGGGAAATATCAGATGTCAGCTTAATGGAAAACTGATTAACCAGAAAGAGAGCAGACATCAAATGTGTGGGAATTATATGTTATTATCAAACAGTTTATGGCTATTTTGCTAAGTTTAATGGAAACAGAAAAAATGGCTTATAATTAGAATTGGAATAAGTACAACATCAATGTTATCCTAGGTTGATATTCAACTGGGTGCTAAATCCTAATATTACATGTTCTGATAAAATATCTCTATACATGTAGATGTATTTCATTTTTGACAGGGACTAACATTCAGTTGCCTTACAATGGAGTGAACACTGAATATACTTTAAACAATAGACATACACCAATAGCAATTCAAGTTTTTTCCATGTGGGAATATATTTTGGAACAAGTCGGATAATGACAACAAAAACTGGTACACAGCGAATATGGCGAATATCAGCCATTAACTGATGTAAATATCATCTCTGCTATGTGCACCATTCACCTATAGCTGTGCACTAGTAAATATAACTTAAGCAATGTAGCAGTACCAACCTTGAAGAATCCGATGACGGCAACCTCGTTAGCTTCGATGGCAGTTTTGGCAGCATCAACACTGTCCAAAACTGTGGCAGGGGGTCCAGTCTTCTTCTTCACCCAGTTGACGATCTCATCAGCAGTTCGGCCACCTATATTTAGAAATTAACCACTCAAATTGTTAATTTTCTTCATACTGAAATATTTCAAAATTAACTAAATAATTTCATTTGTATATACTGTATGTTCTGTACACATACATAAATGAAATATATCTATTTATTGAATGCAATCAAGTGATTAATGAAGAGTAAAATAGAATACTTGATGTATATTTAAGTGATATGTGATACAGATCAATGACATAGTACTATAAATGTACTAACCCTGTTGCTAGGCAAGCTTATTTACATAGCAACTAAATTAAACAACATTTTTTGCACTCAATGTTAATTCTGTTCTACATGAACAATATTCGCCATATATGATCATTTATAGAAAAAAAGGTTCAGCTTTGAGTTAAAATGTCTGGTTTTAAAATTTTGCCACTAAGCGAGGTTAAAATACATGCACACTGTAGTAACCACGTCATTTATGTCATTTTGAGTTTTGTCAAAATGCAACTCATGAATACCAATGCAGGAGACTCACCTGCATATTCCAAAGGCTTTCCATTCTTGAAGAATTTGAGAGTGGGGTAGCCTCTGACCTCGAATTTCTCGGCAAGTTTGGTTTCAACAGTTGCGTCACACTTTGCGAGTTTGATTGCAGAGCCCTCTGCTTTGAGAGCTCCAGCAGCCTTGGCATATTCAGGTTCTAGAGATTTGCAGTGTCCGCACCATGGAGCATCTGCAAATAGATAAATATATATTATATACAATCATATCACATATTAAATCATAGGAAAAATAAAAGGATGTTAGTAACATTTGTTATTATGAAGTAATAGTAATTCAGTCTAACGAATTCAGAATAGTTGATAAGGTTCTCCTTGGTGCGGCCTATTTATATCAACTTAGCCAATGAATTGAATTTGAACAACACACAAGTAGGCTTGTTTAGAGATTATTATTTCCTATGAAATATCATGCAGTTAAGAGGTCTCCTAACATGTGCTACTGTAGCTCAGTAGTGAACTTAATCAGATTATAATGAGTCTAGACAAACAGATTAGTGAGTCCTTGTACTTTGCTTGATTCGATTACATACATATCATACATTATACTGTGGATGAACATGTTCACATCGGATATACCAATATAATGGATTATATAGCTTTAACAGCACTGATGGTTTGCAATGCAATAAAATGTTATATATGTAGAGTTGAAACTGATGAATTAAAATGGTATCTCATAGATTGTATGTGGCACCATGTTTGCCATCATTAATGATACAGATGTACAAATAAATCTTTTTTGTTAGCACTTTATAGCCCGTTCCATTTCATTGTGACAATATCAATAAATATAATCAGAATATTATCAATAGTCTCGATTAATGTTTTATCGTAAATAAAAAAAACAATAGACTATTTTAACTTATGTGTTAGGTGTACAAAACCTGACGTGGCTTTTGCAGGATGGCTGGTTGCTATAATAAAACTGCTACTATCCTCTTTTTATTGATACAGAGTGATTGTAACTGTTATTTCTGTTATAGCATATTGTCTTTTGAGATAGAGCAGAAACATTTTATCTAATGTGAAAGAGATATCACAAGTTTAATTTTTAATGAAAATGTGATAGCACACATTATGTATCTGTCCAATCACAGATACTGATTCCAATTCTAATGTTGAACAATGTAACACCAAACAATAAAATAAAATAATGAAAAAATCTATTTCAGACAGTTTTTAATATTTACATTATTCATGATATTAAAAGGCTGGGCAACTTAAGATGAACAGATAAGATAACAGCAAGTTATTGATTCCAGGAAGAATATGTGTTTATGTGACTATAAAGGACTATGTTCATTGTTGAAGAAATACATTATATGGTTATCGATAGCATCGGCTGTGCCTTTTGCTTTTCTGCATATGTTTTATATGATATTAGTTCAGCTTTATCATTTTGTGGATCCCCATATGTTTAGTCATCTCCTTCCTTGACATTGTGTTTGAGAGTGAACGGGCAGGGATTTTACGCGGCAAGCCAAAGGGGAGGGGGCAGGTTTTTGATGCAACATCAGTGGTCATGGCAAAGTTGAGATACTGATAGAGAAATCAAAATCATTTTTAAATTAGGATTAAAATGATAAAATTATTAATTTAAGAAGACAGATGTAAAAAATAACAAACATTTACAGTAACTAGATTGAAAGAGATATCTTATATTCAGGTAAGTTAAAATCATGATCCCAAAGAAAAGTTAAAATGACCTCATAAATAATTTCAAGATAACTTCAAACTTATGTTTCATACAGAATGCTCCATTCACAGCAAAGTTGTACATGTACTTATGATTAGGTTAGTCCTAAAAAGATAAAAATTGTAGCCACCATCCCCCGATGGGGAGCCATCATCCCCCGGTTTATTTCCTCACCCTTATATGTTAGAGTGAGGGTGTTGGGAGGGTGCTTGACACAAGATTTTAGAAAACTCTGGCGCTGTACCAGTTATAACGTAGTTTTAAAAATGCATATACTGGCATTTTAACTCAATCAAATGGAAATGGTAAGCCTTACAGTTTACTGAAATTATACCCACATGTTCTGTTCTAATTAAATTTAATATACAATGCATACATATAGCTCATACTTGCAGATGCTGCAATAAAAGTACTGTAAGTAGAATACATGATTTGGGCCAAAATTGTCAAATGTGAACCCCCCCTGGAAATTTTTGAAAATTGAACCCCCCTTGGCAAATCCTGGCTACGGGACTGCTTGATTTCACAATCCCCTCCCTACTACCATACATGCAGTGATATAAACTACCTGAACTGAAAATGATGCATCTTTTAAAAGCCAAACCAAACGAATACAAAGGGTACCTCCCTACTCTCTTTCTAATACATTATTGCTGAGGAAGATAGGATAGGAAAACCCTAGTAGAATACATGTATTCTGCACCAAGGTAACAGAGAATACTTTTTTGAATTCGAACATCAATGGTATTTCCCAGAGGTATTTCCTTCCTAACTTCATTGTACCGAGCATCAATCAATGTTAGCATGATCAATATATCTTTGTGTATTTTTATAATACAATATAGGTCTTCTTTCCAGGCTCCCCCCATCGTAGAACATCTATGGGTCTAGCAATGGGTAGGGGCATGAGGTAAATAGCGATGCACAACATTGCGCACAGAATCAGACTTGAACAATGTTCAGAAGCAAGTCGGATTGGCAAAAATCTGATGATTGGTGAAACCAAGAAAATACTGGAATCAAGATGTAATTGAGAACACATGTAAAAGGAGCAGAAGTGAGATTCTACTTTTAGTTTGTATACATGACTTTCACTACACAACCACGTCATTCAATACATCTGTAGCAAAATGAAATGTACTCCACTTCCGGCTTATTCAGCACTTCTTGTAACGAAAAGTATACAGACTTTTTACATAATTACGGTCTCAAATAGTTCTATGGATAGTATATGATGATGCTTAGTATATGTGGTCATGATATGAAAATGCATTGAAACGCAAAATCACAATAAAAATCGGAGACATTTTATAAAACTTACAAAATTCAGCAAGAACATAATTGTCTTCTGTAACAACTTCATCAAAGTTATCTGTTGTCAGCACTAGAACGTCCTTTTCTTCAGCAACTTCGGCGTTAACAGCAAAGAAGAGTGCCACTGCGGCCACGAGAACGGTAGAAAACTGCTTCATCTTGCCTTCAACCTTCAGAATGGGGGTAGTTTTTGGGTAGGGGTCCAAGTAAAACTTCTCTCTTCAATCTCAACGTGGCAAAAGGCCGATTTCGAGTGCGCATGCGTATAAATCCCCTTTAAAATTCGTGTTGAAAGCTGATTGGTTGATTGAAAGGGGCGTGATCATGTGATGTGGTGTTTATAGAAAGTGAAACTAGAGTATCCTCATTGTAATAACAAATCAGCTACAGGCTCAGCCTAATGAAGGGAACCAAATGGTACACCCTTATGTTGGAAATTAATTAAGGCAATTAGACAATTTAAATGAAAATAGGATACCATTACCACTACAAGAGATTTGACACATCATCATTCTGCAGTTACAGGGTATCGTCCTGTACATGTCTGTTGTCGTGACTACATCTGCTACACATCGAGATCTTTGCACTCTTTGGAATCAGTGTATAGAAAACTAGATAACGGCAACTCCGCGGAGTAGCAAATCCCAACGAACAAAATATCAATTACCGAATTCCAATCAATTATACTTTGGTTGAAAATGAAAAAATTAGATTTTAGAATTGCGAATTCCTGCAAAGCAGCCATTTTGAATTTTCTGAGGTACAAATCTGAAAACTAATACCATAATTGTGATCTACTCCAAAATTCCTTCAATTTGAGTATAATATAGCCATACTTTGAAGGGATTGAAAAATTATTGCGAAATCGTACATTAGACGGCCATTTTGAATTTTACGAGGCTCGAATCAGAAAATTTCTGTTTTCCTGTCCCCCCATACATGGCCCCTGGGGGTCAGGATGAAAAACACAGAATATATGTGAAATAGATAAATGTTGTGAATACACTACCAAAATTTCAAACAATAATATTGATTACTTTGGTTTAGAATGAAAGATTTATGATTTTTGCGAAAAAGTCCCGTCATTTTTAAAGCGGCGGCGATCTTTAAAAAATTTTTTTTTGCGTAAAATTATTAACCAATATACATCTTTCCACTAAATATGAAGAAAATCTGTCAACTAGTATTTGAGTTATCTTCCGGACAGACGGACGGACTGACTGACTGACGGACTGACGGACAGACGGACGGAGGGCTTCACTATATCCCTAACGAACTTCGTTCGTTGGGATAATGAGTGCTCAGATGTGAGCTTATTTAAGGCAGCTTAGTTATAAGCTTGACAGAATTCTAATAGTTTCTCTGGCTTGTTGCTTTTTGGAACTTTTAAGATATTTGCAAGGCTTTTACAACCCCCTAAATATATACAAAATTAATTTTCATTCAAAGCCTATATTTAGGTCCATGAAGTTACAAACCTTTATTGAAGATTTGTTTTTAATTTTTAGGCTACTTAGTCACTTGTAATTGGGTGGGATGTAAATCAAGTTTCTATATATTAGACCTGTTATAAATAAATAGATATCGGATTTTCTCGCATATAAGCCCTGGGCGTATAACTGAAAGAAGGGGAAATTTCGTCTGTTATTTTACCTCTTATTTTTCGCCCACGGGCGTATAAGTGTACTACTTTCGATTTTTGGCCCAGTGGGCGTAAAGGTGAGAAGAGCTGATGAATACAATGGTTCATCAAAGACTACCGTACCTACTGTTGTAGTCCTACCGCATGTTTTGTAAGAATTATAAGGAAATGTCACCTACAACCTTGGACTTAATGTTGAAACAAAGTAACAACAGAACGATCCACCACTGCCACTTACGGCACAGCGTTGAACTTAATGTTGAAACAAAGTAACGACAGAACAATCTGCCAGTGACAAAATACTCCTGAATTTATTGAAAAAATCAATAAATAGTCATTTTTCATAGGCCCATGGGCGTATAAGCATACTACATTCGATTTTTGGCCCATGAGCCTAAATTTAGGGGGGCGTATATGCAAGAAAATCCGGTAATATAAACTTCTCAACATTTCAATAAAACCACCATAATTTTGTATTTTTTTAAATTTGTTCACAAAAGGACTATTAACATGACAATATAGAAACTTTATTTGGGGGTTGTAAACCTTTATTGTACATGTATATGTGTAAGTCAACAAACTGTAAGGGGCTTGTCAATCAATTTTGGAGCAACAAAACTATTCTATAATATTCATGACAAAAATAAATATGTGGGTTTCCTATTGTTTATTTTATATTGCACATAGATGTATTAATTACAACCAGCATAATTAGCAAAAAATACACAGACATTGAAGTAATTTTAATATTACATTTAATTGTGTTGATATTATAAAGCACATTATAGCTAGTACATGTAAATGATTAATTTTCATGTCAAGTATACATACTGTTTCCAATACTACAATCACTATATCACACTGGATAAATGTTTAGTAACTTCATAATAACAGACAATTATAACACATTTAATAGTAGTACTCTACCCAAATATTCTTTCTATTGGAATTGCTTCAACAGCCCATATCCTACTGATTTCACATACTGTCACCCATATTTTTGGTTTTAAAATAGTTTAAAAACTGATATAAAGAAACATACTGGGAACTGAAATCCTGAATTTAAGATTCCAAAATGATATTGAGGAAGACATACAATTTACCTTAATATGTGTTTAACTGATTCAGTCGTTTTGGAATACATTGAAAAATTATAATACAGTATATGAATATCATTATGCATACATTCTTCTTAGTGTCTGGCATATTACCAAACCTATATTGTCTAAAGTAAGATTCAACAGCCATTTTGAATTGAATGTAGGTCAATATGACAATGAAAAGTTAATCATTAACTACTGTATTATAGCAATATTAAGCCAAATTTATCTTTAGATGGGTCTTAAGATTAGCATGTAGTGCACAAAAGATAGAACAGCATAAAACAATATTTGAGCATAGCTATCATTTAAGGTGGTGCCTCCATTCATTTATTTACCTTCTTGAGTCTGTGTGCCAGACTCTATTAAAAGTAATATAAAGGAAAACTTGTCAAATGGAACACCTCTAGAAGTCGAACACCTCTGTTAGTTGAACACCTTCAGAGTCTCAAGACCCGCTAACTTAATGCTAAATGGACCTCTGTAAATAGAACACTTCCCAAGTGGAACACCTTTTAGAATTATCACAGTTGTTCTACTTAGACAGGGTTTACTGTATTTAATAAGTAGACTACTGCATTGTAGTTAGTGAGTAAACTACTACATTGTACTTAGTAAGTAGACTACTACATTAGGTTACTACATGTACATTGTACTGGAATGTTCCAAACCATACAAATGCGTTATTCAATTCACATTGGCATGCTTCACATTTTTATAATGGTTTACTTCACATATTCAGTTCAATCCAAGATCTGATAAATGTGAAAGTTCTTCAATGACTAGGTGTAGGATTTCATTCTGTTCTGCAGATAGATGGGGCCACAGTTCTGTTTGAAGCAGACGGATAGAGTTCAAATCTTTAGATTGACACGCCATCACCACGGACTGGAGAAGCAGGAACAAGTCTTCATTCAGATAATTCACTGGAAAATAAGAAAAATGAAATGCATATTAATAAAGGGTCATAAAATTATATGATTTGGGAACATTTCTTTTTGACATGCAGGGGCTCACAAAAGATACAAGGCATTAACATGCAAAACGTCACTACATGCCATTCGTTACAGATGCTGACCACTGAACACCAATCGCGGAACACCAAAATGAGGCAAAAGTTGGAGCCTCGACCAATGGTTTAACCAGAACAACGGCAACGCCAAAGCGTAGCGAATCCCATCGAACAGAAATGGCTGGCATTTTTACAAACGAATCGCAAATATCATAAAACAACACACCAGAAAGGCCACCATTTTCAAAATGGTTGCTCACTAGCCAAGTTGTCATCAGAAGAAATAATATGCTTTTTAGTAGCCACCTCAAAAATTTTTGAAAAATCGCACACGTACTTGTAAAATAACACACATAAAAATGGTGGCCATTTTTCAAAATGGCCGGCTACTCCCTTAAGTTTTATTAGACAATGTGCCATGCTTAAAGTATTCACATACCAAATATGAACAAAATCGCTCCACTACTTTTCAAGTTATAGTAAAATACGTTAAAATGGTGGCCATTTTTCAAAATTGTTTTCAAAATTCCCGCCTTCTACCAAAAGTGTCATAGGACAGTGTTATGCTTATAGTATTCACATACCAAATATGAACAAAATCGCTCCACTACTTTTCAAGTTATAGTAAAATACGTTAAAATGGCAGCCATTTTTCAAATTTTTTTTCAAAATGGCTGCCTTCTACCAAAAGTGTCATAAGACAGTGTGCCATGCTTATAGTAATCACATACCAAATATGAACAAAATCGCTCCACTACTTTTCAAGTTATAGTAAAATACGTTAAAATGGCGGCAATTTTTCAAAATGGCCGCCTTCTACCAAAAGTGTCTTTAGACAGTGTGCAATGCTTATAGTATTCACATACCAAATATGAACAAAATCGCTCCACTACTTTTTGAGTTACAGCAAAAATCGTAAAATGACGAGTAAAGGCCGCCATTTTTCAAGATGGCTGCCATGTGCTTCTTTAATATCTACATTTGTAGCATTATTAATGTCCTTTATAATTTTTTTACATTTAAAACATATTGCTATTACAGTTTTACATATTGCACCTAAATTACTGTAAAATCGTCACTAAAATGGCCGCCATTTTGAAATGAGCAGCCATTTTGAAAATCGGCTCTCGAGCAGAACTTCTACCGCCATAGGGTATATGTGTATAAAATATGAACAAAATCGGGCCAACGGTATTTGAGTTATTGCCCGGACGGACGGACGGACGGACGGACGTACGTACGGACGGACGTACGTACGGACGGACGGAGGCGTTCCCTATATCCCTCCGAACTTCGTTCGATGGGATAATTACCAGTATGAACCCAACTAAAATGAATATGAGCATTATTTCAGACCAATAGCAGTTTTCATTTGTTCAAAAATTGTTGATGGCAGGACAGACAGAAGGACAGACAGACAGAATGGAAGGACAAAAGGATGAGTGGACTGACAAGTGGGCCATTCAGAAGGGTCACCATGTGAACCAAAACAATAGTGAATACTCCATGTATTTTTTAAAATGACTGAAGCCACATTGCCATGGTTACCATGTTCAGTATTGATTGAAAGTTGTTTGAAATAGAGTTCATCCATACATCTCTAAATAAATAGTGCATAGCGACTCCAACCATAATTTATTTCAATTTGTAACCCTTACATGTAAATTGGAATTTCTATTTCTACATTTAATACACTAGTATTTACAACAGAGATGGTAAAGCTACCGACATCAAGTTTGTCAGAATGTGTAAACTGGCACTGGGTAAAATAAATACAAACTCGAATTACATGTACCATAATAAAGCTGACCAGCAACAAGGAATTCAAGTTCAATTATTGTAACGATTCTCATGCTTATAACATCTTTCTGCTTCACTTCAATTTTAAATAATCACAGTGAGCAGTGTATATGACACATTATCAACCAGGCACAGAAAGTAGAATTCATCACACAATCAGATCCCCAATCTGTTCATTTCATGTATGATCTTAACCAAGGGAATACACAAGTCGTGTCACCCATTCATAGTACAATGTTGTTGAAACTTGTATGAATAAATGAATAAATAATAAAATAACAATAAAAAAATTACAGTACACATATTAGTATTTACTACGCGTGCTGGTCTTTATAACACATTGCATTATCTTGTTGTCATTATCATTTCTCATGGTATGAATATTATTATATTACATTGTATATTGCCTTTTATGATGTGTAGTATCTCTTGAAAGGCTTATATTGATATTGGATATGTAATATGTATGAAGCATGAATGTATGAAGCTAACAAGGCTGTAAATTCAAATGTTAATCTTTTTAATCAGGTAATCAATTCTCAGACGATGAGAAAAGGAGGAAGTTTTGTAATAATGTAATACAGTTTAATTCAGTCTGTATTCTTGAGAAGGGAAGTTCATGGTTGCTCCTGATAATTTCACAGCTTCTTTTATATGGTGGTAATAATTAAAACCAGCTATGTCAATAGATTAATATTTTTGTACATGATACATGCGAAATGATCAATAGTCTAACAACATTTTTATGTCATCATATCATCATATCTATGATTTATTTATGTGAATGATATAAAATTATATGTGTGCAATATTTCAAATGTGATGAAGCAAAACTGGAGACTATTAACTATGGAACATGAATAAAATTTTTATACTTCTCCTTTTGGAGGCAATGGGAGAATAAAGTGGCCACTTAACCTACAATGTAGACCAGCCATAATAATTAAAAATGTAACTACTGTTGAATATACAGTATGGTAATTTTTTTTAAAATTGTAATCAGTCTTAATTATGAAAGTGATAAGTTGAAAATTACTGTAACTAAATAAATGTACCCCAAATAATAGAATAATAGGGGCTGATTTCATAATATACATGTACTTCCATAATCAAGTAGTTTCTGAAATATTGATTGAAAGATGTTGTGAATAGTGAATGTAATTAAATGTCTGAACTGTATGCAGCTTAAAAATGGGTAAATAGCAATTAGTTAAACCTGTTGTCACTTTATTTCACAATCAATCATTTACTGAGAAAATTAATTATCCCAAGGGCAATGTTTAAAATGCAGAATAGAGAGGAAAGAATAGAATAGGCAAGGAATAGGCCTAAAGGAAGCAGACATATTATATAGGCAAAAGTATAAATTATTGAATTTAAGGCGAGCAAAGTAAACTTTTTTTGATTAAATAGAGAATAGATTAAAATAGGCACAATTAGAAAAACAGTATGAGATTGTATACTTTTTCAAATTCAACTGCAGTTTTCAAATCAACTTGTTGTTTCTTTTACTTATATGTACATGTATATTTGTGAAGAACAGGATGTGGAGTATGCTTTGCAATCACCTGCTGCATTCATTCAAATGAAAATAAATTAAAAGTAGGCATTGACCATTTCTGCCTTTATATTTTTCCAGTGAGTTTTGCACTGTAGTTTCTTCCTAATTATCATCATTCAGCACTATACATTTCAATTTGGCTTCTCATAATTGCTCGTATTTCAGGGTTTAGCCTTCAGCAAAAACAGACCATGTACCATCTAAACTACACATCCTTTGATATATGTAGGTAAACCAATTCTAGCCATATGTTTCAGCTTCATGCACAAAAGAAGTGTTTTTATTTCCATAAAAATCTCAATCTGGTCTTTTTATAATTAAAAGTCCTATTGTGCAGAATTTGTTAATGGCTTTAATAAAAAAGCTGTTGATTTTAATGAATTTCTTCAAAATGATGGGGTTTAGATTGGAAAAAAGGTTGATTTAACTGATCATTTTTCCTCACGCTGACTCGCTGAGCCCAATGGGTCTCAGTGATCAAGCATTATTCTCTGATCCATGTCTGGTTAAAACAAAATTACCCATCAGCATTGTTATGAATCAGTACAACTGGACCATGAGCATTTAAATGGCCAACCAAAACCTTAAGTGACCATATACCCTAGTCTTGCTTTAAGGCTGTGAAACATCCCCCATCTTCTTCAAAAACACAACACAAGGAGATAACAACAAGTAGATAAATAAATATTTGGGGGACAGGGTCTAATATGCCCAAGCATAAATGATCATTTTACTGGCTTGTCTTGAAGCACAACTAATATACTCAAGCATTTATGATCATTTTACTTGCTTACTAAAACATTGACCCTCATATCATCAAGCATATATGCAAATCTACCTGGAGTATTTTCATCTGTAGACTCCCAAGAATATCTTTCAAGGAGCTGGGCATATTCTGGTCTGATTCTTTGTGGAGTAGGCTGAAAATAAAATATAACTGATCAAATATGTGTAATATATTTGTGGTTTTTCATTATTGTCGTTAATTTCAAATAATCTAAAATATATCTTCATAATTTGAGAAGTGTGTGGAATCATTTGGACACCAATGTATCATATTATTGGGGCAAGGTGTGTCCCATTTTTAAGTCAATATCAGATAACGCCTATGTCAATTTTTGAAAATGCATGTATCTTGTGTCATTAACTATTTTAAGAGTATTGGCATTCCATCCTTTAATATGTAAATATATCTAAATGAGTATGGTGCAGACACTATTAATGTTGTATAGTGAGATTGAATAGCTGCTCTTCATTCAGAAAGGAGGGTACTGAAATACCATATTCCCAACAAAGAGCACAGTCACTGTATGCTCCTGGAAAAATTTGTAAATACTGAATTTCCAAAAAGTACAAAAGGATGTTTCTCATTCTGTAGCATGGGAGAAGGTAGCATCACAGGGAAATATCACAGGATATTTCATGTCATGTGATGCTCATTCAAACTGAATGAGTAACATGACATTAAGACAACAATTCTTCATATTGCTGGTACTCAATTTGTTGTAAAAGTAGCGGGTGCGTTCATTGGGGAGAATACAGTAACTCAATACAAAGCATTAATATGCAAAATGTCACCACCTGTCATTTGCTACAGATGCCAACCACCAAACACCAACTGCCAAACACGGTCCACAAAAAAGTTTGAGACTATAACAATATTTTATTATAAGACTGTTGAACATTTTGATATTGACATAATGAACCTCATACCTGTAAAAGCATAAGTAACAGCACTCGTGTGATCTCACATCTTGCAAGTATATCAGAGAATGCTCCTAAAGGCTTGCCACTGATGGAACATCCTCCCCTCTCCTCAACAAGATAGGCCATCTCTGTGAACACCGTCAGAGCACCCTCACAGTCACCTGATAGAAACGTGGGGGATTAAAAATTATTCTAATATGATACGTGACGTCACAGTAGCTAAAACAATTGATTTACTGGTCTTTATTGGAGTATGTATGACCGATAAAATTCATAAATGCAAATAGTGTTTCTTGTCTGTTTATCATATTAGAATTGTAACAAAGACCTCGATATTTTATGATATACAGATGTATGTCAAATATATGACCTCAAATTTTATTCTGGACATTGCCAAAGACCTCTATCACGACGCGGTCATATATTACGCCATAAATCTTAAAATCTTGGTCTTTATTCCTTAAGTAAACATTTTAAAAACTCACTCATATTGGAAATCAAGCACTAAATTCATAAAATTCTACTTCTTTATTAAGATTCCAATTGTAAATTAAATCTCTTCAATTGCCTGAAGGCATTACAGAAAAGTAGGATACAAGAATATAAAACAAATACAATATTATATTATACATACACGTGTATATACAATATTATGATTAAGGTCAAGGTCAATTCAGTTGTAAATTATGCACTTAGGGTTTGCCATGGTGTGGAACAAAAGTTGTACTTAAAAGATATGGTCTATCACTATAACATTATATCAGTATGGTTAATCATGTGCAAGTCTAAAGTCAGTGATCTCTCCAGTATCTGAACAACAGGGTGATACAGCCTATCAAAATCTGAAAAGTACATGCCACCCAGTTGACGATCCATTTTCAATCTGCCAAAATGGTGAAACATTGAGACATTTTAAACTAAAAAGACCCGTTGAAAAAATATCCTTGAGAGTTAGTGGATTCCGAAAATATACTATTTTTGAATTGGATATGGCAGAATATTTTGTCAACGTGACACTGATACAGTATGGAAACATCTAAAACACATGTTTGATTAAAGTTAACACAGCCTGTGGCATTGTAACAGGTGTTATTGAATGTTTATAAACTTTATTTTATTTTATTTAATGAAATTGCATTGAATAAAGAAACAAATAGACATGACCTCTATATTTCACATTCAGTTGTAAATTATGACTTCTTTTTTTTTACTCGAGTTAAAATAGAAGCTCAGATATATATTTAAGCATGAATATTGTAAGTGTAAAAATCTGTAACTTTGCGTTAATAATGGGATATTTGGAAAAAAAATTGGAGTGAAATGGACAGACTAGGAGAGAAATCAATTCTGGCTCTCAAGAATATTATTGAGGTATATTACTGGAGATGATTCTACATGTATCCCCCAGTATACAGGGTGGGCCAATAAAAATAGAAATGCAAGGAAATCTGATATTTTGGACATACAGAGAAATGCAGAGTCTGAGATGTCTTTTGAACAGAATTCTAACCTGTACTGATTTTACATGTGGCCACCCTCCCCATCGTGTGAAGACACTCTAATGGGCTCTGAATCTGTAATTCTGCCGCACGTTGGAAGTGTGGAATTGCTTCATGACATTTACCCATTTTCTACAAAACAGAATATTAAAGATTTTATGCAATCAATTAGTGGGTTGAAACTACATGTACAAAGAAAAATGGCTCTTTAAACATTGTGTGAATATTTCTATAGTCTTCTATCAAACCATTGTGTTTTCCGTAAAAATAGATTCAACATTCTGGGTGTAGAAGTAAATAAAGGGGGCAGGGTTGGGGAGGATACTTCATCCAAGTTAAAATTCTCCACAATTATTAAGAACATATTAAAATGTAATCATGTAATGATCCAAGATGTCAATAAAAGTTATATATATATGTATATTCTGAACATTCTCTTCTAGCCTGGTGATCAATTTTGGGTAAAATTCAAATATTGGCCTTTCTACTCATAAAACTGAGTCCTGTAGTATTTCATTATGACAATGTTTTGACTTATTGTCTTACCATGAGGGTGTTTCCCAGTTCTAAGCAGAGAGATGCTGCAAGACATGTCTGCTTTGCCTCAATGTGCACCTGCAAGTACAAAGCAATTTTGTTTATTAAATAGACAATTTTCAATTTGAAAATATGGTAAAACGTGCCTAAGAATATCATAGAGGGACTGACTGAATATTTCCACATATAAAAGTATGTTTAGACAGACAAATGCATATAAGATTACAAAAAAGCAAAATCTGTATGTGACGTGTGATACTGACATTACTATGACCAAAATGCTCGCTCACATTTCAAAATGTTTATTTCATAGACAAGTCTTTTTCTGTTCTTTCTTACTGAAAAATATTTATTTTCAAAAAAATACAAAAAAGTGTATCAGAGTGAAAGAAATTTAATCTGTACTCTGGGTCACATGGAAATAACAATCAATTTTGCTGTACTGAGAAACAACATCACCTGCCATTTGTTACAGACATTGAATGCTGATCACCAAACACAAACTGCCAAACACCATCCATAAAAAAGTTGAAGACCATAATGCTTGTGGTGGTGACATAATCGATCCTACATGTAAGTATGTAAGCAATTTTTAAGCTTTGCATGCTATTCACAGAAAAGTAAGCTCATAGTCCATCTGGAAGGAGTGTTTAGTATCAAGGCAACAGAGAATGAATACCTTAAACAGTGGCCTTCACTGAATCTGTATGGCTATTATAAAGCTAAAAGAAACATGATTCATGTGTAGTTTATATATTAACACACAAGGACAAGGACCTACCCGTATTGCGTGCCCATAGCAATTCAAAGCCGCATTAATATGTTCAGAAAGGCAGAAGACATAATTCACATGTGCGTGAATACTTTATATATCAACACACAAGGACCTACGTGTTCCCGTGTAGCATGCCCATAGCAATTCAAAGCCGCATTTATATGTTCCTCATAACTAACACAACGGTAACACACAAGGACCTACCCGTATAGCATGCCCATAGCAATTCAAAGTCGCATTAATATGTTCCTCGTAACTAACACAATGGTAACACACAAGGACCTACCCATATTGCTAGCCCATAGCAATTCAAAGCCGCATTAATATGTTCCTCGTAACTAACACAACGGTAACACACAAGGACCTACCCATATTGCATGCCCATAGCAATTCAAAGCCGCATTAATATGTTCCTCGTAACTAACACAACGGTAACACACAAGGACCTACCCATATTGCATGCCCATAGCAATTCAAAGCCGCATTAATATGTTCCTCGTAACTAACACAACGGTAACACACAAGGACCTACCCGTATTGCATGCCCATAGCAATTCAAAGCCGCATTAATATGTTCCTCGTAACTGACACAACGGTAACACACAAGGACCTACCCGTATTGCATGCCCATAGCAATTCAAAGCCGCATTAATATGTTCCTCGTAACTGACACAACGGTAACACACAAGGACCTTCCCGTATTGCATGCCCATAGCAATTCAAAGCTGCATTAATATGTTCCTCATAACTGACACAATGGTAACACACAAGGACCTACCCGTATAGCATGCCCATAGCAATTCAAAGTCGCATTAATATGTTCCTCATAACTGACACAATGGTAACACACAAGGACCTACCCATATTGCATGCCCAATTCCCATAGCAATTCAAAGCCGCATTAATATGTTCCTCATAACTGACACAATGGTAACACACAAGGACCTACCCGTATTGCATGCCCATAGCAATTCAAAGCTGCATTAATATGTTCCTCATAACTGACACAATGGTAACACACAAGGACCTACCCGTATTGCATGCCCATAGCAATTCAAAGCTGCATTAATATGTTCCTCATAACTGACACAACGGTAACACACAAGGACCTACCCGTATTGCATGCCCATAGCAATTCAAAGCTGCATTAATATGTTCCTCATAACTGACACAATGGTAACACACAAGGACCTACCCGTATTGCATGCCAAATTCCCATAGCAATTCAAAGCCGCATTAATATGTTCCTCATAACTGACACAATGGTAACACACAAGGACCTACCCGTATTGCATGCCCATAGCAATTCAAAGCTGCATTAATATGTTCCTCATAACTGACACAATGGTAACACACAAGGACCTACCCGTATTGCATGCCCATAGCAATTCAAAGCTGCATTAATATGTTCCTCATAACTGACACAATGGTAACACACAAGGACCTACCCATATTGCATGCCCAATTCCAATAGCAATTCAAAGCCACATTAATATGTTCCTCATAACTGACACAATGGTAACACACAAGGACCTACCCGTATTGCATGCCCATAGCAATTCAAAGCTGCATTAATATGTTCCTCATAACTGACACAATGGTAACACACTAGGACCTACCCGTATTGCATGCCAATAGCAATTCAAAGCTGCATTAATATGTTCCTCATAACTGACACAATGGTAACACACAAGGACCTACCCATATTGCATGCCCAATTCCCATAGCAATTCAAAGCCGCATTAATATGTTCCTCATAACTGACACAATGGTAACACACAAGGACCTACCCGTATTGCATGCCCATAGCAATTCAAAGCTGCATTAATATGTTCCTCGTAACTAACACAACGGTGGTCCTGGTCCATTCTTTCTGCCTCAAAGAATTCTCTTGCTGCATGTGTCAAAGCTTGGGCCTCTCCGGGTGAACTAGCAATTGTGTGTTCACATCTAAACAGAAAATTGTCTTTGTACTTATTGAATTAATACATTCTAATTTAGTATACACCAATTTACATGAATGGGTGAAGCAGGTTTTGTATATTCCTGAATAGATTGGTATATGAACAGACTTGGGATCTGTTTCTGTTTTAAATGCTTGCAATTTATTCATTCCTTGTGTCATATATGTAAAGCAGATATTGACACATATTACCAGGGACAATATACTGTAATGTTAATTTATTCAGGAAACAAGCTTATTTCTAGTGGATAACAATCTGTTTCCCTCCCTTATTTCTCTACCCAGATGTGTACCTTGGTCTATACACACTATATGTACATATAAGGGGGATGTTTTACACAGGGGTATATAAAGGTGGAAACAAAGGGGTTGATTCATTCGACTACATAGACCACTAATTATTTTTCAATGAAAATACATAAGCTTACCTAGCTTGAGCAAGATAACATAGTCCTGCATATTGTGGACATTCTTGTTGCTTTAGCGTCTTTCCCAGGGATGCTAGAAATAACAAAATAAAATATTTGAATGACATTCACTATATTGCCCACTTTACTAACCCACAAACTTTATGTTTGGAAATTTTTTGAAGTTCTTTGAAATTACATGTCGCTCCAATAGAAAATTTCACAGGTTTAGGGTGGTAGAAAGAATATTCAAAAAGATATCAGTGCAGTCAACCTATCGTATCTGTCAAATTCAATGATGATTGGCTTCCCGATCCTAAGGCCGGGCGATAGTTATACAAAGTAGTTCAGTGTATTCAATGCAATGACAAAAGAATGGTTGACAAGTACAGTACATGTAACTGCCTGGCAACATGATCTGCTATAAATTCATTAAAGCAATCCAAAAGCAATACAAAATTCAATCAAAAATATTGACCATTGTCCTTGCAGCCATAGAAATATACAGGGGCAAATAGCAATATCACATCATGTAGGAGATTAAAGAATGTTGAGTTGGAGAATAATATGAACTACACGACTGCCATCTTTATACCAGTCTTAAACCAAAAATAACTTATTACATGAGATTTAAATAATGTACTTGCCAAATTGTTCACTGCCTTCTGCAACATTAGGTTTCTTGAGAAATCTCCTACAAAAACATAAATACATAAGATATAATATATGTACATGTATATAAATTAGGCCATATACAAAGAGTTTAAATTATAAACAAAACCAAGGTCAATATAGCTTAAATAATTTTTCAGAAGTTCCCTAGCCTCTATCACATGCATGTTTTGTGAGGCTAATAAAAGAAGAGCTCTCTGACTCTCTATCATATATAGAGAAAATTGTGAAAAGGTGTTTCATTTGCATGGTTCTCAGTCTCTATAGCTCCACAAAAGAAATCCGTTTTGTTATAAAATAATTCCCCTTTTCTATGATCAACAAATCCGAAGCTTTTTCATTTAAAATAGAAGTCTGTTCTCAATCATGCATGTTGATATTTAAAAAAATTTGCTTTTTATAAAATGCGAACGCTTTTCGTTCGGATTTTTTATGCGAATCCCATATATGCCACGCATTTGCTTCGAAATATGTGTATATGTCATGCATATGCTTTGAAATATTTTGTACCTATCCATGCCATGGATTTTTGGCAATTTATTCTAAAACAACGTGAACTATTCTAAAATTTCTAGTCGGGGTTCAATAAATTTAAGTAATATTCTAAAAACCGTCATGTTAATTTTTCATGAATTGATATGGAACTGGCTAGGCTCCTTGATGAGATATTGCATGATTTCGTCAGGATTTTGTCTCAAGTTAAAACAAAAAGATCCAAAAAATGGCGATATTCGAAAACTGGACGAAATGTCGTTAACGTCTGACATTAGTAACTGGCTGTAAATTCTAAGTTAGCGATCCAGAAGATGTGAACTAATACATTGATCACTTCATGTGTGTTTTGGAATTTTTGATAAGGTAATAAGACCAAAACTCGCAATTCAAATTGTGATGTGGAAAAATGGCGATCATTTGATTTCAAATTTTAAGATTACGACATGACCCGTAGACAGCAGTAAAAAACATGCAGGGATTTATCTTTGGACAAAGGCCACCATGTTGTGGCCTTAGAAGAAGGTTAAGTTGCTTTATTTGCAGGCCTGTCAACTTGGGAACACCTAACATGAGGGGGGGGATACGAAATATTTCAAGGAAAATGCACATATGTGACACATACGGTATCCGCGTGAAAAGTCTGAACGAAATAAATTCGTTTTTTTCGGTGTTCGGTTTTGTGCTGTATCGGCGCGGTGATCACTTTTTTGAAGTTTTTCTCACAGCCCCTGTGGTTTTTCTATAGGAATATTTTTGCTTGACAATACTCAGGTACCTAAAATGCGTATTTGCGTGACATATTCTGTCACGCAAAAAAAACTGGCGTGACTTCAAATTTTCCAGCAAAGCGTGACAAGTACGCAAATTGCGGGACAGTTGGACGGCCTGTATGAAGAAACAGCTGAGTGTTCAGTCAACTTTTGTTGAGGTGTCAACAGAACCATGGACTTTCTCGTGATTGACATCGAAGCCTAAGGCCCCTAAGGCCTAAGCTTCTAAAGGCAAGATCGATCCGATTAGAAGAGCAGATGAATGAATGAAATGAAATTGCTTGTCAATCAGTCATGTATATCAGGGGTAGTATGATGTATTTAATAAAAGCTTGCATATATTATACCCAAAAATATCATAATGAATGTATATCAAATACTCACTTCTTCAATTTATTGGAGATATGTCTGTATTTACCAAGAAAATCTTCTTTTTCCATTTTTTATTTTTTTGATAAATTTGCCCTGCCACCTTTTGAGGAAAATCAGTTCTAGACTAGCCTAGTCGATCAACATCAATATCCAAACTCAACACAATATATCAAGCGATTGTTAATTTAGATTTAAATACATATTCATCGAATTGTTCAATTAGCACATTATAATTAAACTATATATTAGTTTTCCCAAAAATCACAGAGGAATTCGATAATTGACATTGTGTAATTTATGTTGATAGATTGTTTTTCCTGGCAGTTCAAATTTCTACCAAATTTTAACTTTTTTTGTAACTCATCACTCCACCTCTCATATCATAACAGATATGATTTAATCTACAAAAGCTCATTTGAATATTGTAAGTACAAATACTTTTATTCATATTTACTTGTTATTTTGACCTCAATTTGATTCACACGTTGAAGGATTTGTATAGGGAGGCTAAAATTACAGATTTTGTGAAGTTGCCCTTGCTTGGAATGATATACCCTGTACTTTAGATCTATGCCATTTGTCCAAACCGCTTTGGAACCTTGTCAAACGAGTCTTATAGTTAGGGCTATATTTCTAGATGTACAGAATACGATTTTGTCTGTTACATTGATATTACGTTCAACCACAGATTTGAAGTTTTGATCTTTTCAGGGGGGCGGGTATTGCATTACATGTATATGATCTGAAAAATATGGATGAAATTCTTGCATTTTATGAATTCATTGCTCCTTAGACCTCAAGGTGAATATCACCGTCGACAGCAAATGGATATTCGGTCAAGACTACCTTAGCCCACCTCCATACAGGAAGGACCGAAAGAAAGGTGCTGGCGGCGTCCTTATCGCAGTCAAAAGTGACTTCATATCAGTCGAATATGAAGCGACGGCTGATTGCGAAATCATATGGTCCAAAGCATTTCTATCTAATGGGGACATACTGTTTGGATCCTTCTATCGTCAACCAAACAACGATACTGGTGCTTTGGACTCGCTCCAAACATCCCTCGATAAACTATATGCTAATGGTAATACACATATGAAGAATATCTTCCTATGTGGTGACTTCAACTTACCAGACATCGATTGGGAGAATGGAACTATCAGGCCTAATTCTCAATATTCTAATGATCTTAATGAGAAGATGATTACAATAACTGATGATCATGGCCTAACCCAACTAGTCAAGGAACCAACTAGACAAAATAACATCCTTGACTTAGTATTCACTACATGCCCAAACCTCGCAGAAAGAATCTCGGTGGTTCCGGGCATGAGTGATCATGAGGCAGTCCTATGTGATATAAACCTAAAAATGAAAATTCAGAAAAAGAAGCCTCGTAAGGTCCACATATACAAGCGGGCAGAATGGACTGGACTTAAAGAGACTCTACGATCTAAGTTTAGCGAATTCAAAGAGAACTCTGAAAGTAGATCAGTTGAAGAAAACTGGTCCTCCTTCAAATCTACATTAATATCGTCAATCAATGAGCATATTCCAAGTAAAACTCTTAGCGGGAAATACAAAGTACCCTGGATTACCACCAGCATACTAAGAATGATCCGACAGAAACAAAGACGATATAATGTTGCCAAACGTTCAAATGAACCTCATCATTGGCATAAATACAAATCACTACGGAAATTAATCCATAGTGAAATTCGTAAAGAACATCAACACTACATCAACGATCTGCTCGACATTGATGAAAGCGAAATCATAAATGAGAATGTTCAGCACAAAGGCATTACCAAACGCTTCTGGAGCTACATAAAGTCTAAACGCAAAGATGCATCAGGTATCAGCGTGCTTCGTAACAAAGATGGCGACGAAATAACAGACGCCGCCCAGAAAGCAAACATCCTCAATGACCAATACAATTCTGTATTCACAGATGAGAATGCAACTCTACCAACAATGGTACCTAGTCAAATTCCTGAAATGCCAAATATCAAAATTTCAACAAAAGGAATTCATAAATTGCTAACTGGCCTAAATCAATCAAAAGCCACTGGACCCGATCTTATTCCGACCAGGGTCCTGAAGGAATGCAGTGACAGCATATCACCATTCCTTCAAATAATTTTTCAACAGTCTATCGATGAAGGCTTAGTGCCTATGGACTGGAAACATGCCAATGTTACTGCTATCTACAAAAAGGGACGCAGAGATGAGGCTGTGAATTACAGGCCTGTATCTCTGACGTCAGTTCCATGTAAAATAATGGAACATATTATATTCCATCATGTTATGGCCCATTTTGACCTCTATGAAATTCTAGTACATTTCCAACATGGATTCAGGTCAAAGCACTCATGTGAAACCCAACTTGTCAATACAATAGAGAATATAGCTCGGGCCCTCGACAACAATAAACAAACAGACATGTTGGTATTAGACTTTTCCAAAGCGTTTGACATGGTGGCTCACGAACGCCTCTTGCTCAAACTCGACTATTATGGAATTCGCAATAATAACTTGAACTGGTTCAGATCCTGGCTTGTGGGAAGATCACACTAGGTAGTGCTCGATGGTGAATCAAGTTCAAAAACTCCAGTAAAATCAGGAGTTCCTCAAGGAACAGTTCTTGGACCTCTCTGTTTCCTTGTTTATATCAATGATATGGGCAACAACCTATCATCCTCAGCCTCAAACTATTTGCTGACGACAGCCTTTTATTCATGACAGTTGAAAGCAAGCAAGATGCATTAACACTACAGGAGAATCTAGATAAACTGGTCTCCTGGGCATCAACATGGCAAATGAAATTCCATCCATCAAAATGCTATGTGCTAAATATTCACAAAGGTAAATCCCCTATCATTCACAATTACACCATGCTTGGGGAAAACCTTAAGTCGGTAACACACATCCCATACCTAGGTATTGACATCACAAACAACTTACGCTGGACTACACATATTCAAACTATTGTATCCAAAGCCAATAAGATGCTTGGATTTCTCAGGCGCAACCTCCATCAATGCCCTGAAAACGTGAAGGCTCAGGCGTATAAGTCACTTGTCCGGCCTAATTTAGAGTATGCCAGTTCGGCATGGGATCCATACCGACAAAAAGATATTGATATGTTGGAACAGGTACAGAGAAGAGCAGCAAGGTTTGTAACCAAATGTCACTCATAATATCAAGGGAACCAGGCTGCGTCACCAAAGCTCTTCAAGACCTACAGTGGGAGCCACTGAAGGAGCGTCGAGAGGCTGCTAGAGTTTTCCTTTTCTACAAAGGAAAACAAAACCTAGCAGCCATCGACGTGCCTCCATACTTCCGCCAACAGATCAATACCAGCACCAGGCTGTATCATCCTTCTAAGTTCATACAACCATCAACTAGAACGGATGTATACAAATTTAGGTATTTCCCTAGGACAATAGCTAAATGGAACACTCTACCTGGTGACATCTTAGACTGTGACAGTCTAAGTAGTTTTAAATCATCATACTATGCCTATGTCAATAACTGCAATTAAATAGGTGTGTTTTTAATATAGATCTATGTTTTAATGTAAAAGGTCCCCAGTGCACAGCAACAAGCCTGCACTACTGGTAAAGAGGGGTGATGTGAACGCGGTAGCCTGACACAGTCACCCCAGGGTATTTCAACATAAGGAAAGTTCCTTTCCATTTTAATGAGTTGCAAACCATAGATCTATTTTTAAATGTTAAAGTTTTAAATTATATTCTATTCAAATTCTATCACTGTTAAATTATATATCTGCTTTATATGGGCTTATTAGCCTTTTGCAGATTATTGACATAGACATAGACATAGACATCATAGTACTACAGTATGCTTGATTGTGAGGTTTCTGCATTTTGCTTTGCCATCATCATCAATCAGCAGGTCATCTCAGATTATCATCTCCGTTAAATTTCAGTATTTCTGATTAGACAGTTTTCTATCACTGTTAGATTATAATCTGCTTTAAATGGACTTAATAGCTTTTTGCTGATTATTGATAATACATCATGCACAGGGGTTTCACTAGAATTTCTTACAACAGGCTAAATAAATGCAAACAACAGGCAAAATTAATGGAAATCATAAATTGAAACATGGAAAAATCGAAAAGTCCCTAAAAACAAAAGGAGATTATGTGAAAACAACTGGTGAGAATCGCCTACTGCTAATGAAACCCCTGCATGTAGATGTTAGAGAAGAGACATGCAAATGAAGTTGAGCATATATTTTTTTTGTCTTGCAGTAGTAAGGAACTGGAACAACTATAATGATGAATCGTCTTGGAAGGTGTATTGGCAGTTTAGCCTTACAGTGTCGTTCGTGTAAACTGTCCCATAGAATACCAAGTCAAATAAACATTGCACAAAGTAGACAATCAATTTACCATCATACCTGTCGAGGAATAACAACAACACAGCAGTTAAATATGCGAGATAAAGACATTGAAGAAGTTGAAAAAAGACAAATAATGAAAGAAGGACAATATTTTGAGCAAATAGCCAAAGTTGCTAAAAATCGAGAAGCTTTTCAAGAAGCAGTAATGCGTTATAAAACACGACAAGGGGTCTACCACAGAGGACATGTAGAATTTATATATGCTGCCATGGATAAAATGACAATGTTCAATGTGCATAAAGATCTTGAAGTTTATAAGACAATTATGAAGATATTCCCTGAAGATAAAATGGTGCCTACAAGCGTTTGGCAGGTGGAATTCCAACACTACCCAAAACAACAAAATTGCATGATTGACATTTTGGAAAAGATGGAATATAATAGTGAGTAATTGCTTATTAATACATGTAGCATCATTATTTTAGTCATGAAAGGGGCATCGGTCAAATCTGGTACCTGGGTACTCATATTTTTATCTGAATACGATTCATTGTTACCATTTTGATCTTTGTAATGAAATCAGACATAGATTTGCTATGAGAGTAAGTAAGGTGGTAGGGGGAATCAAGCTATAACAAAATAGATATATAATTTACAGTGTATTGTAATATCAACATGTAACCTACATGTACATGTATTTCAGGTGTAATTCCTGATGACGAAACTGGAAAGATCATCAAGAAAATATTTGGGACTAAAGTTCATGCATTTCGAAAGTACCAACGTATGATGTATTGGATGCCGAAATTCAAGAATGCCAACCCTTACCCAGTTCCTTTACACCTACCGGAAGATGAATCTGAGTTGGCCATTTTAGCGTTGAAACGTATGGCAGTGGATAAAGAGAATATTGTTACTGTTCACCAGGTTGGAATCTCATTATAACAGTAACAGCACCAAAAAGTGGTGACAATTGTTATGGTCTCTGTTTTTTGTGGCGGCGGTTGGTGATCGGCGGTTAGGGTTTGTAACGAATGGTGGTGACTTTTACATGTTAATGCCTTGTTCAATAAATAAATCAATTTTCAATGGTATTTCAAAGGACTGATCCAGTGGAATGAAACAGGATTTTTTAATTAGATTGTGGTTTTTATGTCACCACCAAAAAGTGGTGACATATTGTTATGGTCTCCGCTTTTTTTTGACGGCAGCAGATGGCGGTTGGTGGCTGGTGGTTGGCAGTTGCCGATCGGCGCCTGTAACAAATTCTTACAACTTCCAAATAATCATGTTTTCAGAATTTCAAATCTGACTTTATATTTAAGATTTTCAATGACCTTTTCAAGGTCAAAAAGGTCAAATTGACCAATTTATTTTTTCAAAATCATCTACAAGTTCTCAGAAATTCAAATCTGACTTAGGATTGAACTCATAATATTGTGAGCAACTAGGTGGTGACATTTTGTCATGTATGCATACAAGTTGTATGTTGATAATTAAAAAGTAAACAAACTGACAAGTAAACAAACAGGTTGTATGTTAATAATGAAGAAGTCGATAAATAATTAACAAGTAAACAAAATTAATGATCTTTTTCTCTTTTAGACTGAAGAGGAAGTGGAGTCCTGCATTGATGACACATTTGTGGCAAGTGCCCAAAGTACAATCCAGAGGGCGCTGATCAATGGACACCCTACAGATAAGCCACTATTTGTAGAGGGAGGTTATAAAGTCTGGATGAGGGAAAAATGTCTGAATTACTTCGTTCTTAAAGCTGATCCAGTTCTTGAGAAATATGGCCATGTTGAACAAAGAACTGATGACAGTATGTATTTAAAACAGTTTACAGCATCATATAACAGTAATGGGAATAAGGTGAAACAACAAATGAATTTCATGAGTTGTCAGGGGACATCAACGCATTCGGTAATATTAAATAATGACTTTGACAATGACAATGACAATGACTAGAGGTGTGTTTTCAAATCTTTAGATCTATGGGAAAATGTTAATAGTTGCACTCCCCTTATATCTGAATATTGTCCATATATATCTTTTATTGACTCTCTGATGTCATTACAATGACATATTAGTCACTAAAAAACTAAAATTTACAATCTACAAAACTGACCATACTGCCATATAAGTAGGATCAACATTGATATATTTGGGCAGTTTTCCATCAACTCAAATATTAAACATATGTTATTATCTTTTAGACTGGTTTGAGTGGAACATGTTCACTGGAGAGAAAGACCAATCAGAGATAGCTGAGGCCAGATCAATGCATGAACAGGACGAGGGAACAATACTAGCGATGTGCATCACAGGCTCAAGTAGCAAGGACTCACTGATATCATGGATAAAACTCTTACAACTTTCAAATCCTAATTTACCTCATATACCTGTTGTGTTTGCAATAAGGACTCCTGAAAGTGAACTGGAAACAATCGAAGATGATCCACATGGGGATCTGGTGAATATCTAATATGTGAATGATTTATAGTGAATAAAGGTTAATTAATTGAAATGTATTCTAAATGTAGAATTTGCCATGAGGGTTTAAACCACAAAGGCTAGTCAAAATTAAGTTAATTTAAAAAAAATAGGTCAAACTGCAAAATGATGTCAAATTGCAAAAGTTGTAGAATCGGTTGAATTGCAAAAGTAGGACAAATGACAAAATTAGGTCGAATTGGGAAAGTGGGTCAAATTGCAGAAGTAAGTCTGGTGATATTACAAATTAAAAATATCTTGCACTCATAGCCATTTGTCAGATGTTGATTGCAATCACTCTAATAACAGAAGACACTATTTACTGGTAATCAAATGTGTCATAGGGGGTCAGGTTTCTGCCATCACTAGGTCAAACTCAAAGGCTGAATTATGAAGTGCTTTATATCATATCATCATATGTTAAAGTAACAGTACACTTAACATCAAATTTATTCACTGAATTTTATTTTTACATCTTATTTATGAAACCTGATACACGTGCCACAGGTTCTATCTTTAAAACTCACAATATTGCTTCATTCCTTTGGTTTTCCAATCGTGAAGGTTCCACAAGCCATCAAATGAATGTTCAGTTATGTAAAGCTCATTTGAGTCTGGCCTAAAGTGAACGTCTGAGGGGCGGAATGGGCAGTTTATGTGACATATGGGTTTACCGCCATTAGGACCATAAACATCTAGAGCACCTTTGCCAAGATTTGTAACTATCAGGTTCCCTTCTGCATCAAAATCCATTCCATCTGGGATAAAATTGCCTACAATACACAGAGACCAGTTTTTATGGTTTGACTAGTAAATGTAGACTTATCCAAACGATCAGTTGCTACATGTATATCCTTGACGTAAATGTATAGAAGATTATATGTATTTCAGAAAGGGTACACAAAAAGTTTTCTGATTAGTAAATTATTTTCATTTGGACTAATGTATAAATGTAAATGGCTCACGTGATCTTAAGCTTGAAGTTCCCCAAATCTGTTTATTTGTCACTTGACAAGGCCCAACAATATCGAAGCTCGAGAGGTATGCCTTCTTGTTGAAGCTCTGTCCAAAGATTAATTTCACTGGGTCCCCACTGCTGTTATGTTGCACAGCTAAACCATTGGGGAATAACAGCCCAGTGGCTATTTTACTAAGCTCACCAGCTCTTGTGTAACAATACAAACTCCCAAATGGATCCTAATAATCAAGAAAGAAATATTTTATTTTACTGAGGTGAATATCTGAATCTTTCAAGTAATATTCTAATGAAGCCCAATTAACTCATTCTAATTCATCGGAGTCTTTATCTAAACTTTCTCTCTTTTCCAAGGGATGGTAAAGACTGAATCCCACAATACAATCAACATATTTTGAAAGTGGTATATGTATTTACCCAAATCATGGGCATTCAATAGAAAGCCCATGCCCAAAATATATGATACACATTAACAAATACTCAACCACAATCACTACAGCAACATTCTGATACTCAGACCATCTCTGCAATGCATAAGAATGAGAGAAGGAAACCGAAAGAAGGCTGCGATATCTCACGATGCTACAGCCACTGACACGGCGACTCATGACTGATCTGACGAATGTATTCACGTTACCTCAAATGACTGTATAAAGTCGTGTGGTGCAATTGGACCGGCTGGCGCAGTTAACCACAAGTTCCCATGATAGTCAAACATAAGATCATTACACCCTTGCAGGTCATCACCCTGGTTGTCTTTGGTTGCTATCTGTAACGCGAAATGTCATCTCATTTCATTTAGCTGTGGTTGCTATCTTTAATGCAAAATGTCATCTCATTTCATAAAGCTGTGGTTGCTATCTTTAATCCAAAATGTCATCTTATTTCATCAAGCTATGGTTGCTATCTTTAATGCAAAATGTCATCTCATTTCATCAAGCTATGGTTGCTATCTTTAATGCAAAATGTCATCTCATTCCATCAAGCTTTGGTTGCTATCTTTAATGCAAAATGTCATCTTATTTCATCAAGCTATGGTTGCTATCTTTAATGCAAAATGTCATCTTATTTTATCAAGCTATGGTTGCTATCTTTAATGCAAAATGTCATCTAATTTCATCAAGCTTTGGTTGCTATCTTTAATGCAAAATGTCATATTATTTCATCAAGCTTTGGTTACTATATTTAATGCAAAATGTCATCTTATTTCACCAAGCTTTGGTTGCTATATTTAATGCAAAATGTTATCTCATTTCATAAAGCTATGGTTGCTATCTTTAATGCAAAATGTCATCTCATTTCATCAAGCTTTGGTTGCTATCTTTAATGCAAAATGTCATCTCATTTCATCAAGCTTTGGTTGCTATTTTAATGCAAAATGTCATCTTATTTCATCAAGCTATGGTTGCTATCTTTAATGCAAAATGTTATCTCATTTCATCAAGCTATGGTTGCTATCTTTAATGCAAAATGTCATCTCATTTCATCAAGCTTTGGTTGCTATCTTCAATGCAAAATGTCATCTCATTTCATCAAGCTTTGGTTGCTATCTTTAATGCAAAATGTCATCTCATTTCATCAAGCTTTGGTTGCTATCTTTAATGCAAAACGTCATCTTATTTCATCAAGCTATGGTTGCTATCTTTAATGCGAAATGTCATCTCATTTCATAAAGCTATGGTTGCTATCTTTAATGCATAATGTCATCTTATTTCATCAAGCTATGGTTGCTATCTTTAATGCAAAATGTCATCTCATTTCATCAAGCTATGGTTGCTATATTAATGCAAAATGTCATCTCATTTCATCAAGCTTTGGTTGCTATATTAATGCAAAATGTCATCTCATTTCATCAAGCTGTGGTCTATCTTTAATGCAAAATGTCATCTCATTTCATCAAGCTGTGGTTGCTATATTAATGCAAAATGTCATCTCATTTCATCAAGCTATGGTTGCTATCTTTAATGTAAAATGTCATCTAATTTCATCAAACTTTGGTTGCTATCTTTAATGCAAAATGTCATCTTATTTCATCAAGCTTTGGTTGCTATATTTAATGCAAAATGTTATCTCATTTCATCAAGCTATGGTTGCTATCTTTAATGCAAAATGCCATCTCATTTCATCAAGCTGTGGTTGTGGCTCAAACAAGGGATGAAACTAACACTCTATACATGCATAGGAAGAATACGTGGTGAAGTACCCTCTGTATACACTCTTTTGACTTAGCTTCTTAACTTGAAGAGACTTACTTGTTGAAAAGTGCCATTCTGATTTACTTTTAGTATACCAAGTCTCATGTCAGCCACCCAAATATTGTTTTCGTGATCACATTGACAACCATTCGGCCGACCACCAAATCCACCAACTGACGGAGACAAAAGTACAGTTGCCTACGAATATCAAGATCAATAAACTAGAATTAGAAACTTTTTTGGAACATGTAACTGTTTGACAAAACATTGTCCAAAATATATACCCGTGATACAAAAAGTAAGACAGATTTCTTTTGTGATAATACGATGACTTTATGTAACTAAAGTTACGATTTTTTGTGAAACACAAAATTCAACTCTTCAATTTCTTGGCTAGTATCATATAGTCATAAAAACATTTACCATGGTATCATGAGATAAATTGCTTATTTACTGGCTGTGACTGAATACGGGTTTTATTCCTCGAGACGGGATGAATTTTAGACGCGACAAACATTCTGATTATTAGACAAAAGTGCTATAAATCCACCTTCTTATTTTCTAGGTCAATTTTCAGAATCTGACCCGCATGTGTTCCATTAACCTGAACGCCAGCTGCTACCATGTAAAAGTTGCCATCCTTCGTGAAAACAGGACCTTCTGCGGTTGGATGGCCTTCCACTATTTTTTCAAAGTACGCTGCAAAACAAGCCGAGGTCAATATTAAGTAAAATGTCCCGAATTTCAATCAAATCTCAAAAATCTGATGTAAAATGTGATACCTAGCAATAGCAACCACAGTTTGCCCGCATCCCTTAATAGCATGGGCCACAATATGCGTATCAAGCTATGGGAAAGTAAACACATTTTTACACTTATAGACTTGATGTCTATATGCAAAGATGACAAGATTGGTATTAACATTGGGTTAGTTGTTGTTGCACAAGTTTCTGCAGCTGTACACTGTTCAATACATCCACTTAGCACTGTTCCTCTACCAGATGCAGATGTCGAGCATTTCATCCAACATGATTTATCAACGACAGTACCCTGGATAAGAAACGGTTACATTTTTATAGTACATCTGTTTGTCCTCAAATTGCAATAGCTCGAAATTTTTGACTCGCGAAATCTACTTTTGGCCTATTTCCTAGCTTTACAAATAATTTCAGATATCCTGCATTGTAAAAGGCCATGTCACTGTAAAGAGTAGTAGTATGAAATAATTCTGTTGCAGAAAAATCGGCAAAAACTAGATCCGTTTTTTCAGCCATTTTACAGTGAAAACAAATAAGTGTTAAAAATTGACATTTTTTGATGTAATTGAACATAGCTAAAACTAAACCTATTTTTGCTCATCATTTTATGTATTCTAAAATATAATGCCTTTATATGAACTACTTCAGCATACTTTTTTTTGATCGTTACGATTGTAAGTAGCTTTGATATCTGGCTTAAAAATTGTGAATTTTGTGAAATTGTCGATGTAACATTACACGCTTTTGAAAACATGTCATATCTCAATAATAAATGATCGCATCTTTTAATTTTGGTTATGCTGGCATAGAGAACATTCATTCAGAGTGTGATGAGAGCACTGCATTTGATCTCAACCTATTACCGATTATATAGACCATATAAAGTAAATGTAAAATTTATTCTGTGAAAATCGACATGGTCGTTTAAAGATATGCTATACAGATATGTAGGTCAGTATTACATAATCGTGAAATGAATAAGTCTGAATATATCATTGGTCAGAAAACACTAAAACCTGCTTGAAACTGTAAAAGTTTATACACTCTATTCCACACTGTATAGAAATGAAATAACTTACACTATAAGTAA